CTAATTAGCATATCTTATCACCTCAAGTTATCTTTTACTTCTCCCTCTTTTTCTTTTTGGCTAAGAACATTTTAGATCCATGCTTCAAATTTCAAGTATACAGTACAGTATTGTTAATGTTGTTACCCTGCTTTACATTAGATCCCTAGAACTTATTCATCCTACATATCTGAAATTTGTGCCCTTTGACCAACATTTTCCCATTTCCCCCACCCCCTCAGCCCTTGGGAACCACTGTTTTACTCTCTGCTTCTAAGATTTTGACTTTCTCAGATTCTGCACATACCAGATCATGCAGTATTTAAGGCCCTATTTTTAAATATGGTCACATTCTGAAGTACTAGTGGTTATTGCTTCAACATATGAATTTTGGAAGAGTACAGTTCAACCCCTAACACATGTTTTTCACTTGAGAGTGTAATATAAGCTTTTTCACTCATTATTACATAACTGTCACAAACATAATTTTAATGATTATAGAAGAATATCCACTTATCCAGTTTCCTACTGTTAAATACAGTTGACCCTCCATATCCACAGGTTCCACATCACAGATATGGAAGCCCCATAGTATTGGGGGGTATTAGGTATTACAGGTAACTTAGAGATGATTTAAAGTATTTGGGAGTAGGTAACATGCAAATACTACACTATTTTATACAAGGGACTTGAGCGTCTGTTGATTTTGGTGATGGGGGTGGACAGAACTAGAACCAAAGACACCAAGGGATGACTGTATTTATTTTTCACTTTTGCAGTATTATAATTACCATGGACATTTTTATGCACTGCCTTTTCAGTATCATTTCCTTAGAACAGATACCTAGAAATGAAATTGTCAGATCATTTTAAAGTACTTGGTAGATGCCACAATCTTTGCAAGTGTGAGAGGCATTTCTTGCTTTATTAGTAGATCATTTATTAATCATGCTTTCTCTTTGTGAATTAGCTCTTTAAGTCATTGCCCATTTAGTTTTGTAATCTTAATGTTTTTCTTATCAATTCATATAAACTCTTTGCATAGTAAAAATTGTACTTTTTCTTATCTTTTCTGCAACTCTTCTACCATTTTATCATTTGCTCTTCAATTTTGGTCTTGTTTCTTTTTCAAATTATAGATGAATTGTTTTTTGTTTTTTTAAAAATTTTTTAAATTGAAGTGTAATCAGTTACAGTGTGTCCATTTCTGGTGTACAGCACAATGTCCTAGTCATACACACATACACACACACATTCGTTTTCATATTCTTTTTCATTAAAGGTTACTAGAAGATATTCAGAAGAAATTTGGTTTTTATATATTTTTATATATAGTGGTTAACATTTGCAAATCTCAAACTCCAAATTTATCCCTTCCCACCCTTTCCCCCGGTAACCATAGATTGTTTACTATATCTGTGAATCTGTTTCTTTTATAGATGAGTTCATTAGTTTCCTCTTTTTCTTTTTTTTTTAGATTCCACATATGAGTGATATCATATGGTATTTTTCTTTCTCTTTCTTCCTTACTTCACTTAGAATGACGATCTCCAGGTTCATACATGTTGAGGCAAATGGCATTATTTTATTCTTTTTTATGGCTCAGTAGTATTCCATTGTATAAATATACCACAGCTTCTTTATCCATTCATCTGTCGATGGACATTTAGATTGTTTCCATGTCTTGGCTGTTGTAAATAGTGCTGCTATGAACATTGGGGTGCATGTATCTTTTTGAATTAAGGTTCTCTCTAGATACATGCCCAGGAGTGGGATTGCTGGATCATATGATAAGTTTGTTTTTATTTTTTTGAGGAATCTCCATACTGTTTTACATAATGGCTGCACCTTACTACATTCCTACCAACAGTGTAGGAGGTTCCCTTTTCTCCACACCCTCTCCAGCGTTTATTGTTTGTAAACTTTTTAATAATGGCCATTCTGACTGGTGTGAGGTGATACCTTGTTGTAGTTTTGATTTGCATTTCTTTTGATAATTAGAGATTTTTTCATGTGCCTAGTGGCCATTTGTATGTCTTCATTGGAGAATTGCTTGTTTAGGTCTTCTGCCCACTTTTGGATAGGGTTGTTTGTTTTTTGGTTATTAAGTTGTGTGAGCTGTTTATATATTTTGGAAATTATGCCTTTGTCAGTTGCATCATTTACAGATATTTTCTCCCATTCCTTAGGTTGTCACTCTGTTTTGCTTATGGTTTCCTTTGCTGTGCAAAAGCTTGTAAGTTTAATTAGGTCCCATTTGTTACTTTTACTTTTATTTTTCCTCAGTGTTCTGTTGCTTTGAAGCTTGGCTTGTCCTTTTTTCAGAGTTTGCTAAGCTTGTTTTTCTGCTTTCCCTGGATATTTCTACTGGGTTTAAAAATATTTAACTCTAATCCATTTGGCTTTTTTTGTTAAATGATATGATGTGAAAGTCATTTTGTTCTTTAATTGTTAGCTTGTGGTTAATTAATTAATCACTGCTTTCTTCAGTGATTGAAGATATCTCACATGTTGAATTAAATTATTTTGGGTTGGAGATCTATTATGCTGATACTTTATTAAAGATTTATAGTATATTCTAATATCTGAGAAGAATATTCTCCTTTCCCCCTCTTTATTCGTCTTGCTTTTTCAGGATTTTCTTTGGTATTTTTACCAGTTTATTTTTGCCTATGTGCTAGAACATTTGTCTCTATCCCTCACTCCTGTAGTGCCTCCTACATCTAAACAAATTTTAATTAGATTTACAAGGAAGATAATTTAAGAAGCATTGACTACATATACATGCAGTCTTTCCTCTCAAATACTTGGTGTTTTTCTGTATTATCTTCTTTAAATCTTTTATAAAAATTTGTAGTTTTTTCATATAATTCAAATTATTCATTATTGTTATTACTCGTGTGTGTGTATTAGTTGCTGGTGATTTTTGTTTGATCATTTCTACTATTAACAATGAAAATTTTAACCATATCTTCTTGCTTATTCTGCTACCTGGAAGTACTATTTGATTTATATTTATCTCACATTTAGTTGTTTTACTCAACTTTAGCAATTCCAACACTTTTCAGTGGACTCATTTGCATTTTCTAGGTGAACAGTTATATTAAGTGAAAATGATAATGATTTTCATCACTTTTCTTTCTAATATTCATTTCTTGTACTATTTCATATGTTACTTAGACAGAATATCTAAAATCTAACATTAACTAAGAGAGATTAATGGAAGACATCCTTTTTGTTGTTATTGTTCCTGAATTATTGTATATACCTCTGGCGTTTCACTCCTAAGTATTATTTTGCGTGATAGCTTGAAAGTGGATACTTCTTAAGAGAATTACTGTACTCTGTTTTTTAAATTGTGGGACTTGGGATAGATTAGATTTTATCAAATACTTTTGGGCAGGAGTACTTATTGAGATTATCACATGGAGTTATTTTAAGCCAATTTTTGCACATTTATTAATGTTTGCTAATATTAAATTACCTTCACCACCTGCAGTAAAACTGTTCTTTTACAGTAGATTGTTCTTTTCTCTGTATCATTTAATTTTATTTCTCAGCATTATATTTGACTTTTTTATGTCCTTGTCAGTTAGTGACATGTGTCACTTTTTGGACTTTGTGCTTTTGACATGAGAATTTTTTTGTGGTATCTTTGTTAGGTTTTGGTTTCAAGATAATTTTTGCTTGAAACTTATAGTGCATGCTACTGTTATTTCAACAGCCAAACTATACTAAAGAGAACAGCAAACTAAAACTGTTCTTTAGGTGATTAGAAAAATGAAAGAATAGTACATGAATGGAAGAAAGAAAGGTAAGTTGATTAGTGCTGCAGATGTCGATTTAGGCACCATTTTCATGAAGATGCCCGAAAGTAGGAATATGACTGGACATGGCTTTTCCAGTTTCAGCTGAGCTTTGCATACAGGCTGTCTCAGAAACTGCTGGACAATCTGGGTCTTGCATATGGTAGGCACTGAATGAATGGTTAATATTGCAGTGGATATCCCAGGAACATTTCTCAGGCCCACATAAATGCCTTTGGTTTATTAAAAATTATAGACCCCAAATGTGAAGAAGCCAGCATATTTTTCTTTGGACTTTAAATCAACTACTGTTACCAGTTTTCCTGCCCTTAATACTGACTTATAAAAAGGATACACTGTCCTCCAGATCCTGATTCCTTTTTGTCACTTAACATAAGCTCATAGGTTCTTAGGATTTTAAAAGGTTTTTTGTGGCTTACCTGGGAAAATAGCATGTAATGAAATAATAGAAAAATTGCAGAGCTCAGGAAATCTTATAGTCATAACCTCTGTCTGTATGCTTCTGTTTACCTTTAGCCACTACCTGAAAGAACTTTGGATAAAGTCCATTTTCCTTTCTCCCTGATTACTGAGAGTATATTGCAACCTAATTTGTAATCATATGGCTTTCAACGAAATTTCTCCTCCTTAAAATCCTACCTAAATGCAAAGAGATGTATCCTTTTTTTCTAGAATGGATACAAAGATGTTAAGTTAGAGCTTTGTCATTTCTCCCTGGACATTTGCAGAAGACTTCTCCCTTTCCTTTTTGTACATTCTAGCTCTACCATCCCTCCCCCAATTTAATCTTTTAAAAACACGAATGTATGTATAACCTATTATTAGTTCCACATCAGAAACAGGATACAGATAGATTTTTCCCTCACTCCATAAACCAACAATATTATACATATATTAGAAATTTAAGTGTAAAACAAATAATTATATTAGTACCAACAGAAAATACAGATAATATATAATCTTGATGTGAAGAAAACTGAAAAAGATAACAATAATAAGGGAATATACACTCAGAAAAACATTAGCAACCTATGGCAGACAACAGGTTAACAGCCTAAGTAAAGAAACCATTTTTATGTCATAATATACAAAAATAATATTTAGTTATATGACCAGTCCTTTATATTATAGACTTATTATTTGATATTTTATTATTCTTGGAGATGAACTAACCTTTTATTATTACTTCCATAGCAAAAGCAAATTAGTTACTCACCAGGAGTATGCAGTATAGAACATCAGCAAGAGATAACCAAACTAAAGACTGATTTGGAAAAGAAAAGTATCTTTTATGAAGAAGAATTGTCTAAGAGAGAAGGAATACACGCAAATGAAATTAAAAATCTGAAGAAAGAACTGCATGATTCAGAAGGCCAGCAGCTTGCTCTCAACAAAGAAATTATGATTTTGAAAGACAAATTGGAAAAAAACAGGAGGGAGAGGTAAGAATCCAGTTATTTACTACTCTAATAAATATTTACTTAATACTACTAGGTGTCAGGGATTGGAGATACATAGGCAATAAACATGTTCCTGTCCTCAAGAAGACCAAAGTCAAGATTGGTAAATAGAAAATTATAATATAGCATCTTTAGGAAACCAAATAGGATGAGTATAGGAGCACCCATAGAAGAGGCACAGAAGATAACTTTAGTATGTCTAGGCTTTTGGACAAAATTATTTCTGAGTTAAGACCAAAAATATAAGAAACATATAGCTGTGGGAGAGTGTCCAGGCAGAGGCAGCAGAATTTGCCAAGATCTATAAGAAAAGGATAGCATGGCACATTCAGAAAATGAAAACTCTTCATTATGGTGAAAGCATACAAAGAAAGATGAGTGGTGCAGAATGAGACTGCAAAGGAAAATAAAGTCAAGATCATGAAGGACTAAGGAATTTGGGTTTTATCCTAAGGCCACTGAAGGAAAATTACATGATTATATTTATATTTTTGAAAGATCACTCTTGCTACTGTGTAGAGAATGGAGTGGAAGGAACAGACTGCAGGTAGGAATCTAGCCCTGAGATACAAGGTGGTTGGACCTTAGGTATGATAATGAAAATGGAGAGAAGTGTATGGCTTCAAAAGGTCTACTGTGAAGACAGAACCTGGAGGACATGATGACCAGATATGAGAAATGAGAAGCGGGAGAAATTATCAGTGATACTCAGATTTCTATGTTTTATATAACTGAAAATATGTTAATGTCATTCTCAAGTTATATTGGAAGCCTGAGTTTAATTCATTTTGGTCCCTTCATTCAACAAATTTTTTTAGAACCTGTTATGTGAAAGCACTGTTGTAGGTGCTGGGGACACAGCAGTGAATAGATAAAAAATTATCTGTCCTTATGGAATTTTCCTTTAGTTATGATGAAAGACTACAAAGAAAATAAGTAAAATACAGACTATATTAGGTAATGATTAATTCCAAGAACAAAAAATAAGACAGAGGATGGAGGCTCTGCAGCATTTAGGGGGAGGCTATATATAGGATAGCCAGGGAGAATTATACTGAGAAGATGATTTCTCAGGACTGAAGAAAGTGAGGAAGGATCTATATAGATGTATGAGAACATTCTACATGAAGAATAACAAGTCTGTTAAAAAAAATTAATGGGAAGGCAAGACTATGGAAATAGTAAGATCAGTGGTTGCAGGGATTGGGAGGAGGATGGGATATATAGGCGGAGTACAGGATTTCTAGGTCAGTGAAGCAGCCCTATATGAAACCGTAATAGTGGATATATGTCGTTATACATTTGTCCAAACTCTTAGAATGTACCACACAGAGAGTCAACCCTAATGTAAATTGTGGAGTTGAGTGATAATGATGCATCAAATATAGTTTCATCCGTAGTAGCAAACGCACCACTCTGGTGAGGAATATTGATAAAAGGGGAAGCTCGGCCTATGTGGGGCAGGGGGGTCTATGAGCAGTCTCTGTATCTTCTCTCACTATTGCTATGAACCCAGAACCTTTCTAAAAAATAAATCTGTTAAAATAATAATACTAAAAAGAAGGCCAATAGGAATAAAGTAGAGTTAAGGGGCAAGAATAATGAGAGGTATGTGAGAGGTAGTGGGGGCCAGATCATGCAAGGCTTTGTAAATTATGTTCAGTGGCTTACAATTATTTACTCTGACTAAAACCATGGCATGGAAGCATTGCAGGATTTTGAGTGGAAAATTGACAAATACTGACTTGTGTTTTAACAGGATTACTCTGACTACTAGATTAAGAATAGTCTGAATTAGATAAGAGAAAAAGCAGTGAAACCATTTAGAAGGCTATTGCAATAATCCAGAAGGATGGTGGTGGCTTGGGCCTAGGGTGGTGGCAGAATTGACCATAAGAAATGTTCAAATTCCAGTTTTTTTAAAAGGTAAAGATAATGTTATTTGCTGATGGACAAGATATGGAGTGAGAAAGAAAGGACTAATGAAGGGTGATGCTTAGTTTTTGGCCTTAGCAATTAGGAGAATATAGTTACTATTTAAAGAGGAAGTCTACGGAAAAAGCAAGTTTGGGATGGGAGTATCAGGAACTCATTTTAAACAAATGTTTGAGATACTTTTTAGACATCTAGGTGGTAATGTCAAGTAGGCCATCATATAGACCATCCTGGATTTCAAGGCTAGAGATAAAATCCTGGAAGTATTTATCACTCACATGATACTTAAAGGTACAAGACTATTTGAGATTGTACTTAGGACTTCTTTTCTCTCTATATTCATTAACTAGGACTGAGTCTTGGGGCTCTCCAGTCTTTAGAAGTTGGGAAATGAGGAAGAAACAGCAAAGTGGATAGAGAAAGGGCAGCAAGAATGATAGGAAGAAGACTAGGCAAGTTTGGTGTCTAAATTTGGTGTTATGATGAATGCATAGCAAATCTGTCTATATGTCAAATTAGATGAGATCTAGATCAAATAACATGAGAACCAAATAACTGGCAGTTGAGTTTAACAATTTGAAGGTCATTGGTAACTTTAATAAGAACAATTTCAGTGAAACAGTAGGGGCAAAAACCTCACAGTGGATCCAAAGACTTGAAAGAGAGCAATTGGCGACAGAGAGTATAGATAACACTTACTACTGGAAGTCTTTTATTATGAAAGCAAGCAGTACAGTAAGATAGTAATTGGAGGAGAAATGTATCTAAAAAGAAGTTATTTTGCTTTATGTTCTTGTTTTTAGATGGGAGAAATAACATCATGCTTGTAATCTTATAGAAATTATCCAGTAGGTGATTATTCAGGAGAGAGAGGAGAAAACTACTGGGGAAGTGTACTTGAGCAGGCGCATAAGCGAAGGAGTTGACCTTAACTGCGTTTTTCCCTGTAGTAAGAGAAGAGAAAGTAGCGTATGAGCAGAGAGGAAGGTAGATGGGTTGCTGGGAACTTGTTACTATTTATTTGTTGCTCTCTTGGGTTGGAGATGTTGAATTTGAGGTGCTTGGGAGACATCTTTGTGGATATATCAAGTCAGCAGTTGTTAATATATATGCACCCAATATAGGAGCACTTAAGTACATAGAGCAATTACTAACAGAGATAAAGGGGAATATTGATGGGAATACAATTATAGTTGGAGATCTTAACACCACATTAACATCACTACACAGATCTTCCAGACAGAAAATAAATAAGGCAACAGAGAAATTAAATAATACAATAGAAAAGTTAGATTTGGTGGATATTTTCAGAGCATTACACCCCCCAAAAATAGGATATACGTTCTTTTCAAGTGCACATGGAACATTTTCCAGGATTGATCATGTATTTGGGCACAAAAGAATCCTTAACAATGTTAAGAAGACAGAAATTATCTCAGGCATCTTTACTGACCACAATACCATGAAACTAGAAATCAACAACAGAGAAACAAAGAAGAAAAAAAGGAAAGCATAGAGATTAAACAATATGTTATTTAAAAAAACAATGGGTCAATGAGGACATCAAAGCTGAAATTAAAAAATACCTTGAGACAAATGACAATGAAAGCACAACCACTCAAAATCTATGGGACACAGCAAAGGCAGTGCTGAGGGAAGTTTATAGCGATACAGGCCTTCCTCAAAAAAGAAGAATAATCTCAAATAAACAGTTTAACCCACCAGCTGAATGAATTAGAAAAAGGGAACAAAAAGCCCCAAAAGGCAGCAGAAGGAAGGAAATTATAAAGATTAGAGAGGAAATAAATATGATAGAGATTAACAAGACCATAGGAAAAATCAACCAAACCAAAAGCTAGTTTTTTGAGAAAGTAAATAAAGTAGTTTGAAGTCCAGACAAGCTTCAGATTCAGAGTTTGTCAGCATAACAGATGATAATTGCAATCAGGTAGTATAGTAAGTGAGACAGCTCAGAGAAAATGTGTAAAGAAAAGAGTTGAGCACCTGAGACAGAATACCTGAGAGCACTGGCATTTATGGGGAGGAAAGATGGGGTGGAGGATTCACAAAGGCAGCTGAAAAGAAGTCAAAATGTAGGCTGAAGATCAGGCTGAAGCCAAGAGAGGACGTTTCAAGAGGGAGGGAATGGACAGCATTGTCAAAGGTAGCCAGTAGCTTGGATGTAATAAGTTGAGACAATGGTGAGTTTTGAGACCACAGTTTTTTTTTGAAGTGGAGGCAACAGAAGCCAGATTTTGGCATGGTGAGAAACAGGCAGTGAGTAAGCGGATATGGCAAACTCTCAAGATTTAAAGGTGGTCGAATGGGAAGACAAGGGAAGTGGAAAATGAAGTGTGACATAGGGTTTATGGAAGAGTTTGTATATTGTGTTTCAATATGGGAGAGATTTAACTTTTGTTTGATGCTAATAAGAAAAAAACAAAAATGGTTTTATAAAGAAATTTTACCCAGTTTATTCACGTGCTTATTTTTCTGAAAGGCTTCTTTGTAATTTTTCATATTTTTTGTCATTGTTCAGATTCTGAATAAAGATTCTTACACATAAATAAATTTCACATTTTGACTATAGATAATAAGGAACATGACACATTTGCTTGGACACAAGATGGTTTATTTTCCTGGAATTTGTAATTTAATTATAATTTATTCAGTAATTTAGTGATGTAAGGATTTTTTAAGATTACATTTTAAAAATCAACGATTACTTGTGTTCTTTGTTGACTTGGAAGCAGTCATATAAAATTACCCAGAACGACTTCATTTCTAAATTTCATTTTCTGCTAACATCCTCCATCAAACTGCTGTAGAGATAAACTGCTCTTTATCTATACTTCAACTCCATATTCAAAAATTGATTCCCCTTTCTTTCTTAGGAGATTTTAAAAAAGTTTGTTAGAACTGTGTTTACCCCTAAGGGTGAATCAGTTCTGTCCCTAGAGCTGTCATTTAAAATAAGTTTTATAATACTAAATATGCTGTGTGTGTATTTACATATATATGTGTAGATTGGTGGGTACATAGGTGACAAGGGAAGAAGGAAGGAAGGAAGGAGTAATGAAAGATGGGCTGAGTGTATTGTAAGAAATGTTGGAAACATAATTTGAATTTTCTGTGCAATCTAGAACTGAGTGTAAGGAATCATATTGTGATCCATATATCCTCCTTTTTCCCTAACTTCCTCATTTTCCCATCCTTTTTGTGTATGTGCAACCAAATACGGTGAGCATAGTCAGGAAGTCTACAAATCACAGATGTCTTCTTCAGATTTTCAAATGACAAACAAAATAGATGTTATTAAGCAGACAAATCTATTTATTAATTAAAAGGAAATGATTGTGATTTCTTGATTTTAAGGGGGAAAAATGCAATTTGGAGCAATCAAAACATAAGTGACTTTTCAGAATAAAGCATATGGTACAATAGCCAGTCTGGGATACCATTATTTTACTTTTAATTCAGTTCCTTTTTTCCCTTTTATGTTTTGAATTGTGTTAGTCAAAGTGAAAGGGAAGAATTTGAAAATGAGTTCAAACAACAGTATGAACGAGAAAAAGTATTATTAACTGAAGAAAATAAAAAACTGACAAGTGAACTTGATAAGGTGAGTGATTCAGTCTCATTTATATTCATTCCCACATGCTAGGTGTTCAGCACTATGATAGAAATTGTAGGTGTAATTTTATATTTGGTGTACATTTTTGGTTTAATATTTCTCCTTATGTGCAAGGATTGCTTCTACAGACAATTTTTCATTATACCGATCTGTACAGGAGTCTTCTGGAGAGAGATCTTATCTCATGCTTTGCCCCATTTATTTTTTGAGCCCCTATTCTTTATTTCACTTTCCATCTATTCTCTTTTACTCTTTTCTCTCATATTCATCACTTACTCTGTCCTGGCTAGCTAAGTTAAGGCTGCCTCTTGGCAAGAACAGGAACGATTAGGCCAAACTAGAGAAGTTTTGACAACTCTGATGTCATATTCATGATGGAGAACTGATAATAGCCAAAAATAATGCTATTGGTAGGTAAAAATTCAAAGAAACCAACTATGCCTAAACTCTATAGCTTGAATAAGGAGCAGATTTATTAAACTAGATTAAACTTAGAAGTAGAAAGATTTATGAACAAAATTTTAAATACTTAATGAAATCTTTTTCCTCTTAGTATCTCAGATTCCTCAAACTGCCATCATTCTGCATTTCGTATGTGTTAATAGCTATAAAAATCCCAATATTAATGAGGAGTTATAATAATTTTACTTACATCAAAATAAGGCTTGGATTAACTGTGTTTTACATGAGTTTAGCATTTTCCTTCAGTAAAAGTATTATGTTCAGTTAATAGTCATTTCAGTAACAATTTGAAAGACTGGCTAGTTGTAAAAGAGAAACTCTTCACTGTCTCAAGTTTCCATTGTGTTCCATATTTCTTTTCATTTCTCTCACTGTTTTCCCCATGATTATTTAGTTTTCTAAGCATTTAAGAATGACTTTGCTTTTTTGGTTGAAACTACTTGAGAAAGAACTGTGTTAGTTTCTTTTGTAATTACAAAGCTGATGCACATGGATGCTATGGAAAGTGTCCAAATAGTAAGTAACATAAATGGATTTTTTAAACTATGAATACTATATGAACATTATTGTATAATTCTGAGTTATTTTCACTAAAATAAAACTAACACTATTTAAACTTTATTCAAATAGTTCACATAATTTTTATTTCATGTTCTTGACTAGTATGACTACAAAATTAAACATCATTTCTGTCTACAAGACAGAATTTTAAGATTCTGTTAAGAGTTACCTTGAGGTAAGAAATATAATTAAACTCTAGAAGGCCACTTCATGTAGAGTTTCTAATTACCTAGTAAAAGATGGTACTATAGATTAAGAAAAATTGTAATATAATCAAATGAATGGAGATCAAATCTTATATTTACTTCTTGGTTTTATTTCATTATTAACCATAAAGCTCTGGCAAGTTTACCAGAAACATGTCTCTAGAAATAATTTTTTACAGTACTCTTTTTGTTTGAGGAGACTGAAGGAAAAAATTAAAGGCCTATCTCCTAGGATTAGAAAAAATTGCTTGTCTTGCTAAATTGCAAGATATGATAAAAGATACGAATAAAACTTTGAGAGCAAATTCATATGGTTGGCAAGTATTCAGTGACAAAAGATAATAGGGAAATATTTATTCCCCGAGAAATAGGGGAGGATCTGGGTCTCCCTTCATTGTAATATCTTCTCTATTTTTTGCTCCTTTATTCAGTTTTTCTTCTCTCTCTACTTAACTATCAGTTCACCTAATTGCACATCTTCACTATTTCTTTCCATTAATTCATTTTCTGGTTTGGCTTGAATTGGGTATTTTCCCCAAGAGGGATAGCCAGAGAACACCTGTGCCATTGCTATACCAGCTGTTCCGTTGGGAACCTGCTGAAGGAGAACTGAATGCCTTCTCAATAGAACTTCTGATATGGAAATGAAAAAAACAATTATTATGTTAATTTTGAAACTTAGGTAACTAATAGATTCTCAGAGTCATATTTCTCAACTCCAAAAATAAAAATTAAAAAGGAAATAGAAAAAAAGTTTGTTGATATTTTCAGAAAAAGTCTGTATTCAGAAGTTTCTATTAAAGGGTTAGTTATTGCAAATAAAATTAGCCATATATACCAAGAAGTGAAAGTAAATGGCTTTTAGTAAGAAACATTATCATCTGTATCTTGTTTTTAAATAATTATTTTACAAAAAAGCAAGATTACACAAAATGATTGAAAATACACAAGTGAACATTACCCATGATTTCATCATCACAAAATAACTATTTTAATTTTATATGTTCCTTTCCAGCTTTTGTATACATATTATTATATAATTGCAGTCATACATACATTTTATTTTCTAATCTCTTTTCAGGTGAAATATTATGAGCATTTTTCCATATTCCTATAGAATCTTAAATTATTATAAGCTAGATATGTCAATATACAGAGAGTAAAACTTCATTCCCAAGCAAGCAAAATGAACTAATACTTAGTAGAATTTACTTTTTGGAGGTCCTCTTCTGAGTTATCTTACATAAATTATTAATTCTCACAATAATTCTATGAGGTATACCCCATCATTTTTGCCATTTTATAGATGCAGAAGTTGAGGCAAAGGGAGATTAAGCTACTCTACTACTCTTAGAACTAGGAAGTGGCAGAACGAGATTGGAACCCAGGTATTCTGGCTCCAGAGTCTCCATGATTTTTATTCAGAAAGAATGAAAAGAGTAACTTTTTTCTGACTAATACTAAACAAATCTATTTAAGGCTATTTGTAACTATTGTTACCTGACAGTGCAAAATCTGTTTTTCCTCCTCTTCTTGCAAATCTCCAGCTGAAACCCCAACCACAAATTAGTTGGAAGAGCTGTCAAAAGCAATATTGATCAAAAAAGGGTGTGTTGTAGAAATTAGTGAAGACATTGTATCTGCAAAAAACATCCTCAGAAACAGCTGATAGACTTCTGACAATGCTAACATGAAGAGATTGATGGGGGATAAAAAGTTTTTTTAAAAAAAAAAAGTGGGGAGAGTATATAGCTCAGTGGTAGAATGTGTGCTTAGCATGCACGAGGTCCTGGGTTCAGTCCCTGGTACCTCCATTAAAAACAAACAAACAAACAAACAAACCTAATTAACTCCCCTCCCCAAACCAAATTTTTTTAAAAAGGAGATCGATAAATCCTTTCAAGGAAAAAAAATTCAAAGTGGTTACAGTTATGGAAAACAGTCATTTCAGAGCTCCCAGAATAAACCACCAGAAGACAACTACAAAACATTACTGAGATAAATTAAGGAATATCTAAACAAATGGAGCGATATGCTTTGTTAATCGAGTTGGAGGACTCAATATTGTTAGGATTTCTGTTCTCCCCTCATTGGTCTATAGATTCAGGTAAATCTCTATAAAAATTCTGGTAGGCTTTTTGTTAGAATTGACAAGCTTATCCTTAAATATATATGGGAATACAAAATATCTATAACAGCTGAAATATTTGGCAGGAGTAGGGTGGTACAAAAGTTGAAGAATTTATACCATAGAATTTTGAAACTAACTGTGAATCTACAGTAATCAAAAGACTGCAGTATTGGCATAATGGGGCAGAGTAAAGAGTCCAAAAATAAGACCACATGTTTATGGTCAATCAGGTTTCAGCAAAGGACTGAGACAATTCAGTAGGAAAAGGATAATCTTTTCAGCAAATGATGGAACAATTGGATATCTATGTGTAAAAAATTAACTTAGATCCTTATCTTGTATCATATGCAAAAATTATTTCAAAGTAGATCATAAAGTGAAATACAAGAGGTAAGCATAGGAGAAAATCTTTGTGATTTGGGGTTAGTCAAAGATTTCATAGATATGATATTAAAAGCACAAACCATGAGAGAAAAATAATTATAAATTGAATATTTAAGAAATGAAAAGACATACATATATGAGGAGGAAATGTTTTTAAATAATTTATCTGATAAAAGATTTATATTTGGAATATATAAAGAACTCTTAAAACTTAATAATAAACCTATAATGAAAAGGAATATGAAAATGAATATATGTATGTGTATGTATGACTGGGCTATTATGCTGTACACCAGAAATTGACAAGACATTGTAAACTGACTATTCCTCAGTTAAAAAAGAAAAAACCTCAATAATAAGAAATAATACAAACAACCCAAAGGAAAAAATGTGGAAAAAACTTAAAAGCCATTTCATGAAAGAAGATGTATAAATAACAAATAAGGACATGAAAAGGTGTTCAGTATCATTAGTCATTAGGAAAATGCAAGGTAAAACCATAGTAAGTTACTGTTGTACAGCCTCAAGAATGAATATCATCAGTCAGTGACCATACTAACTGTTGGGAAGGATGTGGAGACACTGGAACTCATACACTGCTTGTAGGAGTGCAAGATGGTGTAACCTCTTTAGAAAATAGTTTTGAAAAAAAGTTAAGTATACATTTACTGTATAACCCAGAAATTCTCCTAGATATTTATCCAAAAGAAATGAAAACATAGTTCCCTTAAAGACTTATGTTTGAATGTTCATAGCATCATTATTCACAATAGCAAATAACTGGAAGCAACACAAATGTTCATCAAGAAGTGAATGGATAGAGTGTACTAATAGCCGTATAATAGAATACTACTCAGCTCTGAAAAGGAGTGAATTTCCGATATGTTCAACCATCATGATTGAACCTCAATAATACGAACAGTAAAAAAAACCTGATACAAAAAGCTATGTATTGTATTATTTCATTGATAATTAAATTTCTAGAAAAGGTAACACTTAAGGCACAGAAAAGAGATCAGTGATGCCTGGAACTCAGGGTAGAAGCCAGAATCTGCAAACCAGCATGGGGGAAATTAATCAGGTACTGAAAGTGTTCCCAAACTAGATTGTGGTTATTGTTGCATAAATGTTTAAATTTACTAAAGATCACCAAATCATACACATATAATGGGTGAATTTTAAAGTATGTAATAAAACTGTAAAAAAAAAACTTATAAAATCCATTTTCAAAGGTAAATGGCACACCCTATGATACAAAACTTAAATCCCTTGTTCTCAATAGGCAGATGAGGGTGTGTGTTAGCAATGACAGCTTCTCTCACCCTATTTCCTTCCAAGAAGACAGTGAGGTTGGCAGTAGGATTAAATGGAGAATTACAGCTGTATACGCATAAAGCAATTTGTCCTTTGGCAGAGGGAAAGAAATCAGACTTCGCATTATGAATGGTGCCAGAACTGCCATTCTCAAAGAAGTACAGGTTAAAAACATACCAGAAAAACCCTGGGTCATTCGGAGAATTCCTGATGAACTTAGATTGGGGAGTTGGCAAACTAAGGACTGTGGCCAAACCCGGCCCTCAGGCTTATTTGGTATGACCCATGAGCTAACAATGATGTTTACATTAAAAAACGATTATTTCTAAAAAGAAGCCACATAGCCAAAACTATTTACTATCTAATTCTTTACTAGAAAGTTTGCAGACCCATGACTTAGAATGTGGTTTTAGCCTGTATTAAAAACTGAACCAATAGAAGATACACACACATGTACATAAGATGTTTATTGTAAGGAATTGACTCACATGATTATAGAGGCTGACGAGAGACCCTACAGAGAGAGGTCCCTCATCCTTTCCACCATGTGAGGTGAGGACACAACCAGAAAGCAGGCCTGCCGTAGACACTGAATCTGCTGGTGCCTTGATCTTGGACTTCCCAGCCTCCAGAGCTGCGAGGAATGTTTCCAGTTCAAGCCACCCAGACTGTGGGATTCCATTACAGCAGCCTAAATGGACTAGTCAGGAGCCTGCAAATAAAAGAGACCTAAAAGATACAGCAACCATTGAGTTATGTTTGCTTGTTAGTATCATGATCGAATTTAACAAACTGTTAAGTCTTTTGATATTTTGAGACAGCTGGAAATTTAAACAGTTACTACCTATGTGATCATGTAAGCAAACTTGTTCAGTTTGTTTGATATTGTGGTTGTATTTTAAAAGAGGGCCTTATTTTCTAGAGACATACATAGAAATATGTATGGTTAAAATTATATGATGTCTGGGATTTGCTTCAAAATAATACAGGAAGAAGGGGTAAGAAGACAGGAATACCAGTGAAATAAGACTGACATTGAGGCCATAATTATTGAGATTGGGGTCATGGGCTCATTGGAATTCACTTATACTCTACTGTCCATTTTTTGTAAGTTTTTTTTTTTAAGAGAATGACATAGAGACATTTTCTGACCAAAAAAAAGAAAGAGAGAAAGAATTCTTCAGGCCAATGAAGAACGTTCACAAATGGAACACATTCAATATAGGGAGTAAGTAATGGAAAAGCAAAAGCAGAGGAGAATTCAGAGCACTTGGTATTTCCAGATTCAGTGACCAGAGGGTACATAATACGAAATCAGGAAGACAAGAGTTTTTGAGTGGACTGTGGTGACTTACCAGACTTAACAGGAGGCATCTGAACACCTTGAATTCCTGTTCTTAAAAGTCACACGTGTCTTTAAAGTGTCTTAAAACTGCCTTTCAGCTTACTGCTTTGTATGAGAACTTAAGTACACGTAACCAGCAGTTAGAAGAAGAGGTAAAAGACCTAGCAGACAAGAAAGAATCAGTTGCACATTGGGAAGCCCAAATCACAGAAATAATTCAGTGGTGAGTAATCTTTTAAACGTGTTTTTATGGGTGATTTTGGCCATGTGGTAAAGTTGGTATGAATTCCATCAGGCTACTAACGTGTTCGTTTTTTTCACTGAAGTATAGTTGACATACAATATTATATTAGTTTTAGGTGTACAACATAGTGATTCAGCATTTTATGTACATTATGTACACCGTAAGTCTAGTAACATGCAAAGTTACTGCAATATTATTGACTGTATACCCTATGTTAGATATTACATCCCCGTTGACTTATTTATTTTATAGCCAGAAGTCTGTACCTTTTAATCCTCTTCATCTATTTTACCCAACCCCCTACCCCTCTGGCGACCACTCATTTATTCTCTGTGAGTCTGTTTCTGTTTTGTTTGTTTTTTTGGTTTTGTTTTGTTGTTGTTGTTTTGTTTATTTTTAGTTTCCACATTAGATAAAACCATACAGTATTTGTCTTTCTTTGTCTGACGTATAAATAATAATGTACTCTGAGCTGTGGTAGATGCTAAACCAACACCAGTTGAGGCCAATTAACCTGACCATTTAAATGTCAGTAGTTTTCTTCATTGCTACTGTGTAAGTGTTTTTGTACTCTTAAAAAAGATAGTCTTCCTCTATCCATATTTATTCTTTATACTATAGATTAGATGATTAAATGAAAAGATTACAATCACTTGTGGTGTCCAAAGTTAAAAAGAATTTTAGAAGGAAACAACATCCCTCTGTACAAACTTTCTTAATATTTTCTAAATCCATTTTTCTTTAAAAGATAATAAAAATATATACATGTATGTAGGGCCTAAAAATACGTAAAAATCACTAGAGTGGGCCACTTCTTACAATGATTTTATTGCTTCTTTGTTTAGATTCTTTAGCTTGTCCTCCAAAACACTTTCCATCTGAGAGAAGAAAAGATCTAAAGATCTTTTTAAAGGGCTTCTTTGAGATAAAGAGATAGGTGGGTAGATGGATGAATTTGACTCCTCAGGAGTTTAAATTCTAAAAGATGCTGTGGCAAGGCTCAAGATTTAAGCTTGTCTGCTGTATGCATCACATATACATGTTGATTTACCTGAAATATACTTTCTTCATAGATATTCAATGGCCTGAATTTTATCTGTGAAAGCAACCAACCTGTACAAAGACAGATAGTCTTCCCCAGGGTATATTAGAATATACTTTTGAACATTGCAAATTTCAACACTTTTTTTTTCTTTTGTGCAATTATGGCTTTCTATATGCCAGTGTTTTTCATTTCTTTTGAGAATGGGACCTTCTGTGTAGATTTTTATATGCTGGCACTGCCCACTCCCTAGTCTTCTCCTTGTTTTGGAGGAGATGTAACAAAATGTAGACTTTATCCTAAGAAATTCTAGAATGTAGAATTTGTCTCCTTGAATATAATTTGAAAATATTTCTATTTAAAAACATAATAATTACATCAGCAAGATAGCCTTAAGACAATAAATAGAAACTGAGTTTCAGTAGACTTTAATCTTACCTCTTTGTTATTTTATTGACCATTTTGGAAAACAAAAGAGCTTTATTACAATACAACCCTGAGTTTTGCAGAATATTCTACTTTAAACTTTATAAATTTATTGTACTTCAGTTTTAAGAAGGGTGTGTTGTGTTTTCATAAGATAAAGATAGAATCTAATTAATAAGAAATCTTAAAATTCTTTAGAAATGAAGTGCATGTGTGTGTGTGTGTGTGTGGTTTATTGTTAGATTAAAAGTATTCTGTGGTTCCAGGGTTAAATTTTACTAATTTATCAGATACATATATTTTGGACCTTCCTAAACATGGCCAGCTTTAATCTGTAAATAACTGAACAGTAAACTATGTCCCAGTTGTTGACAGTAGTACTGTAATAAACCTTTAGAAATAAGATATTTAAGAACATCTTTATATTTCTGTTACTTTTCACTTACTTCTTTATGATGCTTTAACATATATCTCACTAAAGTTTTCTGTTTTACTTTGGTTCTTTACCTCTGTCTTTATATGCATATATTCTAGGGTCAGTGATGAAAAGGATGCACGAGGATATCTTCAGGCCTTAGCTTCTAAAATGACAGAAGAATTGGAAGCATTAAGAAATTCCAGCTTGGGTACACGAGCAACAGTAAGCTCTGCCATTTTACAAGGAGGCTTATTGTGTTATTAGGGAAAAGACTCAAAACACACTGTCATAAATAGGCTTTGCAGACTTTAAGATTTTCATGAGAAATCATTCTAAGTCTTTTCCATAGGAAATCATAATACGCGGCTGCCTAACTGTAATTTGCATGGCTAGCCATTGTTGGTAATAACTATAAAAAGTAAATGTGTTTATACGTGAGTTTACAATTGTTTCTGAGTTTAAGGAAAATTAATTTATTTTCACAAGTAATGTTTCTATTTTATTCTGTAATTAAGGAAAGGTAATTCTTTCAGTTAGTTTCCAAATTCATTTATATTACTAAATTTAAATGTTAAAACTAAAATAGAGTGGAGCTAAAAATGCAGTTACATCCTCTCATAGGATATGCCCTGGAAAATGCGTCGTTTTGCAAAACTGGATATGTCAGCTCGATTGGAGTTACAGTCAGCTCTGGATGCAGAAATAAGAGCCAAACAGGCTATCCAAGAAGAACTGAATAAAGTTAAAGCATCTAACATCATAACAGAATGGTAAGATTGAATAATATTGTCCCTCTAGAGTGATTTCTAATTTGGTCCAGTATTTGGAGAGAAGTTACATATTTAGTTCCCTACCTATCACTTTTTTTTTTAAGTGATGATCAGAGGAAAAATTATGAAAATTTGAAAATGAGTGGATGCTTTCAGGCCTTGTGTGCAGTGATGGTATTTTAACACATCTTTGTTTTCATCTGACTCGTCCATAAAGTGGAATTAATAGTACTAATTAAATTTCTATTATTTCCTTTTCCCCTTATTTGTAAAATTTAGTTCATGCTCAAATTTTACTCCATTAAATCCGAAGTCCTCTCATGTTCAAGAATACCATATTAATATAAAAATGCAGCACAGAGTCAGAACAAATGATAGTCATCTGAAAATTCTGGGTTCTTACTTTTTTTTTTTTTTACAAATGAAGGTTCTAGTGATGGTAAATTTCATAATGGTATAGTGTATTTAAATTATATTTGTTTTTCATGTTCTTTTATGTTTAAAAAAAAAAGGTATATCCTCCACAGTCTCCATGTGGATGAATACATTCCTTCCATTATCACAACAGTGGAACAGATTATACTCTGAATAAATAAATGATAAAGCAAAAATTGTAGCTGAATTGGGTATTAAAATGTTTTAAGAATAAGTCAGTATAGGTAATAATAGAGGAGCAATAGGAAGTTCATGTTACTAATCAAAATATAAATGAAAAAAATCTATTCAGTACTCAGGATACCAAAGCTTACAAAGGCATTTAGTCATGAAAAAAATACAGTCCCCTAAACTCAGTTTTTAATGATATGAAGCCTTAGTCATTAAACTGCAGTCATTAATGTTTTGATTTATGTCAGAGGCCAGATACATGGCACCCCAGTTAAATTATAAATTCTTGCTATAAACTATCCAATTGTAAAGTAAGTATGCTTTTCTTAAATGTGCCAGTGTGACATTGAAAATGGAAAAAAAAAACTTTCTGGAGAATATAAATTGATCTCAACATAAGGAGCTACTAAATGTCATTCTCTGTTTTATAATTTGGAATAAGTGTGATCTTTCTTCTTATATTTAAGACATATGAATTTACACATTTGTCTGTAAATTGGGAATATGAGTCAAACTGAAAATTATAAACTTACTTTTGTGATTGTCTATGAAAGAAATCTAACAGAATTCTAACATTAACCTTAGATTTTATGACATTTTTAAATTTAGTAATTTAGCTCAAGACCAGCAACTTTTTCTATAAAATAGTAAATGCTTTTTGTAGGCCATATAGTCTCTGTCTACTCAAGTCTGCTGTTGTAGTGCAAAAAGCAGCCTCAGACAGCCTGTAAATGGATGACCCTGGCTGCGATGCAGTAAAACTTTATTTACGCAAAAGTAGATGACAGGCTGTATTTGTCCTTCCTGTAGTAGTTTGCAGTTTCCTAATTTATCATGACTGACACTTAAACCAAATAAGTCCAGCTACATATATGATGGCTTACTAACCAACAATATAAATAATGTCATTTTTCCTTTTTTTCCCCTATTTAAGTAAACTAAAAGATTCAGAGAAGAAGAACTTGGAACTACTATCAGAAATCGAACAACTGATAAAGGACACTGAAGAGCTTAGATCTGAAAAGGGTATGGGAATGTGCTTTGCATCAATCAGGACTTAATGTTCTGTTATGAATACATTTTATTACACAAGAATCAGCTTATTGTATAGGTAGAGTTGTTCACACACACAATTCTGGCACTCATTTATGGATGTATATATGCATGTGATACACACATACATACACATAGTTGGTAGACAGGTCTCTTGAGTTTAACTTGATAAACATTGTTTTAAGATTTCATAATAGCAGAAAAACTCACTATGCCATAAATTTGATGGTTTTTTCAGTGCCATGGACTATTTCATGAACAATATTTTTGTGATTGGAAAAAATTATTTTATCATTTCGTTTTTTAAAATCAGAATATTGTAAGTTTTTTGGGGGGGAGGATAATTAGGTTTATTTGTTTTTGGAGGAGGTACTAGGGGTTGAACGCATTCTAACACTTGAGGTTTGCCCTCCCCCAGGGTAGTTGTTTTCCTAGTGGAAGGATCTCTTCTGTGCCGGTATTAGAACTTCATTTTCCTGACACCATTCCTGACTGAATGCTAGGCTAAGTTAATTGGCTCTGTATTATGCTTATGTGCCTCCCTGTCATTTCCTAGTCCTGTGGCACACAGTAAAGTAAAGTTAGTTGGGTTGCCACATCTGCTTTTAAAATTGTGGATGAAAGAGGATAATCACACAGAGTTGACTTGAAAAGCCATTAAAAGCAGTAGGTGTTCAATACATTTTTGTTGATTGAATTTCCTAGTGAATAAGAAAGGAAGGAACCCAGAAAAAGTGAATTAGGAACTTAGATTAGGAGCACAAGCCATCATAGTAAAGTGAGAGTCAAGCTCAATTTTCATATGTGGAGAGCGTAAGGAGCTGCACTATTCAGTGAGTAGAGAAAAAAGAATATATAAGACAAGGAGGACCTGTGGTCCTGAAGGCAATTTATATAGAAAAGAGCCCAAAGCAAAGTATGACTTAGTAAAACTCACCAAGTGGTATTGATTTCATCATTTTTAGAATAGATCTAAACTTGTGGAGGAAAAAACAAAGTTTATCACATTATATGTTAACCTATAGCTTTTATTGGAGTTTTGAACATTCCAGTATGATAAAATCTTGCTATATGTTGTAACATGTACTGTATACTACACTGCTTAAAACTATAATTGATACACTATACTACTTAAATAATACAATATAATATTGATATAATGAGGGCAAGGATTTTTTTTATGCTTTATTTACTGTCATATCCCCAGTATCTAGACAAAGTTTGGCAATTAAGAGGGTTTCAATAAGTATTTATTGATGAAATGAATTTCTGAACATACTGATTATCTGGCAACTGTGGTATACTATTAGAGAGTAATATGAAAGTGCACAAATAAGTTACCAGTTCCTAAGGATATAGAGATAAAAAATTTGTATTTCATTTTTTCTCCTATTTCTTCCCTAGTATTTATCATTATATGTGTATTTTAAGAATTATTTTGGAAATTATGCATTTAAAGTTAATATCATAGCCAAGAGATATGCATGACATTTTTAAAACTTCTCTGAGAAAAAGCTAGGGTTTGGTGTCTTCATTCTCCAACCCAAGTTCTTAGACAGATTTTAAAAATTTTACACAATTTCTGTCAATAAAACAATAAATGAAATCAGATTGAGGCCTTGGCAAAAGTTTTTTCATAATTAAATACATTAGTTTTATCGCTAAACTATTTTTTATAAAAGATTATTTATGTCAGTACATATTATATGCTTGATTAGAGTATTTCAGAACAGAAATCTTGTTTGGTAATAAATGAATTACCTTAGAAAAATTAAACATAACCAGAGCCCTCTTTTTAAAAATTTCTCAAATCTACCAGAAGATTTAATGTGCTTTTTGTGGTGTACTATACAGGAAAAGAAATTCAAGAACTCAAGTCTTAAGTCAAGAAGCAAGTATTTCAGGAAACTGATGTAATTTAACTGTTGAGTGATATTCCAAGAAATGCTAATGTATTTTAGTTTTTTAAATATGTGGAGTTAATAATATTGACTGCTTTTAAAATACGGTAATTTTCAGGCAGCCTTTAATAGATGCAGAAAGGAAAGGTTGTCCATGAAAATTAGTTTGAATTGTTCTAGTTTTAAAAAAAAGTTGCTGCTGTCTTCTAGGTATAGAGCACCAAGACTCACAGCATTCTTTCTTGGCATTTTTGAATACGCCTACCGATGCTCTGGATCAATTTGAAGTAAGTATTGAACTTTTCAAATACCCTCTGCGGTCAGCGTAAAGTTTACTCTGTGATCTAAAGTTTATTTGCAGTAAAACTGTTTTATTGCATCTCATATAAAAGGACCTAGAATCTTATATCAACAAAAACGTATTAGGGAAGGAACATGTTCTGCAAGCTTATGAAAACTTTAATCACATTTGTATTTAAGAAAAATCTAAGAAAGATCTAAATAAGAGAGTCATTTTAGGGTTAATAGAAATTTCTTCTCTTCTTTTGAGACACAGGAGGTGCAGCACAAATCCTAACTTTAAATAATTGTGACACTCTTCTTTTTTCTCCAAAGCATAGAGCCACAATATTAACAAGTGAAAACATCAGGGCTCACAGTCGGGGAATGCTGGTTCTAGTCTCAAATCAATTCAATTTTTTAGACGCATACCAAAGGAATGCTTTTTGTTAAAGTATTCCATAATAATGGAATATTGATTGTATGACTCTGTCATTCTTTGGTTCTTAAATTCTTGGCTAGGAAAAAATATGTAATATAAAGAATATTTTTGTCTCCAAAAATTTAAGTTAGTGATTGTGTCTTTATCAACAAATAATCATATACCTCTGTGTAAGGCACTGTGCTAGGTGCTGGAGATACAGTAGGGACCAAATTGACAAGTCCTGCCCGTCAAGAAGCTTACATTCTAGTGGGGACAATTAGAGGCAGAGATTCTGTTGTTTAACTTTTAGTTGTTACTTTCTAAATTGCTTCCATTTAATTTGATTGTTAATGATTTGCCATGAGCTTCAGTTTATTACATTTTGGGCACAGTATATGAATTATATTTCATTCCTTTGGGAAAGGGAAAAAGAATCATTCTTTAAAAAGTAATGAATTTCTAAGTCTCTTGAGAAACAATGACAGTGACTGCTTTTCTCATTTATTTATTTGAATTAATGTCATTTGCCTTTCAATTGTTTTACAAAATTTTTGATTTATTATTTGTTCTTATTAAATTGCTTCATCCATATTTTCTATTTTTTTATTGCTGTATTCGTTAAATAGGATTCCTTTTCTTCTTCCTCATCTTCACTGATTGATTTTTTGGATGACGTAAGTCTTTGATTTTCAAACCAATGCATCCTTCAGTAAAAGAGATCAGTGAATTGATATGAAGAATTTACCTAGTAATGCAGTCAGTTTTAGAAATATCACACTTGATAATATGTGAGCCAAAATGTGCTCCTTTTTATCTTAAATATTATAAAGAGTTATCATTATTAAACATAATAAAGTAAAAATGTACTTTTAAAATTGCGTTGGCCATCAGAGAATCTCTATAGTTCCATTCATTACAATAATTCTGAAGACTGGAGTGCTTGTTTGATTATTGTCACTATATAGATATATTGATATAAATAATTGCTCATTTTTGTTTTTCACAGAAATTTCTACTTCATATTTCCCTTTTCTTTTCAGCACTTTACTATTTAGTTTCTATGTTAGTTAAAAATAAACCTCTGGTGGTATAATCAGAAAAAGTGACATGTTTTATTAAATCTTCCAGTAGATTTTATTGTAACACAATAATGAGTACAAATCAATTTTTAATGCTGACAGAATTTCTCTTCTAATACGAGAAGTGATTTTAGTTAACATGTACACTATATGCACTATAAATTGACTGCATTATCATTTTCTCTCCTAAATTAATTCTATAGATTTAATAATTTAGAAGTTCCTAATGTATATCGTTCGTTCTCTTTAAAGAAAATACCTGACATATACATTCTCTCTATTCCTCATTAAATGACATAGTAACTCTTGTTGTAAAGTATTTTGTTATCCTGTTGAACATACTGTCTTTCCAGAAATTGGGAAATAAAATGGTTCAAATGCAAATATTGTGCTTATAACTGTTTTGTAAACCAGGAGAGTTCTTTAAATGTTTCATTTTTTTGTGTTTTGTTATATGTAATTCTTATATAAAGAAGAGTATTAAGCATAATTTTCTACTAAAGAAAACTCCTGATCTATAGTTTTGAAGTATTTCAAGTAATTTTTTTATTTCTTTGAAACATTTATACCAATGTATGCACCTTTTCACTCTAAATGGGCACTATTTTATTGTTCTTGAGACAAATAATTATTTTACTTAATTCCACAGTGTGATAAAGAGAGAACTCTCTTGTGTAACATTTGGTATTATAATCTGCTGTACATTTTACCTCTTCTAAAATACTCAATATGGTATTTCCATACAGATGACATTTACCTTAAAATGAATGAGAAGGAAATTTGAACAAATATTTTAATTGTTCTTTCCACTAGAAAACCATTTTCACTTTTTTCTTTCTAACGAACTCTTCTCTGCATCCCCCTTTCTCCCAAAGAAATCATAGACTATAAAACACCAGAGTAGTATTTATTTTGTAAGATAGATTAGCCTTTCTCAGCGGAAGCACACCTCAGCACACTCCTGCCTCATCTCTGCTCTTCCGCCTCCACCCACCCATAGTGTCTGAGGTTCCCACTTTCACTTTTCCTCCAGGAGTATCCTTTCTTACACTTCTATTACTCAGCATGGATTTAGTTCAGACATACTTCTAAATTGTGAAGCAGTACAAAGGAATTCCTATTGTAAACGGGAACTAAGTTCACAGAGGCTGCCAAATCTTTATGATTCAGGCTCCAGCTCTTCAAGGGCATAGTTTTTCTCTCATTTGCTTCCTAAGCACTTTTCTCTCAATTTATTGCACTTCAGCACTTAAGTTGACTCAAATCAAATCGGACTCTACCACTTTCTGGGTGTATTATTTGGAGCAAGTTATCTAACCTTTCTATGCCCCAGTTTGCTCATCTGACAAACAGGGATAATAATAATACTAATCTCATATGGTTGTTTGAGAATTTAAAGAAACAATATGTGTAATGCCCTCAATAATATTGGTTATTATTTCCTTACTCTTATTGACCAGTTCTTCTCCGTTCCTGTGTTCTCTTTAGCTTCCTTTCTTGTCCAGGAATTCAGTTTCACTTAAGTGCTTTCTTAGACTTCACTACTCAGCCTTCCACTCACCATCAATATGGATCATTATAGTTTCCTCCGTTGAATCACATTACCACTGGAAAATGATTTTTATATAATTCCCCATTTGAAAAAAAAACAACTCTATATTCTTAATTTATATTTGGTGGCATAAAACTCTTATTTCTCTTCATAATTTATAACTGTTACCATCCTTCACAGTGTATCATCCATTTCATCTTCCAAGTCATACTAGAATGGTGTTCTGAATAATGGTATTCAATCTTTGGCATGCTGGGTTCAGCATCCAAGATATTTAGTATAAAACTCAAGTTCTATAGCTTTCTTTCTCCTAGGCATTTGGATTCCTAAGGAATAAAATAAATCTTGATTGTTCTTTGTGCCAAAACTAGTTAGATTGTTGTGCATGATGTTTATAATATGTGACAGCTGCCTATAGTAAGTAGATTAACTCTTAACTGTCCTGTAGAATATATCCTCTGCTCATTCTTTTCTGTTTTCTATCTCATTACTGTCGAAAAGAAAAAGATTATGTTAAAGACCTAAAATTGAATTGCAGTTGGAATTTGTAGGTATAGGAAGGCATAAGGTTAGTTTTAAGCAAAATTGCACAAATCAAGTTTTCCCTTGGTGTCCACACATCATTGACCTTCTCCATCTGCCCCTAGTAGCCTAATGCCCTCATAGTGCCTGCCCAGTTCTTCAGAGTTTTACCACCAGTGTGTCCCCTCCTCCAAAGTTACCTTCTACTTTTTACCTTAACCCTCCCACCCAGACCTATTACATCTATAATTCCTTTACTTAAAACAGTGCACCTAATCGCTCTCCTACCTCTGATTTTTCCTCCATATATTTTGCCTATTAATTCAAAATTCAAATGAATGCTAGGATTTGGGGCAATATGAAAAGACATTTGGGGCAATGTGGGAAGACATTCGGGGCAAGATGCTTTCCTTTTAAGCTACACTGTTTAGACAACTCTTGGCAGAAGAGAAAGCATATGTGATACCAGTCCCTTCCTTCCCTCTGATTCAGGCAAAGCCGACTACATTCTCAGCACTCTGCTTCTGTAAGCGGGAGAACTTAGGCATTTAGGCTTTTCTAAATGAAGGATAATAGACTTTTGAAAGAGAAAAGAACCTTAGGAAATCTTTAGTCCGGTGGTTTTAGTCATTATTTGCCACGACACTCCCACTAATAGATAGGTTACTCTTCCATTAGTGAGAATGACTTTTTAGGGTTCTCAGTCTTTGGGGGACTAGGGAAGTGTTGATAAAGAGGTAATGTATAACATTCTTTAGGGCAGGTAAAAGGGGTTTTAGGAGAAACTGAGACCATTTTGATAAGTGATCTCTTGGGTAAGGCATTTGCATATGAGATTTTAAGACAGCAGTGGAACAGATACCAGAATCCCATCTGCTGTGGAAATTATTTCCTCTTTTACCCTCATCTTTCTTCTCACCCCCACATGCCCAATCTAGACTGCCTGTGATTACTGCATATTAGGCCCAGCTTCATCCTCCAGGTAACAGTTGGGGAGCAAATGGAGCACAGCAGCTTGGGTTTTCCCCCATCTGTTCCCTGCATTCCAATGGTAACAGATCTAGGGATCATCAGACCAAGCTTACAGGAACTTTCTCTTCTGTTCAGTTTATTTTTTTCTTTTCAAATGAACCCCCAAAATGCTTGACTTGACTGTGTTAAGGGGATACTAATTACAGTTATATAAATGAATTAGTTGCTGTTTATATTTGATAAACATATTGACATATATTAAATATATTCCAGGTAAGTTTTGAGTTTTATTAAATTACAGTTCTATACTCTGTTCATTTAGCCTAAGTTCACAAAAATGGAAATTGTCCACTTATCTGGCAAATGAGAATGTATCAACTTGCTTTTTGGAGATTGTCTTACTCTAGTGTACTGAAGAAAGAGTAAATCAAGGAGTTAAAGCTCCAGGATGAAAAGGTCAGACATAAAGGAATAGAGATAGTACTTATAGTCCAACTGCCCCGGCCTCCTAATATTGTGTTCTTTTCTTGGATCTGGTGTATTAAGAGAAGAACTGTCTGAGCATATTGGCAGGCTGAGTTCCACTCTTGGTTTTGGCCTCATATAAAATCTTAACTAAGGCCTCCCAGAATAATTACTGTCAGCCCTGGCTCCTAACTTCCTTCATTCATCTCTTGTTTTTAACATTGTTCTCTCCCCTGGCTTCTTTCCTATTGTCTCGTAACCAATCACAGAAATCTGAGGCTTGGCAGCATAGTTTTAGCTGTATCTGGGAAAAGTTTATCATACATGAGAATCAATGGAAGATGAAATTCTAAAACATGCATTGTAAAGATTTTTTTTTAATCCTATGACCAAAGCTAGGCCTAGATCCTTCTGAGTAATTATGGCATTCCTATAATTTCCTCCTTCAATTCCTGTTTTTTGAAACTTCCACATATTAAGTACAACCTGACTTGAAACTCTCACATTTCAGAAGATTGTCATATGTAGTCCTTCTCTAATTTAGGCAATATGTTATATTGTATATTATATATCATATTTTATAATATATTTGGTCAATCTAGAGGGAGAGAACCATAACTACATAGTCTTTTACCTCATCAGTATTTTATTAAATAAGACCTCTGAAATTCATTAATTGAACCTTAAAATCTATTAGCCAAATTGTGTGTCCATAAGATAGCTTAACTTCTTTTGATTTCTGTATATGTGCTTACTTCCATAATCAGCCTTAAAGTTCTGTGTGGCAATTTATAAACCTAAGTTTAAAACCATATTTTTAAATGGTATATGATTGCATGTTAAGAAAATGTACTGGTTTTCAGTGCTTGCTGTGAAATCAATTTCAGTGTTTATAGAAAAGCATGATGTGTTTGGGTGTGTGCAAGAGACTGTATCTGTGTTTTACCTTAATTGCACCATCAGGAAAGTGTAATTCGCCCTTTTCTACTGAAAACATAAAAAATAGTCTAATTTCTCAGTAGCCACTTGGGTAAGAACATTATTACAATGGTGATTTAGTATCTCTGTTAGCTTAGTGTTAAATGCCAGCTTAGACAGCGTGTTGTCCTTCATATACAAAAACAGTTTTGAGAGACATTTTGACTTGCTTTTGGTATAGTGGTAGTATATTTACTTTGAGCTATTCATTCTCTGTTTCATGGTTTTAACACACTCTAGACTTTTGTCAAGGAGTATGGATAGCCGAAAAGTAAGAGTTTTTCTATGTTAAATATTTTCATGCTTTTTATATGTGTGGTACTCCAGTGTACAAAGTAGTAGATACTAAGATAAATTAGACGTAAAAGTAGACCTCAAGATGCTTATCTTATTATTAAAAAATTAAATAGAGTTATATGAAGTATAAAATGATAAATGCCATAAGAAATATTTGGGTTAAATATTATGGACTTTCAGAAGGCATCATTCAATATTTATTAAGAATTTTTAAATTTATAAGCTTTACACTAAGCATAATAATATAACATTTTCTACCCTTAAGTATCTGAGTCTTGTGGAAAAGAAGCATCTAAACAAGTAATTATAACACCAATGAAGTACAATAGTAAAAGATATGGGCTGCATATCATGACAGTATAAAGGAGAAATTATGGAGTTTAGGTTTTATCAGTCCCATGTGTAATAATTATTAAAAGGTTTAACAGAGAAAAAAGGTGACCAGCTTCATTTTGGACAAGTTAAGCTTGAGATGCCTGAGAGATATCCATGTGGAGATGTCCATTAGATACTTTTCTAGATAAGTCAGAAGTTTAAGGAAAAGGAATGAACTGGCAATAGAAATTTGGAAATAATGCGCCTAGTTGAAAGTAAATCGAGATCTCCCAGCAAGAGATTGTGGCAGGAGAAAAGTAGTGAGTCAGAACAGAAACCTGGGGATCTCTCACATTGAGAAGGGGATGGACGAATAGGACTCCACAAAAGAGAAGTAGGAGCAGTGGCCGCAGGAGGTGAAGTTAATCAGGAAAGTGTCATGTCACAAAAACTGAGGGAGCACAGATTTTTAGGAGGGAATGGTCAGCAGCCTCAGGTACAGCCAAGATGTCTGATAGCATAGGACAGACAGGAAATGCTGATCCTATCAGCATTTCGTTAGAGCAGTTCAAGCGGAAGCCAAATTGTACTGTACTGAGAAGTGAATTGAAACTCTTGGAAGTAAAGACTGATTATACCATTTTGGGAAGTCTGACTGAGAAGGTTTGAATTCCAGCCCCACCTCTGTTTTGTGACCTGTTGCAGGTTAATCTGTTTCCTTCATGTTTAAATGGGGATCATAATACCTACCTTACAGGGTGTCTATGAGAATTAAAAGAGTTAATATATATAAAGCATTTTGAAAAGTACCTGTGTATATTTTACACATGACAAATGTTAGCTATTATCATTATTAAGGAGAAGACAGGAGAGATTAAATGTTAGCTAGCGGAAGGGTGGAGGATGGAATTGTTTGGTTGTTTGGTTTGGGAGAGTGTGGAGGGAGACAGATACTTCTTATTAATAACTGATGGAATATAACCAGGTTTGAATCTGAGACTTTAGCCACTACCAGAAGACTGACTGGACTAAGGTGAACCTGTTCAGAAATCTGCAGACCTGCAGATCCTGGTTTGCTGTTAACTCGTTGGGAGATCATGTTCAAGTCACCTTCCATACCAGTTTCCTATAGAAAGAAAGAATAGTTCCTGTTTACCAATCTGCCAGAGTTTGGGACAGAGAAAACTGATAATCTTGAGTGATGTTTCCTATCCTTGAAGTTTTCTCTGATATCTTCTGTAAGTCCTGTAGACTCAGTTTATAAATTCCATCTTCTAGGTCCCCATAAAAATCTTGAACTTCCTCCTCTAGGTTCCCATACAATCTTTGTACATATCCTCATTATAGCATTTGTCGCATTGTTTATGGCTTGATGTCTTCCCCACTAGTCTGTGAACTGCCATGCCCTCTTTTATCTGTTAAGTACCTGACTTATTGTAAACCCTCAGTAAATATCAGGTTGGATTGAATGTAGGAAATTGCCTGAATTGTACATATGGTTTGTATTTGTGAGGCTCTATTGCTTGAGCATCACAAATTTCAAAAACTTGAAAAATATTTTTGTATAATTATTATCTACTTATTGTTATTGTTACTCTTTCCTATTACTTAATTCTTTAATGTCAGAAAGGTGAAGGTGCCTCTTTTGATTTAGCCTAGTATCTAGTTAGGATGGACCGTATTGTTGAAGTAACTGTTTCAGAAGTATTGATTCATCATGAAGAATTCTAAAAGCCTGATTTAGCCCTTATCATTTAAAAGAATCATCTTTGAAAGGAGAATTTGGTAGATAAATGTCTGAAGCAAGACTAGTTAATTAAATATTTTATTAAGCACTAACTAGCACTAAATCAGAATTGTTTAGATCCTTTTTGTGCTCCCGTATGGTTGCCACTACCAGCCTTTACAGAAAAAAAAATTGACCATAGCTTGATGGAGTATTATTTGGTGGGTCACTGCGCAAGGTCCAATGGAAATTTTGTTACCACTCTTAGACCTAGCCTGAGCAACTATTTCTTTACATTCCTATTTTCCAGTTTTTCCTGAAAATACATGTACTTTCAACCTATCAAAAATGTCTTTATATGTCTGTTTATATATTTTGTCTGTTAATACAGTATTAGTCATTGAGAATCATGCGTGTAAGTTATTTGTAACGTAGTATTCTCCTTTCTTTGTTGAAGCGCTCTCCATCCTGTACTCCAGCTAGCAAAGGCAGACGTGTAAGAGACTATATTGCACCTTGTGTGCCATTCCGATGCCCTCTACCCTCTTATCCTTTTTGCCTGTGGTTGCAGTACATGCTACCGTTTTGTGATGTATTATTACATTTATTGCATGCTTTGTGCTGCTGCTCCTGCTATTGCTATTCTGCTTTTCTGTATTTTCTTTCCTTTTCTTTTTCTTTTTTGGCTTTGGCCGCAAAGCTTTAGGAATGTTCATATAAATTTCTGTAACCAAACTACTGAAACTTTAAGGTATCTTTTTTTATTTTGATTGGGTAAAGTTTTGATCCTAAAGTATACTTCCAAATTGGTCATGTACAAAGTAAATTAGTTTCTAAGTAACAGTCTGATGTAAGCAATTATGTAGAGAGTCTTAGAAATTTTAATTACGTAGAAAGAAAAATTGATAATTCATATTATGCAAAACTCAAAAAGATTTGGGACAAGTTACTGACTATAAGTTTATGTAAATCAGTTCTGGAGAAATCTTTGATTTTTTTAATGTAGTTCAAAGTAATATGCCCAAATATCTTATATTTATAGATTTGAGGCAGTGATGTTGGTAATAAGTCATTTATGGTCTAAGATATTGCCAAGATTTTAAAAATATTTATAGCATTCTCAATATATGTACTGACAACAAACTATAAACATCTTCGTATGCTAAGGCTCGGTCAGTGTTTCTCAGTCTTAAATGGGTCAGCCTGTATCCTGCAAGATTCTGATATGCCTAGAATGGGGAATCTATTTATGAAAAGGTCTCAAATTTTTCTAAACCAGCCTCCACCCCAGCACCCATATACATACATACATTCAGACTCACTAGTTGAGAAGCAGTGGGCTAGCTGACACTCTTTGCTCTGGTTTTCATGTGCAATGTAAGTAATAACATTTAAAAGGAAAATCTGTCATAGACACAGGTTTTAAATTTTCACTTGTCAGCTTCATGATCATTGATGTTAATCAACACCTTATATCCAGACTTCTTGGACTGGGAAAATTCTAAATCAGGGAATGAATGAGAAGCAGTAGAGTAACCCACTGCATACTGTGCTGTTACCTTTCTGGTGTGATGAAGAGTTGATTGTAAAATTAACATGATTAGTCCTAATATAGCACATATTTCCAAACTACTGTCTAAAAATGAATAAGCAATTCAGATACTGGTGGTATGGCCAGTAAACCCCAACTTTCAACTGATACCTCATTAATTGATGAAGTTTATGAAAAGATTGCTGGTCAGCTGACTTACTAATTATTTTGACATTTGTAGAGAGTTAAAACCATTGAGTATTTGGATTTATCCAATTTGAGTATGTATTAATTATATCATGTAACCTCTAGAAGGGAAGACCAAAATGTTGTTGCCCAGTTATGTTAGGTTCAAATCATCAGGCTGTGAATTGACTACATTTTTAGCTATCTGTTTTTGAATAAGATTATCGTTCACAGAGGTTTTATTTTTCTGGTTCAGTTTATCGTAGAATAATCATGTCTCTTGCTTTGTAGACTTGTAGGGCTTTGGCCACCCAGGATATTTATGTGAGTCTGAAACAAGGAAGACTTTCTGAGGGAAACAGCTGTTATAAGGCCCCTGCTCTTTAGTCTGTGTTATTCCAAATTATAAATGTATTTATTCTGTAGGATATAAACAAGCCACACTTAACCAGAGCCTATTGACTTATAATTATATGTGATTTTTTTTATTGCAGATGTGATAGGCTTGGTAATTTGCTTTCCAGGCTTCCTTTAATTTTTTTTATTTATTGAGTATTTGACAGATAAGCTACTGAAAAGTGGTAATGTTTATGAGGAAGATGATTGAAGAATTACCAATTTTTCGACAGTTAGTAATAGAATAGTGAGGAACCTCACTAGTTCCTGGGAACATCCATATATTGAGTAGGACACAAATAGTTACCATTCCTAACAGTGGCCTTGAATCTAACAATGGCATACAATTTTATGTTACATAGTGTGTTTTTAGATAAGAAATATATATATAATACTGTCATAAATTTAAAATTCTCTAAGTGACTGTGAAATGTCATATAAGTGAGGTATATATTTTTATTTCCAATGTGCTCTAAAGCCTCATTTAAAATTTGAATATTTATGTTCTTTATAAGTGGTGTTGTTTAATTAATTACAGTATAAGAAAGATTTGTTATTAATATGATTGTTAATGTCTGAATATGAGTGACTGTGGAAAGGTTCATAGGGTTTTCACTAATAGTGAGAAATAATGAGTGTCTTTTAGATAATTCCTTTAGAGTTTAAAGCAGAGCTAACTTTCTTTTATGTTTTTTTAAGAAAATTTGTAAATTCTCCAAAGTAGGTATTCAAATCAGTAAATTGAAAATAAGGAGAAATTTTCATAAAAAGAAATGTTGTATCATTTGTAACTAATAAGAATACATTTATTAGCCATAACCTTCAGTAACTTATGATTTATTTTCAAATGATAAGATGTATTTACTGTTGTCCAGATGATATAGTATAATACTGTTTTTTAGTCATAAGCTTAATTAATGAAAATAACTTTATCACTAAAAGTTTGAGTTTATAAAGTGTTTCTGAATATAAAAAGATTGGATTACTTGCCACTTTGTTTCCAAAATACTTCTAGCTAAAGGATAAAGAAAATTGATGGAAATTGGATTTTTTCTGTTAGAGTTTTATATTTACCAATACGAAACATGTTAGATGTAAGCTATTTTTTAATCTGTATCAAGTCCATATCCAATCTTGGTATCTTTTTATTGTAAAACCAGTTTTCTTATACAAATGTTTTGCTACTTGCATTTGCTCAAATCTATAATTATTCTTAGAATAGAAAAGACCTGTGGAGACATATTCAAAATAAGTAATTTTGGTCTTTATTATTTATAGGAGGACCATACTGCATAATTTGAGAAATTCTTGATTAGTGGGTTATCTAAAAATCAAATCTGAGCCAGGGCAGGAGAAAAACTTCTATTTTACCATACTGCTCTAAAAATACATTTTGTGGCTAATTCAGTAGAGAAGTCCTAATAAACTCAGGAAATGCTATGGACTTTTTATACATGATAATGTTATGCATTGTGGACAGAATGCTGATATTCAGTTTTTCTGCCTTTTTTTCCCCAAACAGTAGATCAGTAAGAAAAATGACATTATAGTAGATGTTTCTAATGCCTATTCATCAGAATAACTCCTTAAAGCATGTTTACTTAGAAGAAAGAATTAGTTAACCAAAAAATAGAAAAAAAAGTCACATTTACATAAAGATGTTCCTTATTTTTCTCAGTAGATTGCTGTTTAGAAATATTAAATGAATTGCTTATACTATTTATTTAAGATTTGTTTCCAAGATCTTCCTTTGGATAATATCAAAATATAATATATGTCCAATTAATATTAGCTACTTATTATTTTCATTATTATTTATTATTATTTCCATAATCTTAAACCCAATTATGAATTATAATATCTCTACTATTTATGTATGTCATATTTATTAGCTTTTCCTGAATTATTAATTTAAGTCATTGCTTACATTTAATGCTATAATTTTTTATAACCCAAAGAATTTTCTAACTTCCTTGGCTTTAATGTAACAATGATTATATTTGCTTCAAAGGTAAAAATAACTAATATGCTATTAATCAATTGCTTTGCTGTCATATATCTGAATCATTGCCAATTAATTATTAAAATTAATTTTAGGCTGTCTGCAAATCCTGGCATATAGTCATTAAGTATTCTGAAAGTTTAGTAAAATTAATTATTTTTTAGTGGATAGAATAAACCATCAATTATAAATGCATTTGTAAGCATGTAATTATGGAGAAAATTAGTAACATCTTGAAAGCCATGGTCGTGTTGGTGATCATTAACACTTTGATAAGAAAATATGTTAAGTGCTATTGTATTTTTCTTGTTATTGGTAACCTTTTAAGATACTGTTAACACAGGTAGTAATCCAGGAAGGAAATAAAGTATTAGTCTATTAATCTAATTAGCTGTTAGCTTCTACTAGAATCTTCTAAAAGACCTGGAAATTTTTTTAGAGTTTGATATTCAAAACTTTTTTGCCATGAGTTTATTCATCTTTACCAAACTTTTGTGTCCTTGTCTTTATGAGAAACACACTTGGAAACTAAAGTGGTAATTTTTAAACTTCACTTATATATGCATGGGCTTTTTTAAATCTCAGTATCATTGTAAATGGCATAGTTCAACTCTTTAATATGGTCAGTTAATACCATCTCAAAATATTATTTTAATATTTCTTATTTTTAATTTTATTTAACAAAACTAACTTGATTTTGTTCAATCTCTGGAATCTATTTTTGCTTTAAGAGCATAAAGCTACAAAAAGCTAGTGTGGGAATTTTTGTTACTCTGGCTACAATTAGGATGGTTTATTTTTTAAATTTAAATGTTTTATACTTCTAAATAACCAATTTTAACCTCCTTCAGCTAAGAAAATCATTTAAAAGTTTATCCTCATTTCTGTTGTTTTCTTTCATTTTATTGATGAGTAAAAACTTGTTAGGAGAAAAAGATTTATAAAATGACAGTAATTCTTCAGAAGGGCCAGTGAAGTATGCACTAAAAGCCTCAGTCATTCCTTAAAAATCACTGATTTGTGTAATCACGGATTAAACTGTGGTAGTTTTTCTTTGCCAGTATCACATTGTCATAATGTCGCATTTTCGTAGGGTCATGAAACATGCTAGTAAATGTTTTGATGACCAACATGATTTTTAGAATTGGTGATTTTCTTGAGTAAACCTCCCGTTAAAGTACATATTGGCAGAATGGCTTTAAGGCAGTGTGTTCTAATTTCAGCACAAGAAAGTATATGAAACAATATGCTCAACTTCCATCAGCATGTCTTCACATGGCACCAAAAACAGGTCTGCTTTAAAATTTTAGCCAGTATTATTGGAAACAACAATCTCTTGCCTTTCCCATTTTTGAAGAGTTTTTGAAGTAGTTGGACCTAAAGGTACAAAGCCACTATATTAACTATATTAATTTTCTCCTGCCAGAAAATTTTCATGGTCTTGCTCACTGTCTTATTTTAAAATCTACTTCGACTAATACAGAACCAAATTGTTTCTGAATTCTCTTTATTGCTTTTTTTTTTTAACATAGCATTAGGCTTCACATAGGAACTTTTGGTTTTATGCCTTTTAATTAAGCTATGGGTAAAAAGCTTTTGTATGACAAGTCAGAATCTTAAATTTTCTTGAAATAACCCAATTTTGTACACATAGCAAGTCCCGTACTTGGACACTTCTTTAAAACTTGATGAGATCATTAACTCTAGATTATTTGAGTCAGTTTTAAATTCTTATTAGTATAAAATATATCAATAATGCTTTGCTTATCAATTCCATTTTAACTGAACCCACTCCCCCTCGAACTTTTATTCAGCTTGCAATTTATATAATCTTAGGGAAACGAGAAGGAGATTTTTAGAAAATAAAAGACATTTCTGCCTTATTCTCAGCGTAGAGTCATATTTCAGATTAACAGTTTAGACTGATAGCCTACTCCATGGCTCTCCTTCAGTAAAATTATAAACTGGGCAAAATTTGTCTTGGGTCCATTTTCTTCTTTCTTTGACTCTCCTATTCCTGATCAAAGTTCATTGTCAACCTCCCTGATCACTAAATTGCTTTGAATACCTCTACTGTAGAGATGCCTTGATACCACAAAAAGAGTACTGAGTTTGGAGTCAAGAGACAGAATTCAGGCCTGGCTGTCCCACCTCATAAGGCATGCTGGTCTTATGAAATAAGCTATATCACACACAGAGAGCTGACATACAGCCGGTGTGTATCAGTTCAATAATTCCAGTTTTTTAAATATGAATTACTTCCCTAGCTGTTAGTCATAGGTGCTGCTCCAAGTCCCCTAGATGCCCTTAGGCATCTCTCCCCACTTCTCTTGAATCCAGTAGCTGAAGGCTTAAGGCCTGGCTGGTGTCCATGTTAGTCAGCCCCACTAAAGTCTTGCCTTGTGGTTAGCCAGACTACCTGCCCATGCCCACCACCCCGGGAGGCCACAGATGGGCACCAGCAATGGGTTACTCCAGTGTTTGCTGGCCTACTAGCCATTGCCTAAAACAGTAACCATAATAATAATAAAGAAAAACTTAAAAACATTTTGAGTTCATATTTAAAATTTTTAAGCTGATTGCTCCTTTTATTGATTTGTAAATCAATAAATGCTGATTTACAATTAATGCTAATCTAAGCATTGTTCCTGCTGTACAACATATTTGAAACAAATACCTTAACCTTTCCAAATTGCCTTCATTCCATTTCATTTAAAAAACCCAATCCTGATAATTTTGAAAATTGCCACACTGAATATATCATCAGTCAGTGTGCTCCACAGGATCTGTTATGCTGACTTTTAATCCACAGCATTTTCAGTTTCTAAAAACACTAGGTTGAAAGGGTGCAACTGAATATAAATTCTGGTATTTCTACTGCTGCAAAATAAAAAGGGAATTTAATATAGTGACAAGAACTGATAGGTTAGTTTCTTTTACTTTGAACTTATGCTTGGTAGAGAACCAAATTTCATTCTTATTAAAGACAAAATTATCCCTATTAAGTACTCTGCATGTATTTCACAGGTCTGATTTATTTTGTATAATACAAGTAAAGAACATACAGTAGCTCAAAGTAGGAGCTCAAGGGTGAAGATTGTAGCATTTTGTTAACCATTGTTAACCTCTGTTTACATTAAAGCTAGTGGTTATGCTTTTGTATAATGACACATCCCTAATGTGAATATTCAAATTACAGTTTATTATCCTCCTTTCTCAGGAAATGTTGTCGTGATCATGCCTTACAGAAATTTACTAAGAGCTGCACATTGTTTAAAAGTGATTTCTTGGGTTTCTGTTTTTCCTGACTTATTTTCCTAGACTGATCCCGTTGAGAACACATATGTACGGAATCCGAACGTCAAGTTTTACATCCAGTCGAGGTCCACATCTCCTTCCACATCTAGTGAAGCTGAGCCAGTTAAGGTGCCTCATTGGAGCAGTCTTGCTCCCCGACTTTTCACTTGTGTCAGGAAAGAGGGACTTGCAAAAACAAGTGAAATCTGATTTTCTTCTCTTAATCAAATGTATTGTGTAGTAAGTCACAGTATATTGGAGATCATTACATTTGATTGGTAATATAGATAGGATTATAAAACTAAAGCAGAAAATGATCCCCCAAAATTCAACCTGAAATAGACAAAAATTTTATTTAATTTTAAGAGTAGTCTTTATTTTAGATTAAGAGCTGTATAGTACAGAAGACAGAGTTATGTAGATTTTGGAGTTACCAGATACAGACTGTAGGCACGTGGCAGTGTCAGGTGCATTCTCATATTTTAATCCTTTTAATAAATCTAATCAGACATGACATAACTGTTACTTCGTAAGTAGAACTTAAACTTAACCACTGCTAGCAACTGAATGGTTTATTCTGCTAATCAGCAACAGGCATTTAACGAAATGATGCTTCTTAATAGTACAAAAACAGTGTTATATTTGCATCTTATGTAATTCAATGGTTTTAAACAGGCAGTTGGCCAATTTTCCCAGTAGAGATCATTTTCTCAACAAGTCAAAAGGGTATATTATTCCTGTGAATGCCATCCTGCCTCAAGATGAAGTTCTGATTATTTACTCAGCATTACAATTCTGGCATGACTCCTTTGCTTCCCATTTGATAATCAGAACTGTGTCTAGCATTCCAATAGAAGCAGATAGTCCCATTTGGAAAGCTGTCTGAAGTGAAGGATGAGTTGTAGTCAGATTCTGACTTGGTTTTTTCCAACCCTGTGATAGACTGTCTGAGACAGTTTAAGTTGATGATACCCTCTGCTTTTTTTAGATTATCATTGTTTAAATGTTTTGAGTTTATGCTTTTTTATTTTACTGTTAAAGTATTTCAGGCATACAGAAAATAATACCATGAATATCCATGTAAGCACCGTCTACAGATTTTACAGATAAGAACATTTTGCCCCATTTTTTTCAAATTTGTATTAAAAGAAAATATTCTATACAGTTGAAATACCTTTCCCTATACCATTCCCCTCTCTCCTTTCCCAGACGTATCTAAATACCCTGAAACTGAAATACACCCTTTCTTCCTTAGTTTTACATGTTTATTTCATTTGTATCCATAAACAATATGTAATAGTATTGTTGTACGTTTAAATTTTACACAAAGACTGTCTCCATCTCATACAGATACGTGTCTATTGAGTTCATTCATTATAACTGTTGCATAATATTTCATTGTATTAATATACTACAACTATTTATCCATTCTCCTATTGGATATTTAGTTTGTTTCCTATTTTTTACTGTTACAATCAATGCTGACATGAACATCCTAATAGCTGTCTGTTTTTGCAAATGTGCAGAGTTAGTTTAGCATATATACCAAGAAGTGGAATTACTGAGTTGTGTGGTATATACATTTTCAACTTTAACTAGATCTTGTCAAATTATTTTCCACAGTGGTTGGACCAGTTTTCACTCCCACCAGCAGTGTGTGAGTGAGTTCCCCATTTCCTCACATCCTTGCCAATCCTTGGTACTTTCAGGCATTAACTTCTGTCTATTCGATGGGTATAGAGTGGCATTTTTGTTTTAATTTGCATTTCTCTGATTTCAAGTGTTATTTAGCATCTTTTTATATGTTTATTGACTGCTGGTGATTTGCCTGTTTATGTCTTTTGTCCGTTGTTCTATGGAATTATTTTTCCTATTGTTTTGTAAGTGTCCTTAATATATTCTTAATCCCTAGCTGGCTATATGCATTGCAGATATTTTCTTCCAGTCTGTGGCTTGTTTTTGAATTTTATTTATGGTATCTTTCTGTCTTGCAACAGTTTTTATTTTACTTGTATTTATCAGTCTTAATCCTTTATGACTTCTGCTTTTTGTCTTTCTAAAACAATTCTTTTCTATGCAGCAATCATAAAGATTTTCTTCCATATTTTCTTCTAAAAGTTTTAAAATTGCTTTTACATGTTCAGAACCTTAATCAGATTAAAATGTGTTGTTATGTATTATGGGAAATGGGGTTCTAGTCTATTTTTTCTCATATGAACAACCAACTCTCCTGTATTTCCCCCGTTGACTTGTAAAGCTACCTCTGCTTTAAGTAAATGAGTCTGTTTGGGGATTCTCTATTCTCTGTCATGGTTCTTTTTGTTTTTTCTTGCACCAGCATTTCATTGTCTTAATTATTGTAGCCTTAAATTAATTCCTGATACCCGGTACGGTCATCCGCTCCCATGTACCTTGTTTTTCTTCCTTTACTTCTTGACCCATTAGTTTTACGTATGATGTTTAGGTTCAATTTATAGATTCTGTGTGAAACTTTTGATTGGATTTAATTTATAGATTAATCTAAGCAGACTTGACCTCTTTGTGATATTGAGTGTTTCCATCTATGAACATGGTATGCATATTATTTGGATACTCTTTTATATCCTTCAATAACGTTTTATTATTTTCTTCATGAATATACTCCATATTGCGTGTTAGATTTGTTCCTAGGTACCTTAAAGTTTGTATTGCTGTGGTGAATGGAATCTTTTTAAGATATATTTTCTAAATTAGGCATTGCTGTTCTTTATGAATTCTGTCAATCTTGTATTCACTCTTTTTAATTCTAAACTTCTCTTGGACTTTCTATGTAAATTCTAGTGACAACTTTGTTTCCTATGAATTGGAATCCATAGGAATAAAGAATTCCTCTTTATTAACTTTCGTGTAGGTTTTCAGTATTCTTTCAGTATTCTTTTATTTCATACTTTTATTTTAAATGTTAAATTATAAATTGGGTTCAGTACTCAAGCTATTTAAAAATAAGTTTAAATTAGAACTAAATTCACAGCTAAGTAGAAAACTCTGAGAAACCTATCTGAATTCCATTTTAAGGCTATCATGTATATAAAATATTCTGTTTTTGGAGGTTATGTAGTAACAAAGGCAAAGAGAGACCAACCATTTTTATCTTAATATTTTAGAATATTCTATAACTTTATGCAAAGCTCATTATTTCCTCTTGTTTATTTGCTTAGCGTCCTAAAAGGAAGTCATTCTTCATATCTTTTTTCTATACTTTGCTAATTAATTGATGTCTCTTTTCTCCCACCATAACATCCAGTAAAATCACCAGTTCCTTTCATTCAAAGAAATACCTTACAATAATACTCCAGAGAATAAAGATATGACTAGTAACTAAATTTCTATGTCAGTTCTTACTGCAAATAATATAAAATAACCTAACTCCTTGGAAATCACTTTCTTAACAAAAATCCCACCAATCAATCAGTCACTGTATCTCTGTCTCTCTCTCTCTCTCTCTCTCTCACTGTCTTGCTCTCTTTTTCTTTCTCTCTGCATACATGCACACAAATCCACAGAATTGTACTCCATATATATAATATGCATTCTGTATATAGAGGTCAAGGAGTGAAAAGAATTCTAAAAATTTTGATTATAAATCTTGCTAAAAACTCAGATACTTGATAGAATTATTATGACACTTTCAGTTGAACTTGAAAATTAATATCATCATTTTATGTAGGCTACATGTTATGACTTTCTTATGTTCTTCTGTAGATTCTCTTTTCCAAGTTACTTATTTTTAAATTTCCAGACTGAAATGATTTTTACTAATTGAACAAATAATTTTGTTTTGTAGCTATTTGTAAATTTTATTCAATTTGTAGATATTGTAGGCAGAAGTTTAAATTATCAACACTAAGAATTTTAGCTTCATTAATATGTTTTTTTCTTATTGTGTTTTGTTTGGCTGTATTTACATTGATTTATTTCTAGTGATGTTTGAAATAGATGGAGTGTTTTATGACATTTATTTCCTCTTTCCCCCGGGATTCAGACTGTAGATTCTACTCCACTTCCAGTTCACACACCAACCTTAAGGAAAAAGGGATGCACTGGTTCCACTGGCTTTCCACCTAAGGTACTCAATCTAATTATAAGCATGATGTGTTCTGAAAAAAAAGAGAGAGAGAGAATGGATTTCTTCTGCTTTTTGTATTTGCTATGAATTTTACTATTGGTTTCCTCAAAATTACAAACATAAAAGCTAGGAAAGAAAATAAATTCTGTATGAATGGCAGTAATCACCACTGAGAAAGGTAGAAAGAGCATGCAAAGTTTGTTTTGTTTTACTTTCATTTTCTTAAATTCAGTGTTTTGAAGTCTGTTACAACAAGGAGTAGTGCGTGGAGGGTGTACTGTAGGGAAGGCATTAAGTTGAGGCCACTTGTGGAGGAATCTAAAATTGAGCTTAATAAACCACTGAGAAAGAGAAATGTTTAGAAAAAAATTCAGGTGATTTTTTTTTATTCCACTCAACATGACAGTGACTGAAGTATTGTGTACAGTAGAACATGAAGATTTAGTTGCTTATCCTAAGTTCTTCATCAAGAAGAGATATAAAGCCAAGAGGCCAGTATGAGAGACTTGTCAAATAGGGTGACTAAGTATCTTAGAGGACTTTGCTGTGATCTATGAAAGCAAAGACCCTCTTTTCCAAAAATTGAACAAAAGGAAAATGTGGGTTCAAAACAGCCCAGAATTAATCTAAATACAGACACCATGGGAGTGAGTATAAGAATCAGGTGAGGTGAGCATGCTTAGACATTTGTCTTTTCTGGGGAGAAGTTGCAGACATAGCACGGTACTTATCATGCTGAATTCCCAACCAGACTACCTAAATTGCAGTCTCTGTTCCATCAATACTAGCTATGTGAGCTTGAGCAAAATACTTACTTTTCTCTGTTTCCATTTCCTTATCCAAAATGAGGATAATACTAGCACCCATCTCATAGGATTCTAGTGAGTTTTAAACAAGCAAAATATAAAGACCTTCGAATAGTGTCTCACATTAGCATCATATTAATGTTTAAATAAACAATGATAACTTGATGAGGAAACTAAGCACAAGTACGGATCTTAGCAAGTTGAAGGTAATACATAGAAGACTGGTAAATAAAAGGTATAACTTTCATACCTATAGAAGGAAACACTCTTCACTGAATAGCAGCATGAGAGGAAAACATGGTGACCTGGTAGTCTTAGCTGTGTAATAAATTGCCTTAAAAAATCCTCTTTTATTATACTCATGATTTTGTGGGTTGTAAATTCAAGAAGGGCTCAGTGGGAGGTTCTCACTAGGAGTCTCCCACGTAAGTGTCATCAGATATCAGCTGGACTGCAGTTGTCTGAAGTTTCAACTGGACTGTATGTCCAGGATGGCTCACTCTCATGACAGGCAGTGGATGCTGGGTGTCGGCAGCTACTCATGGTCTCTCCAGCATAATAGTCTCAGTCTTCTTACAAGGCAGCTAAATCCCCCAGAATGAGCATACCAAGAGAAGAAGGTAAAAGCCCCATAGCCTACAGCAACATGGAAAGGTGGAAAATAGAGGTCAAAGATATATACTATAAAATGAAGTTTAAGATGCAGAACATCAAATGGTGTAAAAGAGGACATTGCATACTAATAAAGGGAATAATAGTTAAAGAAGATATAATGATTGTAAATGTATATGGAACTAACAATAAAGCCTTAGATTCTATGAAGACTGTGAGAACTAGGGAGAGACTCAGATGAGCAATAGATTGGAAATTTTAATACACACCCTCAGACAAACAATATAGTGGGGAAAATGCAAAGCAAAAGACAAGGGTTAGTACCCGCATACACCAAGAGTTTTTATTAAAAAAAAGGGGGGGATCAACTATACAACAGTTAATTGTCAAAAGCCAGGAATAAGCAGATGAAAAATCAGAATGACTGACAAACTGAAGAGATGCCCAAACTTACTAGAAGTTGGAGGAAAGCAAATTAAAGCAGTAATGAGCTATCCATTTACATTCATGACATAGATATTCCCATATTAGCAGGATACTATGACACATAAGTGTAGGTAGAAATATGAATCAATACCACCTTTTTAAAAGCAATCTAAAAACATTTTAATTAAAAATACATGTTAGTGCATTTTTATGATCTGATGATAGATATAAAAGAAAGGCAAAGAGCCAGCATTTATATATTGAAGTCTCTGAAAAAAGTGCCAGAGCAGTGGAAAATACTAAAAGCTATATTCAAGAAAATCCCCTGAAATAAAAGAACACTTGAAACTCAGTAGGGTACACAGCATAGGTGAGGAAATCAACCCCCACAAAAACAAAACATAGTCTAGTAAATTACTGGTTTATAAAGAAAAAGAAAAATATTGGACTTTTAGGCAAAACGCGTACGTCACTTAAAGGAAGAAAGAAAATGAGATTTTTATCATACTCTTCAATAGCAAACACTATGCCAGAAAACAATGGCATAACATATTTAAAATACCCAAGGAAAATGTCAGGCTTTTTCTCCCCTCAATGCCTTTATTTTTTTGACAACTTTATTGAGGTAAAATTGATATACAAAAAACTGCACATAGTTAATGAATACAATTTGATGAGTTTGGAATATTAAAGATCTTTAAGGATTTAAGATTTTAAGGATAATAAAGTGTCCTTCAAAAATAAAAGCCACAAAAATGTATTAAGAACATGCAAGAACTCAAGGAGTCTCATTCCCACAAGTCCTTCCTGAGGAATGTACTAAAGCACACGCTTCAGACAACCAAAGTGGTAAGGCAGCAGACACCTTAAGACAGTCAGGAATGAAAAAAGGAGTCTAGAGTGAATTGGAAAATTAGTTCAGAATCCACATAAAGCATTGCTGAACCATCTCTCAAAACCAGACAACTACCCCAACTCAGCTGTATGTTAACGTTGTGGGATAATTGAACCAAACAGACCACGAATCCAAGGACCCCCAGGCTCAGTGGTTGGTGAAAGGGAGGAGAAGTGTCAAACTAGAAGTAGTGAGATTTTGCAAAAAGTGAAAACAAACTGGTGAGACCCTAAGCCCCTTCCCCAGCTTCACTCCCAGAATGCTAGCAGTTAGGTTTATAGTCTCCTCCTTCCCTCCTTTCCTTGGAAGATATCAATGGATTCTCTGAAGAAATTAAATGACCCAGAAAAGATGTATAGATAATAGCAGTTGATTGTGCCAATGAGATGGTCCGGTCCCTATTGATAGCTCACGCATGTATAAACACACACACACACACATACACACGGTCCCTATTGATAGTTCATACATGTATAAACACACACACACACATACACACGGTCCCTATTGATAGCTCACACATGTATAAACACACACACACACCCCAAAAAACCTTCCACTCAGCTTTTTTTACTGCCTCATACTTCAATATGAACAAATTCCCAAGGATCAGCAGACATTTTAGGAAATACTATAACAAAAAGACCAAAAGAAACAGAAAAAAGTTTCTTATTTTCATTGAAGGAAAAAGAGACAATGCAAAAAGCAAAAGGGAACAAAAGGAATAACCAGAGCATAAGAAAAGTCTTTTGAAAGTTAAACATTTAAAAAATCCATTAGATGAATTGGGAGATAAATTGGAGAAAATCTCTTGAAAGTATTACAAAAAGTTAGACAGAAAATTGGAGAAGTCAATATTCAACAAATAGAAGTTCCAGTAAAATGACACAGAAAAAAAAGAAAAGGGAAGAAATTCTACAATAAATAATACACATTTCCCATAACTGAAGGACATGTTTCCAGACTAAGGAGTCCCACCACTTCCCAGCACAGTGGATAACAAATAACTATTCCCAGCCACATTGTGTGAGTTTTCAGCATATTAAGAATATGAAGAACTTTTTCAAACCACCGAGGAGATAAAGCAGCATATTCACATGATCAGGAATCAAAATGGCATCATGCTTGTCAACAGCAAACTGAAAAGAACAGATGTAAAATGATTTCAAGCTAGAGTTTTTGATTCTCTGTCATATGTTCAATTCAATTTTAGGGAAAAATAATAGCATTTTTAGAAATTCAGGATTCCTCTGAAACATATCAGCCCTGCTCTGCTTTCTAATAAGCAAACTACTAAGAAATGAATTCCACCAAAATAAGGGAGGAGATCAAGAAATAGAAAAGGCAGGGGACCCAAAAAGAGGGAATCTGACATGGATTGGTTAAGAGAAAAACTGAAGCAGGCAGCCAAAAATGGAGCAGAAAAACAGCTTCAACAGAGATGTCTTCAGGCAACAAAAAAGGGGGTAGAGGTGTCTTTAAACTCCCTTCCTGTTGTGTTTGACCATGTGGTAAATAGATTCAAGGGGCTTTTGTAGCTATGTTGGAGAGAGTGGGGAGAATTAGAGACTTAGAAAATTAAATTTAAAAAGGGGAGAGCTTTATTAATTTCAGAAAAAAATAAAAAAGATTACACAAGAAAGATAAAACTGTAGTATACATCTTGACTCATTATTGAATAATAGTTCTAAGGCCATAATAAATTAAAAATTAAATATAAATTTTAACTGAATATGCTTTAACAATATTGGGAAAATGAAAAGACTAGGTAGTATAGCAGTGCTAAACCTTTCTGTACCATAATAGGTAGTCAATAGATAATGTCTCAAATCAAGAAATGGCAATATAGGCTTTTTTTTTTTTGCCAGAAATATGGGGATATATTACAGAAAGAAGAAAATAACTAAAAGGAGTAAAGGAAATTGCCCCTAGGAAGGACTTATTGGGCAAAGGGGTACTTCTGTTTTTGTTACAAGGATTGTGATGTTATTTTTTTTAAACTATATGCATGTATTGATTTGATTTTAAAAATTAAAAACACATATATAGAAAATGTAGGATTTCTTTGTGACTAGGTAATGAAAAGATCTCAAATCACAATCATCAAAATATTGATGGACTTTACTACATTAAAATTAAAGATGTTTTGTACATTGAGAGCATTGTTATAGGTGGTTAACAAGTGACGACAAACTAGTAGAGGATACTCACGTTGTTTAACACCAGTAAGGAACTCATTTCTAGAAATATGTAAGAAACTCCTGTAGCTCCATAAAAAAAAAATGAGAAATCCAGTTGAAAAATTGACAAATAATATGAATAAGTAATCCCCAGAAAAGGAAATCCTAATGGTCAACAAGCCTGTGAAGAAATGTCCAACCTTATTATTTATAAGTGGAAAAATTAAAATTAAAAAAATTTAATAATTTAAAAATTATTACTACTTTATGCTTACCAGGTCATCAAAAATTGAGTAAGTAACATCAAGGATATAAAGAAACAGGCAGCTTCATATGCATCTAGTGGAAGTTTAAATAGGAACAGCCTGGCAACATGGAGTGGACATACATATGTGACCCAGCAGTTTCATTCTTTTAGGGAAGTTTTTATTCAGATCCATTATGCAGCATGACAGAGATGCTTGCTGTTGCATATTGTAGCAGGGAGTTGGAAATAGGGGAAAGACAGGTAAAATATGGCTAATGTGTAACAAAATCACATTTATATAAATTACAAACACTCAAAAATATCTAATTTATAAGGATTTATACATATCCAAGGACCTGTATAGGTCACATTAGATTGGGTGACAGCTTTCATGGGGTAGGGTTGGGAGTGGATCATCAAGGATGAATAAAAAATAATAATAAGGCAGAATAAAACTGGAGGGGCCTCCACAAAGCTCTGATGATAATATTTCATGAACTAAATATTAATTCAGTTTTGTACACCTGTTGTTCCTCCTCAAAAAATAAAATAAAATTTACTTCCATGTTTTTTTAAAAGATGAAAGATTGAATCTACAATTGTCTCAAAGGTGTTTAGAAAGAAAAAAAATTACTTAAAAAATTTTTTAAGAAAGTCTTTCTTGAGGTAAAGAGTCCTTAACTTGTCATTTATTAGTGTAGTATTCTAATTATCTACAGCTATTAATTTGTAAGCTTTCACTGACCGTTTGTTCTACTTTGTTCTCACATCTGTTAAAAATATTTTACCTTCTCCATTGAGTAGCTTGAAGTCTGCAACACTGACAAAATTGGAATAGAAAAGAACCCTTCTTCTAGTGACTTCTGTAAATTTTGAGATTATAGTTAATTCTCATTTTACCCAAAGTTATCACATACTCTAAAATTAATTTGGCTACATGCTTTAGGTTTAATGCCACTTTTACTAGTCTTTTTTTCCCTCCTCTTCCATCTACCTTTTGTGGAGGTATTAGAAATCAAATATTGACCAGGAGACAAAAAAGGAGATCTAAGAAAGATCCAGAAGCCAGGTAATCTAGACACTAAGATTGAATTCACCTGCCTTTTTGTTACTATTCCTTGTCCCCTACTAAAAACAAATACAACTGAAAGCCTGTTATTATTGCCTAAAGTTTGATGCCATTAGTAATCATGTTAATTATATGTTACACTGTCGTTAGTTGGGATTAGTAAAACATGGGCCATTCAATTTTCAGTAGTAAATCATACCCACCACCCACAATTAACCAGCACCTGCCAGTTGGATGGTTAGTCACAAAATTAATGCTCTGCTAAAACATTGTTTTTCTTACCTATTATTGCAAACTCAGTTAAAATTACATCCTGAGTAGATGTCTGGGGAAAAAAGTGTTTTGTAAGCAATTTCTTGAATACTGAAATACTATTAAATTTGTCACAACCACAGTGTCATTTCAGACATGTCCTCTTATCTTTTAGAAGAAGAAAAAAAGAACAAAATTATTTACCTTGAACAGTTGATTGATTCTTCTTTCATTATAATAAAAGCCTATAGAACCAATCAGTATCAAATTTTGCATCTTTTGCAGTAATGTATTTTGAACAATTGAAAAAGCGCTCAAAAAATTTACTCTGATCCTCAAACTGCAAAAAACTAAGTAAAAATTAGTATACAGGAAAAAATGTTGAGCAAAATTTTATGATGTTAACAAATTAGATATTTGTATTTTTATCACAGGTGTGGAGGCCCCTAGTCTTGACTTAAGTATGTCTTATACAGTCTTTGGGGGTTTTTTGGGGACTATATTTTTTAATTATTTTAAAATTATCAAACTTTGACATGCAGAGTCAGATATATTGGGTTCAAATTTTAAAACTCAGCCAGTAACTGTTCATGAGTAACTTACTTAATCTCTCTGAGTTTCAGTTCCTTCAGTTATACAAAGAAATAATACATATCTTCCCAGGATCGTTGTCTCCATTAAATGAGATGGTATATGTGAAATACTGGCACAATGTCTGCACCTTGATTGGTGCTCAGTCCACATAGCGGAAATTACAGAACCAGTGTAAAGATAGTCTGTATGCTACTTAGACTAGAGTAAAATCCCAGTGCTACTTTGAAACTGACCAAAGGTCCTGAGAAGCTTCTGGAATAGAATGGTTTGAGGTTGGATCTAAATTTGAGTCTTACCCATTCCAGGGTCCTAAAAAAGGTGATCCACTTTTCTCCTCTTGATTTTTTAAAATTTCTTTGTGGTGTACAAGTCATATATCCCAGTTGATAAGAACAGGATTTATTTTTAACTTAAGTTTTAAAGCTTTGAATATTCTCTGTAGTTTTTTGTTAATATGGTAAGTCTCAACTGAAATAAATACTGCTTTAAAACTGTTTTCCATCAGTAGTCACATATTAATGGAATATAGAATAAAGTTTTTACTAGTTTAAATCAATCACACATGTAAAAAAGAAATACTTGGTCAAATTTATTTTCAGTATATGTTATATAAGTATGTTTATAATATACATATATAAATATGTTTTGAATGCTTACTCTGTGCTGGTACTGTTCAAAAGACTTTGTTTATATTAATGCTCATTTAACCACCTCATGAAGTAGATATTGTTGATTCTGTTCTCTAGAATGAAAAAAGTGAAACACAGAGGAGTTAAGTAATTTGCTCCTAAGTTCACACAGCAGAATGGTAGAGCGGTAGTTATAATTCACTTATTATTAAAACATGCTAAGAATTGATTTGGAGAGGAAAGCGTTCTAGAGAGCTAAAATCTACTTGGTTTACCACCACATAGATCAGACAAGACAGAGAGAAACTTTAACTGCTGGGTTTTCAGTAAGAAATTTCAGCTGCCATCTGTCTCTGGAATAATATACATGTATTTTTGTCTGCTCAAGTGTAATACTGCATGCTTCCAAGGGAGAAAACATATTCGTTAAGCATATTATTTGTTCTTGGTCCCAGAAAATCAAATACATGATTTATAGTAGGGACAGGAATTTTAAATTATTCTTTGTTCTTCCTAAGAATGTATAAAATCATATTAAATGTCTTCATTTGTATAGGTATCAGTATGCAAAATTTCACCTAACTCATTGCCAAAGAATAATTTGAAGAATGTATAAAAATCCTGAAGTCAATTTATGAGCAAAAAAAAGCTGCAGTTTATTTTATAACTTCTCCGATGGCATTCAAGAGCAATTGATTATCATTTAACTTCTTATAATATTATTTTTAGCATAATCCAGCTCAATATTGCCTAATAAAAATATTTAAAGAGTATTAATTACAGAAAGATGTGGTGAGAAATGAAAAGAATTCATTCTACTCCTAATTAGAGAACATTCTAGCAACTGGTGTGGTTCACAGGGATTCATGTTATGGAAATACTTTAAATAATCATTGTGTATATTTTTATCAATTTGTTTTGCAGCGCAAGACTCATCAGTTTTTTGTCAAATCTTTTACTACTCCTACCAAGTGTCATCAGTGTACCTCTTTGATGGTGGGTTTGATAAGACAGGGCTGTTCCTGTGAAGGTAAGAATAAAATGGTAAGAAAATGTGACTTTAGAGTTCTAACATTTACTACCTAATTGTAATCAAATAACTTTATTCTCTTTAAAAGATATGTAAATGTTTGTTTGTCTGACTTAATCATTTGCCTTTCTTTGGCTAATAAACTGAGCACCTTGCTAAAGTCTGTTGAATATTGGAGACTGGACAGATGGTGCTTACAAAACATTTTCCAGGGAAGGTATATTTAAATATGTTTCACTCATCTTTATTCAGGTAAATTTGTGGTCCCAGAAACCCATTAACCTGTGTGACAGAAAATATGAAAGTTATTCTTGAATCTATTTAATTTTGCCCTTGTTTAATTTATTGGAGAAATTATTATTAAAAAGTAGGCAGTGTGGTATCTTTTCAGAAATACCAAATTTCTGCCACTATGCCTAAAAGATATTTTATTCCTAGTATTAATACCAGAGGTTTTTCCCCTACCAGTCATTGATCCATCCATCACATGTTCGTGGAATACCTGCTCTGTGCTTCTAGGCTCTGAGGGTACAGTGTTCTATGTTTGGCTAGTTCTCACAACCAAGATTACATTTTCTTAACTAGTCTGTTAGATGCATGGATTTAGAGCAAAAGAAAATGGTCAGGCTCGAAAAGTAGAGATTTGAGAGTTATGAGTGTATAAAGTTTTGAACATGAATGATGTTTTCCAGGAAACACGTGTAGAGTGAAAAGAGAATATGTATGAGGACAGAGCCTTGGGAGACGTAGTTGAGGGGAGGTAAAAGATAACGGTAACAGGGTAATCTGGGAAGGAATAGTCTCTATTATTGACTGGGAAGGTGTGTCTCAAGCCAAAGGAGATACTTTATATAGTTTTTGAGCCTTGTCTCTGTGAACCTTAGCTAGTACTTACAAATACTATCTTCTAATCTGTTTATCAGAAAGAATCCTGGGCAGCTACTTGACTTTAGGTCCCTTGTCATTTTTTATGTATCAGGGTCATTTGCAGTTCCATGGTAGGAATTTTTGAAATCTTCCTGACTCTCTTCCCTCCTAGAAGTCTCATGCCATGAAATTGTGCCTCTTATCTTCACTTTTTGAAGCCTACCCTATAAAGCTGTGGGGACACATTAGACTATGCCCAGGCTTTCATAAATGATATGATAATGTGGTTATAACCTCCAAAGATTCCTGTCATTTTAATTCTTACTGGTTGATTGAAATCAGATCCAGTACAGGACAATTATTTTACTGTTACCACTGCCCTTTGGAAGTGAGATTTTTCTTAGTAAAACAAATTATAACCTGTTAGACACTCTACTTTTATTTTTTATTTTTTTAACATTTTTTATTGATTTATAATCATTTTACAATGTTGTGTCAAATTCCAGTGTTCAGCACAATTTTTCAGTTATTCATGGACATATACACACTCATTGTCACATTTTTTTCTCTGTGAGTTATCATAACATTTTGTGTATATTTCCCTGTGCTATACAGTGTAATCTCGTTTATCTATTCTACAATTTTAAAATCCCAGTCTATCCCTTCCCACCCTCCACCCCCCTGGTAACCACAAGTCTGTATTCTCTGTCTGTGAGTCTATTTCTGTCCTTTATTTATGCTGTTTTTGTTTGCTTGTTTGTTTTTGTTTTTGTTTTTTAGATTAGACACTCTACTTTTAAATGAATGCATTGTCCTATAGAAGTTTGGGTAGTTTTTGACAGTCCGTACTGCTCCTCTTGCCTCCCTGTTGGTTTTCAAATATTTCTTTGTGATACAGAGTTCATTTTCCCATGTGTCTGTGTTCCCATGAGGCTCTCCTTTCAATTCTTCTTTCATTCTTTCCTAAATATTCTCCAGGATCCCCCTTTGAGTAGGAATTGTCTAAATAGATATTCTTAGTTCGTAACCCCTCCCAACAAGCTTGTTTATTTTAAATATTTTTACCTTTAATTCTCTCCCATCCAAGTCTCAGTGAAACTTAAGAGTTTATAATTTTGTCTTAGAATCTCAAGTTCATCATGTAAGTATCGAGAGGTATCATGGCAATACTGTTAGTAGTTATGTATGCAGGCTCTGAGCCAGACTGCCTGGGTTTGAATTCCAGCAATTCCACTTATGAGTCCTGTGACCCCGGGCAAGTCATATGTAAATGGGGGTAATTGTACCTCTCTTAGATTATTACTGAAAAATTGGAAGCACTCAATAAAGTTAACTATAATTATTATGTTGGTAGTAGTTTAAGCATATATAATAATATCAATAACTCCTAAATTTTACCTTTAATTTATACCTTTTTTTATCATTGAACAGTATAATTTTCAAAAGAGGGATTGTAAAGTTTACCAGATACTGCAAAGATATCAGATAATTTAATGTCCATCAGTGACTCTTGCAAGAGAAATTTTAGGGCAGATACCAAGTTGCAGTGAGATGAAGAGTTAGAGAGAACTCGAGAAACTACTCCTTTAGGAATTCAAAGTTTGAAAACAACTGTTTATTCACAAGGTTAGATTTTTTTTCCATCTATTTGCTTCTCGTTTTGATTACTAGTGTTAACACAGAACAATAATATTACAGAATATTACAGCAATAAAAATATTTACTATTTCTCAATGAAATTTTTATTGGTAAGAAAATGAATCAGCCTCCCAAATGACAAAAGCAGTTGTTTAAAGTAAAAAAGGAAATACATATTCCTCTGACATGGCGCCTTGCATGTAACAAGTGCTCTGTGAATTTTCTTTTTGTAAAAATGAATTTTATTGAATACTGTTTCTTTTTTACCCTCCAAAAGTGTGTGGATTTTCATGTCACATAACTTGTGTAAACAAAGCTCCAACCGCTTGTCCAGTTCCTCCTGAACAGACGAAAGGTCCTCTGGGTATAGATCCACAGAAAGGAATAGGAACAGCATATGAAGGTCATGTCAGGGTAAGTATGATTAGGTTGGGTTTAGATTAATCTTTTAAGATTTATTAATGAATTAAAGAAAAGCTGACCCCCTTACAAATACAGTCCTTGATAGAAAATTAGGTGAATAAAATTCATCTAACCATTTTACTTCATTCAGAGTAATGATAAACAAAAACCTAGCTTTTGCTTGGAATAAATTCCAAAATGTTTCAAAATTTTCTGTACTGCCCCTATCTTGTAATGAATAGATGTTGAAAACTCCATGAAAGAGTCTTTGGCACTTGGTCTTGCTGGAGAGGTGGCATATGCTTACAAAGTATGAGATATTATCAAGGTGTAATCTTACTTGTAATCTTGAATAATACTTAAAGTATAAGCTGCCTTTCATCCTACTACCAAATTTGGCTTTTATGCTACTTAGAAATCCATGAATGTTAGTTTAATGAGTGACTAGTGAAAGTTAAAATGGTACCGTTATTTTTTTTTTCAGAATAAAAAGTCATTCAGTGCTTGAAGAATGTGTTCTCACACTTTCTCATGTTATTAATGATCTGTGTGTTCCATCTGCTGCTTTACCAACCAAAGTGGCAGACTTACAATGCACGTACATTATCTTGAGGTTTTCACCATGCCATTATATATGTAATTAAGGGGCTCTGATTGACCTTTCAATTTGAGTTACTGTTTTGTTTGTTTGCCTATCTAAGATCCCGAAGCCAGCCGGAGTGAAGAAAGGATGGCAGAGAGCACTGGCTGTCGTTTGTGATTTCAAACTCTTTCTGTACGATATTGCTGAAGGAAAAGCATCTCAGCCCAGTGTTGTAGTCAGTCAAGTGATTGACATGAGGTAAGTTTTTGAAGGTGAAAATATCTGTATCTTTGCACTCATAGGAATAAAAAGTGTGTGATTTTTCTTCTAATTATATTGCCATTTTTATTTAAATCCAATTTCATGTTAATTTTCTCATTTACTAATACTGCAATTGTAACTAATTAAACATAAAGTGTAGTTATCAAACAGGTTGATGTGTGTGTGTGTCTTGAATGTGTCGGGGCTGGGGAAGTCGGGGAAAAGAAACTAATGTTTGAATTCAGAAGACCAGTTTAAAGGTTGCTGGGGTACTGGAGGCCTAATGTGTAATGTTTATATCATCACCTAAAGGCTTTTGTATAAAGTTCAATGGAAGGAAAGGAAATAAAAATCTCAAAATCAGACAAGTTCTTGGAATATAAAATGAATCAGTGAACATTTAAGAAGTACAGCTCTTAAATGTTTCTGTCTCATTTTTCAGACTCTTCCCCCTGTCCCTTGGAGTGCTCTGCTTAACCTCTTCTCGTAACACCAGGCACTCTCCTTGAGTGATCTTATTTATCCCTGTAGCTTCAGCTATCACCTGTGCATTGATGACTGCAAGACATATGTCATCTTTCTCCAGTGCTCAAAACTAGAATTTCCAGCTATGGCTCACATTAGCATTTTATACCAGCATCTCAAACACATCATCTTCCCCACGAATATAGAATATAAAGGAGTAGATGCAAGAAATAGTAGAATATTAGCAAAGAAGATTTGACAGAACTTGCTAAGAGACCAAATATAGAAAGATAGGGATTAGAATCAAAGATAAGACTAAGATGTCTCCAAGACCAAGAGAATGATGATACTAACCACCAAATTAAGGAAATCACAAGGAATAAATTATTGTGGAGGAAATCTGTCTTAGATATTGAAGGAACAGTGAAATGTCAGATGAGCTGTGTTGAGGGCACTTGAGATGTATTGTGAGAGGAAAGTCTGCTGGAGACTCTGGAGACCTACCAGGGTTGAAATCCCAGTTCTCCGTATGTACTTACTTGTGACTTTGAGTAAGCCAGAAATGATTCCTAGCTCTTGGATAATGTACACTGTTAAATTACGCTTGGTAAATTACTTTTGGCACTATTGATTACAAAGGGGGAAAATTCAAAAATTTTTAAAAATTCAATTTGAATGTTTTGTGCAATTAAGTTTTGAGGATTGCTTCATGTGTGTTATTTGGATACATGCCCAAAACCACTACACACGCAGCCACATATACTGAGTTTTAATGTTTCACTTTTCCTTCAGGGATGAAGAATTTTCTGTGAGTTCAGTCTTGGCTTCTGATGTTATTCATGCAAGTCGAAAAGATATACCCTGTATATTTAGAGTAAGTATGTGTACTGTAATTTGATCACTGAATTACTTACTTTTAATGAGTATATGTTTTGCCTCTCTGTATAGATCATAACGTTAATAAGAATAGAACCAAAGCTATATATATATTCCTATATATATATATATTCCTTTATGTATTTCATGTCATCTGATACTTGACTGTATAGACAGTTGGTGCTAAGTAACTATTTAATTAGTGAAAGACCAATAGAAAGCATGAATATATATGGCTTCTAAAATAAGTTTCCTCTTTGATAATATTTTTGAGTCACAATTCCATTTTCAAATAAATACTACCAGATGGAAGACTGAGTAAGTGTGGGATTTCTCAGTTGTTTTAAAAATAAAAGTTTCTTTTGAAATCTCATTTTAACAGTTAATGCATTTCAGTTCTATTGCTTTGTAATAACCACTCCAGAACTTGGTGGCTTAAACCAACAGTGGTTTATTTTTCACCATTCAGTGGCTCAGTTTTCTGGTGTCAACTGGGGCTACTCATATGGCTGCATTCAGATCATTTGGGGATGAAATACCCAAAACAACCCTACTCTCAAATCTGGGGCCTTGGTGCTGGCTGTTTCCCTTGGCGCTTGGCTGTTCCTTGGGCACTTGAGTTCTCTGTATGAACTCTCTCCATGTGGTCTAATCTTTCAGTAGTCTGACTGAGCTCTCCGTGGCTGGCTTCCAAGAGAAAAGAAGAAGCTGCCAGGCCTTTTAAGGACTAGGCCCAAAACAGGCAAAGTAACTCTTCTGCATTCTGTTGGTCAAAGCAAGTCATTAGGTCAGCCCAGATTTAAAAGGAGGGGAAATAGACTGCACTTCTTGATAAGGAGAATGGAATGCCACATGAAGAGTTGTTGGAGGCTAATACAGTGCAACCTTGAATTGGTGAATTAAGATAATACAGGTAAAAAGAAAGGACTACTGCCCTGATGGTATACCTGTATGCTTAGTATTTGTTAATGAATCTTGCATGCAAGGAAGTTCAGACAAAGGCCAAACTTAGTCTCTCAGTTCCCAGACCAACAACTGTTCTCTCTCCAACTACCAAGGGAACCTACAGAGAGCCACTTATCAATATAACTGATTCTGATTGTGGGATTTTATTGTCACTGTTGCTTAAATTACTTTTAATAAAGGATCAATATATACATAATTTAAATCTGTTCTGGTTTTTAAGTGTCATTTGTATAATGATAAACATTTAAATACTAGCTCAAGTGATCTGGTTTTCTCTAAGATAATGTGAGTTGATTGTTTTGAAGTAACAGAGATTGTAAGTATTTCTGAGCATTGGTGACTGTTTTTAAAACAAGCTGAAAATCAGTATGGTGTAGTGCTTATGAGCGTGGACACAGGATCACAGTCTAACTGTGTGTGCTTGAAGAAATTAATTTCTCTGCATCACTGCAGAGAAGACTACAGGTTTTTTTTTTCATATATAAAATCAGTATATAATAACAATACCTATCTTGTGAAGATATTAAATGAGCTAACACTTGTAAAGTGCCCAGTGCTCAGTAATTGCTCAACAAATGTCATTGCTGTTGTCATATGTCTGTGTGTAATGAATTTTTTAGTGGTAGTATTCTGACACTTTGTAGCAAAGAAAATACAAATGACACTAACATTTATAATGATATGTGCTACCTTTGCTTTGGCATGAATTCTAATGCTAAAAATAGTTATTCTTCTGATTAGAAATAGCTAAACTCTGTTATAGATATCACTTAATGAGTGCTCATTTTGTTGGCTAGTGCTAATAAGCAAACTAGCATAAGCATAAAACTGGCTTAAAAGGTGTCTGTTTTCTAATGTCATGAATTTTGATTAAATTGTTCTAGGTCACAGCTTCCCAGCTCTCAGCATCTAATAACAAATGTTCAATCCTGATGCTGGCAGATAGTGAGAATGAGAGGAGTAAGTGGGTGGGAGTGCTGAGTGAACTGCACAAGATTTTGAAGAAGAACAAATTCAGAGACCGCTCAGTCTATGTTCCCAAAGAGGCTTATGACAGCACTCTACCCCTCATTAAAACAACCCAGGCAGCTGCAATCATAGGTATGAATGTATAACCTTTATCGTGTCATAGCTGTTTACTCATCTTCCTTGTCAGCAGGAACTGGCTTTCATCTAGGAATCCCCAGTGTCTAACATAGTATGTGTTATAGCATAGATGCTCAGTAAATGTTTATTGAATGAATGAAACCATATTAGAGCTTTGTCTTTCAGTAAACAAGAATAAGTACACTTTTCAAGTGTGTTTTCTACTGAAAAAGCAACAATGCTAAAGATTAATCTATTTACGAATATATTTTCTGCTTTTGTGACTTGGAACAAGTTTAATTTCATAAAGCATAAGTTTCCTGTGTAAAATGTAGATACTAATTACCTTGCAAAGGTTATTGCAAAGTTTTAAGTAAGATGGACTATGTAACACAGAGTGCCCTGTATATAAAATACCCTCAAAAACTGGTACCTTTTGTGTCTGGAGGTTTAAATTTTCACCACATTCTTATGTACACTTCCAACTCTTTTGTTACTTTCTAGAAAAGAATGAAAAGTTTAATGAGTATAGTTCAAATGCCTTTCACAAATTTTTCCCTCTCAAAACAAGAAATGGAATTGGACTTATGGTGCTAACAAATTAGGAGGTTTTTTTCACCTTTTATTGAATAAACATTTAATACTTACTTTTGATGTAAATTATTTTCTGATGATTGTTCTATTTAAAAAAAGACATAATATTTACCTCTGTAACCTGAAAGGGAATTTAATAGTACAAATTGTTATTGCTATTTTTAATTATTTATTTTATTTATTTCAGTTTTTCACATCAGATTTCTTTGTTTTATTCTATGAGTTTTACATAATAAAACCTAATGAAAATGTTTCATATTTATGTCTTCTATAGATCATGAAAGAATAGCTTTGGGGAATGAAGAAGGGTTATTTGTTGTACATGTCACCAAAGATGGTAAGAGAAAATTATTGTGGGGAAAATACTGTTCATAGAAAATTCTGAACTCTAGATTGTGAATTCTAAAAAGGGCAGGATTTGCTCTTATTTAGTCTATAATTGAAATTTTCCAGACCTAATTTGATGTGTTTATAAGTCAAAAGATAATTTTAAAATTTCCATAATCCTCCTAGTTCTAAAATTTCTATGTATACTGTCTTTCTTGTGTCATCTTATTTAACAGTTCTGCTGTATGAACTCAGATTTCTAAAGATGGTACATGAAAGAAAATAACAACTTGATTTTTTTCCATTGTTCTAATAGTGCTAGTAGAGGTAACAGTCATTAAAATGTATTTGTTTTTGGTTCTTTTTTCCCTCGCAGATTTTTTTTCTAGGGAGAAATTAAATTCTGGGTGAAATAAAAAGGGACCAATTTAATTTAGCATTCTTGAGTACAGTGTTCTAAGTTCTGTCTTTATTTTATATCGTTAGATCATGTGAAAACAATGCATTTAAACTTCATTAATTTGTTACTTCGAGAAGTACCTTTACTAAAATATGAGTTACTCAGTTTTTAAAAACAGGAACCCCATGGTAAAGTTCCCTAGGATTTTGTGCCAGTAAAAAAATTTTTCTTGAAGATCTGGTGTGCTTTATCACATAGAAACCTTTTGCCTTGGCTGCCAGAAATCTCAGTGCTGAATTTAATACCTTACTATGGGTAGGCTAAATTAGCTTATAATGGGTATAATTGTCTTCCTCTTTCTCCATGTGATTTCTGATCTCTTACTCTTCAGTGTGTGTATCTCTCTATTATAAGTTGACATATCCTTTTGAGTATATTTGGGATGTGATTAATAAACAAAGCATTGTTTTGCATTTGATTCATTATTCTTTCTTTGCATAGAAATTATTAGAGTTGGTGACAATAAGAAGATTCATCAGATTGAACTCATTCCAAATGATCAGCTTGTTGCTGTGATCTCAGGACGAAATCGTCATGTACGACTTTTTCCTATGTCAGCTTTGGACGGGAGAGAGACTGATTTTTATAAGCTGGCAGAAACTAAAGGGTGTCAAACCATAACTTCTGGAAAAGTGCGTCATGGAGCTCTTACTTGCCTGTGTGTGGCTATGAAAAGACAGGTCCTCTGTTATGAACTATTTCAGAGCAAGACTCGTCACAGAAAATTTAAGGAAATTCAAGTCCCATATAATGTCCAGTGGATGGCGATCTTCAGTGAGCAACTCTGTGTGGGATTCCAGTCTGGATTTCTGAGATACCCCTTGAATGGAGAAGGAAGTCCATACAGCATGCTCCATTCAAACGACCATACGCTCTCCTTTATTACACATCAACCAATGGATGCCATCTGCGCAGTTGAAATCTCCAGTAAAGAGTATCTGCTGTGTTTTAACAGCATTGGGATATACACTGACTGCCAGGGCCGGAGATCTAGGCAGCAGGAGTTGATGTGGCCGGCAAATCCTTCCTCTTGTTGTAAGATTCTCTTACTTTTGGCTGTCTTATGTTGCAGTCTCTTTCTTTTTCCTTTTACTTTATCTCCTATATGTATTCATTGTTAAAAATAGGTTATTTTTTTAAGTCATCCTTAGGATTTTTCCTAAGTATTAATTATGTTCTTATGTAAAGTAAATAACCATATGAAGTTAGACCTAGGCCCACAGAGTCAACATTAACAGGAATATAATTAAAGCTAATCTTCCTATGGAATATTTTACTTAGGTGGATTTTTTAACCCATATTATTGTATTTTGAAATCATCATGAGGAGTTATCTTCATGGTCCCCCAAAATGTGGTGCTTGTGAACATTAATAGCTCATAAGACTTATTCTAGAGAAGTGGTTACCAAGTGAATTATTTAATCGGTTATGTAAAGGTATAATGTAGCATCTTGAGAAGTTTTATCCAGTTTTACATTTTTATCTAGATAGGTAGCTATTTTAAATTGCCTACTGCACTCTTTCAAGAAATATTAAGGTATTAATACATTGTTGAATACTTACTATGTGTTGAATACTTACTAGCATTTCATTGTAAGAGAAATAACAGTAAACCAAATAGACAGTCTTACCCTCACAGAGCACTGAGTGCTGTAGAATAGATTCCGGCTGAAACAATTTGCAGTTAGAATACCAGTCCTCTGATAGCAGAGGTATAGAGTTCCGTAGAGGCACATAGAGGAAGTACCTAATCCGGCATATTTTGTTTTTAGTGGAAGATGCTTGAGCATGTTTAAATGTCGAAGGGAAATAGCCACTAGGGAACAAGGGAAGGATTGACTATATGGTAAATATAGGAAGTAGATTAAGATCCCCAAGAAGGTCCAAGAGGATGGAAGTCAGAACACAGGGAGGATTTGGAGCAGGAGGAGTAAAACCTCTTCCACTGCCACAAGATGGGAGGAGTGGTGTGTATGAGTACAGTCAAGTTTCAAGGTTCAGTATAAGAAAGTTTAGGAGAACCATACAGGCTTATTACAGAAAAAAAATCAGAAAATCTAGATAAAAAGAACAAAAGAAAAATACTTCTTATCCTACCTACCCAGACTTAACTATTTTTAATGTTCTGTTTCTTCTGAAATTTATACTCTTACCAATGGCATCATATTTAGAATGAATCCTAGTCAGATAATTCAAAGTATTATGTGAATTGTACAATGTGAGTTGGAATTAGAGTAAGAATTAGACTATCTGGTTTTTTTGAATAGCTCTGCCAAAATGTTAATTTGTGACTTTAACTTAGGTGAATCGTTTGATCTTTCTTTGCTTGTGGTACCATTTATTGGCATTCATTCTTTCAGTAATTTCAGTATATTGAACATCTGCTGTGCCAGGTGCTTTATCACACATTCATAAACGTGGCTATAACTCTTACCTGAGGATTTCTCTGCTTCATGAATTTGTTTCACTGTCAACAGCTTAACTACTTTAGGAATCAATTATTTAAAATGTAGTGAAATTCCTTTATGGAACTAGTATTGGGCAAGGGAATATTATAACCTTAGTGTTAACAAAATCCTTCTGTATTATAATGGCTATAAAATCTCTTCACTTATAATTTATGTTGTTTTTTTTTTTACTTCCAAAGTGCTTTGATGTGGCTACTATATTTAACAATAGAATTTTGGTGGGATTCCTCTTCACAGTGTTTTTAGCGCAGATGTTTCAAAGCATTTTGGGTTTGACAGTTGAAAGTAATCAGCCGGCTGTTCTCTCCCTGCGGTCTCCCAGGTTACAATGCACCGTATCTCTCAGTGTATAGTGAAAATGCAGTTGATATCTTTGATGTGAACTCCATGGAATGGATTCAGACTCTCCCACTCAAAAAGGTAATTTAACATTAAAATTTGGACTAAGTGAACAAATGAATGTAAGTGAAACACTAATATGACTATTTAGCTATTTTTCACTAATTTAGCATTTTCTGTCATATTCTGGTAATTTGGGACTTAGCTAAGAATAAAAGAAAAAAAATCAAGCTTGTTAATTTCAGGCAGCTCAGCACCAAATTATTTTTATTATATTTAGTTTTACTATATAAATTATGGTTATTATCATAATGAACACCTAGAATATATTTTACAACTTAAATCAGAGTTATCTTCCACTTTAGTTTAAGGAGCTCTGAAGAAATGTTATTTGTAATTTTACTGTTTTTTACATAATAATATGCTTTTAAGCCTGTGAGGACAAATTTCACAGGCTAGAAAAGTGATTAAAATTAGAACCAAAGCTCTGTGTAAGCATCTCATGATTTAAAAATAAAGGTTTCACATATCCCTAATAAAATATAATATTTTCCTTTAGCATTTCCTTATGATAACATAAAGAGATATTTTACAGGTATAGAATGCTGTTTTACAAAAGCGAAGAATAATAGTTTCATATAGGTATACGTAGCATGTGTCATTAGTTGGGGGGCAGCGTTTAGAGGAATATGTAAAAGAAAGTAATCAAGATCTTTTTCAAAATCTGTCCCAATTTTAAACTGTAACAGAGTGAAAAAAACTCTTGTAAACACTGCCACATTATGTGTAGCAACTAAATACTATCCTCTAGTTTGTAAATTTGGGCTGGTTACAAATAGTTTCCTTTTCATTTTTTCCCCTTTTATTTTTATTGTGTAAATTTTGAAATATATATAAAAGAATACTTGACCTTTATGAAGCTTAATAAAATAAACATCACTTTTGAACTCACCTCCTAACTTAAGAGCCAGAACATTACCAATTTCACAGAATCTACCTGTGTATTTTTCCCTTATCCTGAATGTTGTGTTTATCATTCCCTTGCTTTTTTTAAAATACAGAATTTTTTGTATATTTAAATATTCCTAAACAGTATATTGTTCAGTTTTGCTTGTGTTTGAGATAATAAAATGTTATGTTGTATGTAATCTTCTATCTTGCTTTCTTCATGTATTTACTGTGTTTCTAAGATTCATCCATGTTATATGTACATATACATATATATAGATAGTTGTGATTAATAGATCAGTTTTTTCATTCTCTGATTAGCAGACATTTGAGTTATTTCTCAGCTTTTTGTTGTTGTGAACATTGGGATATATGTCTTCAGATGCGCTTATTCAGGAGTTTCTTTTAAGTCATGTGCCCAGGAATGGAATTGATGGGAATCAGGGATGCAAGTGTTCAACTTTACAAGATAGTGTCAAATTATTTTCCAAAGTAATTGCACCAGTTGATACTCCCACCAGTAGTATATAAGAATTCTTAATAGCCCATGCCACGTCAGAGTTCATAGTTTTATAACCATTTCCTTATGGTTATAAAGTGATACCTCTTTGAAGTGTTAATTTGCATATCCTCAGTTAACTGTGTTGTTGATAATCTTTTATGTGTTTATTCATCATTCATATTTCCTCTTCTGTGAAATGTCTGTTCATGTTTTCTGCTTATTTTTCTGTTTAGTTGTCTTCTTCTTACTGATTTATTGAAAGTATTCATGTATTATAAGTACTGGATTAGTGATAGGTGTGGTGAATCTTTTCCCTGGTTGTGACCTATCAATTTTTATGGTGTATTTTGGGAACATTTATTGTTATTGCTGAAAATACATTGTTATAAATTTTAATGTAGTCATTTATCATTCTTATCCTTTACATTTATCTTTAATTTCTCTCAAAAGTTTGAAAGTTTTGCCTGTTGCATTTACATCTCTAATCCATTTGGAATTGATTCTTTGTGTATGGTGTGAAGTAGGGATTCGGTTTCATTTATTCCATATAGATAACCAGTTGCCCCATCACCATTTATTGATAATCCCTCCCTTCCCCAGCGATGTACAACTTCCTCTCTGTCAGATGTGTACATTTAGTTCAAATAAGATTCATAAAGTATCTGTGTTGATATCTTAGTATCACGATTTAGCTTTAAAAAGTCAAATTTAAGGTTTAAATGTATTTCTACCCCTTTTTTTTTTTGGCCCAGAATATTCTTCCTTTAAAATGTTATTATTATGGCTTTGTTTGTTCAAATTAGATAATTTTATACCTTTCTAGTCAGAATGAATGTTAATTTTTTATTGATTTTCTGAGGGGGCTATATTTTGAAGAGGAAGGATAAATTAAAGGTTTTAATAGTGTATGCTTTATAAATAGGTGCAAAGTTTTCTGATTTATTTTTTGAAGGTTTTGCTGAAATGCTAATTTTATTTTCTATTATTTTAGGTTCGACCCTTAAACAGTGAAGGATCACTAAATCTCTTAGGGTTGGAGACAATTAGATTAATATATTTCAAAAATAAGATGGCAGGTAAGAAAATACACATTAATAGGAGAACTTCATGGGAACATTCTCTTTGAGCTGACTACTGAAGATAGTAAGTGGCAGAGCCACTTAACCTCAGTTGTATCTTATGCCGGAGTCTGTGATCTTGACCACTATCATACTCTTAATGTATTGAGATGAACTACTGGACAAAAAGTCATTCTGTTCAAGCACGCCTAGATGTATAGGGAAAATACTTGTTTCTGACCAACCTCGATATTTTTCTGTGGAGTACTGACGTAAATAGAAAAAGTACAGCTGAATATATCCTCTGTACCTTTAATACTGTAGAACCTAACCAAAAGTGGTAGCACTAGAATTATGAAAACTCATCCAGAGTTCCAGTTTGGGACTTCTGGAATGTATCTTCTGCCAATGCGTAGGCCTTAGAACTTTTGAAGTACTAGTGACAACATGAACAGGCGAAGCAGAAAAGAGAGGAAAGTCACAGGGGTGTCCAAAGTAGTGAAGTGAGTCCTAGTCAGGCAGACCGCCTGCATGTAATTAAATAAGTAGGGTGTGTGCCAGTCAGAGTGTGTCTAAAAATTCATATCTCACTTTTAACAAATATTATTATAATGCTATCTTCTACATAATAAAGTTATTCTCGTGTCTTACAACAAGTTTCTTCATAAAGGTATTCATAAATTTAATATCCTTTGTGGTGGATCTAGTTAATGAAGATGTAATTATGGTACATTATGTAATTAAAATAATTTAATTGACTTAAATGTAAGTAAAAACATTGGCATCAAGAAAACACATTAAAATGTTTATACCCAGTTATCTCTGGGTAGTGGGATTATTATCTTTTTTCCCCCATTCCAATACATTTGCATCAAAATACATTTGCTATCAAAAAAAAATCCATCAAAAGTTTGCTGTTTTTGCTTTGTTTGTTTGTTTTTAAGTACTGAACACACAAATTGCTTGGCTTCAGATTTGGTGCTCTGGTACATCCTCTTGACACTGAGGTTTCTGTGTAAGATTAAATCCACCCTCTTCTCACTGTATGTGACCATGATGATTATAAAATGTGTCCATTACCCAATTTGTGTCTATGGGATAAAACCTATTCCAATTCATCTTTTTTTATGCTTTGGTTTTCTACTCTAGGCTAGGAATAAAGGTAGAGCTTAGAGAAGGAATACCTGACAAGATTTCGATTTAGTTGTCCTTTGAAAAGGAAAGGAAATGCTATTTCTTGGAGATTCTTTCTATTTCTCTTGTCTATTTCTCTATCTTGTCTGTTTCTCTTTCATTTCTCTTTCATTTCTCAGGAACTCAAAGGGCTCCGGCAGCCCTCTGGCTGTCCAAAATCTCTCATTGCCACTGTAGCTCACCACAATCTGCTTTACCCTCACAATGCTCAAATTCCAGTTCTCAAATTCTCATCTACTTTTAAAATTTTATCCTTTTAACATTTGTTGTTAGGAAAGCGATGTAATCAGGCTATTACTATGATACTAGAAGTATGTTGCTTTTTTCCTAATCATCTTGTTTTGGCTTCCCTTACAGGCCCCCTTACCTTTTTCCCATTTGCTTCGCACGTTAGCTTTTTGGATATTAAAAACTCCCCTAACTGGCTTTTTTCTTTTTCCTTATCTTATTTAGAGAATGGTATCCATCGTGTTGTACGGATACAGTCAACCATTTTAAAGGATGTTCACCACATCCCAGCATGTTTGAGGAGTCCATGGTTGACAGCTTTACTTTTAGTGTTAAAATTGAAGTAGATTGGCACTGGGTGGCTAGTTGTATACGATTAAAAATCCCTCCAAGATCAGGAGAGCAGAAATAACAACTAGATGCCTACCTTTAGTAAAGGAAGCTAGTGGAAACACAGTTCCTTTCCTTCACTCCACATATTGCAAATTGGATCTGCAAAGGAAATGTTTCAATATAGAAAAATATTTTTACTTGTTATCATTTTCATGAATAATTTACCATTTATGCCTGATTACTGTGCAAGTTAACAGTAGGCGCTTTTTAACACCCTAAGGCATTGAAACCAATACCTGGAAGGTGAGAGAAGATAGTGTAGAGATATTGAGGGCAGGGTGGCCAAAGTGACAGGACACCAAGGCAACTACATTTTTCTTTTTTTCTTCTAGTAAAATTGTACCATTTTATGTTTATAGTAAAATAAAAGTGAAAATATATTTTGTAAGCTGTGTTTAATTTCAGCATATATTTGTTTACATATGTTTGTTGAAAATTATTGGTTATTTACTATGATTATCAACACACAGCTTTTAAAAATCAGAATTGCATTTACTTGTACAGTTGATTAGCATTTGTACTGTCTTGGAGATTAATGGATAAAAAGCATTTAGCACTTTAAGGAACATCATTGTTCTTTGTATTTTTTTTTTTTTTGACAGAAGGGGATGAACTGGTAGTTCCTGAAACATCAGATAATAGTCGGAAACAAATGGTTAGAAATATTAACAATAAAAGACGTTATTCCTTCAGAGTCCCAGAAGAGGAAAGGATGCAACAGAGGAGGTAGATATTTAATTTATACTCATCCAAAGATGCTTGTAGGATCAGAAAGACTATTTGGTCATAATACTATGTTTGATTTAGAAGGAAAATTTGATCTCTGAAAGTATCATTCACCATCTATGATGTTAAAAACTGCAATAATGAATGTATTTCTCAGTGTAATTTGAATTAATACTTTCCAAATTGTCAGTATGTATTAGATTGAAGTACCATATTTTGATTCATTTCTCAATGTATATGGAATAGTTACAATTTTTAGAGTGTGAGCCTTTATAAACATAGTACATATCTGTGCAGATTTAATATTCCCTTCATGAGCAAACAGAAATAGGCTTGTAGTATTTCCAGTTATATATAAAAATATTTCTAAAATTTTAGTAGTTATTTTAAAAGACATACATAAAATGTTCAGAGTTATCTGTAAAATAGAGTAGAGCTTCTTTGGTATCTAAAGCACTAAAATAACCCTCTGTTTTCCCACCAGAAATCATAAGATCTTTTATTTAAAGTTCAAAGCAAAGCCTTCTAAGTAAATTTTCAATTTAGTATGTTCTGTTATTTTAACTCTATCCTTATTAACATGATTTCACAGTTTATTTTTATGAAAAATTAAGTATGCTTAATTTTTCTCTAAAATTGTCTTGGTCACAGAAAAAAGTGTCTAGACCAGTCTAAACAGATGTTTTCTGTTACAGAGAGATGCTACGAGATCCAGAAATGAGAAATAAATTAATTTCTAACCCAACTAATTTTAACCACATAGCACACATGGGTCCAGGAGATGGAATACAGATCCTAAAAGACCTGCCCATGGTAAGAGAAATGAAGAGTGAATGTGAATATAAATGGGGTTAAGAGTAAGGGGTAGGGGGAGGTGGATATATATGTGTGTGTGTGTATACACATGTGTGTGTACTTAAATACATGTAAGATATATTAGTGTAATGAGGAATTGTTTATCTCAGTATATCATGATATATGTAAGATGCACGATGGCATAGATTTTTTTCTCCATTTTTTTCCTATTCTAAACATTTGCTAAGTCTTCAGTCTGGTTTTCCTTTATTCTCATAAGTAAACATAACAGAACCATGTAGTCCAAAGCCTCTGGCATTTGTCCTTACAGAAGGTACAGTACCAGATACAAAGCACCTTAAAAGAGAGAACTTTTTAACAGTTGAAATGTGAATATATATGTATATACACATACATATATATAGCTTATATTTGATTTAATGAAACTTTTTGAAATTTAGTTAGTAAATAGTGTTTCAACATCTGCTGTGTAATTAGCACTATGGAGGGATAGAGGGATACAAATTTCAAATACATGCATGTGTTGCAAAGCCAGATCTCAGCAAATACAAAATTATTTCAGTAGTCAGCAAGGTTTTAATGAGTATTATCCTTTTAAAATTAAGCTTTCCCTTACATTTCATTTTGGTGCACAAAAAAATAATAGTTTTCATCTTATTCCAACAACATAGCAAGAAGGATTATGGAAATTCTTTCTATAAATTCTATTATATCCCACAGTATCTTCCTTTAGGTAAAGTAGTTTCAGGATTTAATAAAATGTTCCTCTGCTTAACCAGGTGAAAAATCAGTTTGGTAATGTTCCAGAATTCTTTCAGACCTTCATATACAGTAAGACTTGGCTTTCCTACACCCTGCATAAGCACACTGAAGCAAAATGTCAAATTTCAAATAGTGTAAGAACTTTTATGTCACAGCATCCCTTCTTTTTCTCCCTCACCCTCCCAACACGTAAAGTAAAGGAAATCTCTCTTTTTTTATTGTTTTTCAAAATAAGGTCCAGTCTTAATTACTGTGCAAAACAAGTTCAGATCGCATTTCCCAGAGATTCATCCCCAGCCTGACTCCATGACATGTGGCTTCCTTCTGTGCAGGCTACTTAATCCCCTTGATTTTTAGCGTTTGTTGTCACTGATTTTGTTAACCCATGACTGCCTTGTTGGTTCTTTTTGTTATTAACACAAGTGATTTTTTGCCCTAGCAGTGCAATCCAGTTTTTAATGTTCCTTTCATTTCTTTCATGTTTTATCACACAAGCACTTTTGAATTTCCAGGATGAGAAGTTGGTGTAAAGTTTTGACACCTGTTCCCCTGTACATGTAGTATTGCATCAGAGCGTTTGTTTGTCTGAATTCCTGTTCTTCAGTCTTCCTTTATTTTTACCTAACTTTCTTCCTTTCACTAACAGCGAACGTAAAAGCTGGGGCTTTTCCTAGGCATCCACTTAATCACTTAACAAGTATTTTATGATGTACTGTCTTCCCAGAATTTGGATTAGACGTTGGTAAACAACACAAGAATATGCATGTCTGTAAAGAAAATAATGTGCATGTCTGTACCTGTGAGTGTGTATATATATGTATATTCATGTATTGAAAAGCTTGTGATATTTTAATATAGTCTCAGATTTTAGTATGTTCTTTCTACTATAATTATCTATATTTAATGAACTATTTCCAAAAATTAAGATGAATTAAATTCATCTAGTGTTAACATATATAAGAAATATTTTCAAATTCCAAAGCTATTATGTTGTTATCATTTGTGCAAAGAGCATGTACCCCAGACATTTTTATGTTTAACTTATTCAAATCAGTATTGCCTTCCTGTGAGATACTTATTAGCTTAGAAAGTCTGTTGAATGTCTTTGGAGGCTTATTCTGTTTCCTTTGTACCAAAACAATATTGTAAAGGGTTGTTTGCCTCATGAATGTGGAAAAGATAGTAAGGGTAAGGGAATCATTTTTTCTTTTATCTCCTACATCAGATGTGGCTCTTTTCATGTGTGTCTTAATGAGCCAAGAGAATATAAGCAATTAATATAAAACAGCATGTACCTCTGACAAGTACATACTGTGTTAGTTTCCTTGAATCCTTTTTGTCATTTACCTTTTTTCATAAGTGGATACTGGTAATAAAGGACAACTTTGTCTCCAGTTGAATGCAAGATAATATTTTACCTCTAAAAGATTAATTTTTTTAGCACATAACATTTCTCCTAGCCTTTACCCATTCCTGAAATTGTTAATAAATAAAATTTATAGCTCAATGACCTTTTATAGCTTTAATAAGTAACTTTACTGCTTAAAGTCAAAGTTACATTTACATCAATAGTCTTTTCTTTTTGAAAAGAACCTTAGAAAGTACTGATTTCACTCACATATCTAAATTTAAAACAGTATCTTACATAGGAGCCTTTCTTTTAAGCTTACCTAATTTACCAGATTTTTTTTTTCCACAAAGCAAGCTCATCTCATCTCATGAGAACATCAGTTAGCATCTCCTTGGCAAGTCATTCAGCCTCTGTCTCTAATGAAGACATATAGGATGTTTTCTTGAAACATAGTTGTTTTCAAGAATGGAACCTTGAAATTTTTTATTAGAGAAGGTGACTGGGTACTGAGTGACAGTTCCTAAATATTCAGAAGTTTTTTTATGTAGAAAAACTGGAGTCCTTGTTTTCAAAGACGTTCTTCTATGTCTTTAGTAGTACGTTATTTCATTTTTTAAAAATACACCTGAACATTGAAGGGAAGGTTGTTCTCTTGTTAAAAAAACAAACATGTTCTTTGGGTGTCTAAGTGGAGATAAGTTTGGGCTGCTTAAAGATAAACCAATAATTAGTATATTCCACAGTGATATTTCTGTTACAGGAAAATAAGATCAATAAAAGCAAACGCATATGAAGTCTATAAATACCAGTGAATGGTTTTAGGTTTCTAAAAGAAACCTTCAGTTTCATAACACTGCTGGGGAGAGAGGCTAGTTGTAGGTTTGCTTGTTCTTTTCTTTATTTCCTGCTTTTTCTGTGCTTAATGTTTTTGGTAGATTTTTGCTATATTTTGATTCTATCACATAAGAAAATACTGAACTAAATTTTGAAAGTTTACTTGAGTCTCTGAAAGCCCAGTGTCTGCTCAACTTGATGGTAGTAATAAAAGAGAATAATTTTATGAGGCAAATGATTTTTTGCAAAAATCAACTCTTTAAGTAACTGATTATAGAATTTAACTTTCTAAGGCCTAAAATTATTTCATTATGGATTCAATTCTTAGTATGAGATACTTAATTCATTTTTTTTTACATGTATGTTGTCTGAAATGTCATGTGTATCCAGTGCCTCCATTTTCGTCACCTCATTACCTTTTTCTCCTTTCTGTTGTTTTGATAGCCGGGTTTCCCTTATCCATCCCCTCAGCATCACTCCGGTCTGATCTCCTCTCCGATCAACTTTGAGCACATCTATCACATGACTGTTAATTCTGCCGAAAAATTTCTCTCTCCTGATTCCATAAACCCCGAATATTCCCCGTCTCTACGCTCTGTCCCCGGTACACCAAGCTTTATGACTCTGAGGGTATGAACAGCTGAGTTAGGTGTTAACTTTTACTAACCATGTGCGGATCTCCTCTGCCTGGCTTCATAAGTAACACTGCCAAGGGGGTACATTTTGTGAATGTTTTCCTCTGGCCTCTTTCTCTCTCGCCAAACTTCTGTTCTTCCTCTTCCTCCTCCTCTTTCTTCAAGTTCTGCTTTGTTTCTTCTTTTGAGAAAAAAGATGAGGACTGGGGAGGATTTCAGTTTTATTTCTAAAACAGTACTGGAGGTTTTTCTGTGTTTAATAAAAGACCATCCCATGGTTGTTTCCATTACAGATACTGTAATAAGAAATAGCCCATGATCAGGTCTTTATCCTGTTAAACAAATAGAAAAGGGATCCTAGAATTTCAGAATTTTTTAATAGCTCATTACCCTAGAACCAGTTCAATTCAGAGAAATTTTTTATATTTAGGGAATATAGTCTAAAGTCTGTAGTAGAGCCAGTCCACAGGCCTTCTGTCTACAATAAACCCCTTCTTGAAAAGCGCAAAAATCTCCAAAATATAAAGTGTGATAGTATCAGTGAATAACAGGAAAAAGTACCAACAGAAGGTAGTCTTACTAATCTTTGAGCTATTGCTGCACCTGTAGTTCTAGCCAGAATCCAAAATAAGAGAAGTAAATCAACGAGAGGAATAAAAACAGTGTGCTGCTTTCTAAAGGACTGTGGTGCCTGCTGCCGGTCCCTCCCACGCGGCCTTGAGTCTCTGTAACTAGTGGCTCTGCAGCGGGACCAAGAGCTGGTGCCATTCAAGCTGAAAATCCATCCTTCCATCAAGAAATACGGGCTTACACTGACCTCAGGGGAGCGTTTTCTCAAGTTTATTTTGTAGATAATAAAATATTTGGGCTGAATCATGCAAACCCGTATCTCATAGGGCCCTCTCTCTCTGGCTTAGAAAAATAACAGCACCCATTTTTCATTTGTATATTTAATAAAGTAACTTTCCAATAAGAAAACCCAGCTATAGGGTGAGAAGTTTATTTTTGTATTTTTGTTTGTATTATAAAATTATTCTAAATTAAAATGTCATTGACATTAAGCTATAATGTCATTTAAGTATCTTATTTGACAAGATAAGATTAGTTATGATAAACTAAGCCTTAAACTTACAATAAACTAAGTTTCCTTGGTAACAGATTGCAGGGAGTAGATGCTAGAGGAAGTCACATAAATTGATCAGTCAAGAATTTTTACCTTAATCTTAAGTATATTTGTACAAGAAAAGAACCATGAGCTTAGGTTTCAGATTCTTTTATAATGAAGTTGAACTTCAGCTAAATGAATGCTAAACTTTTGGGTTGGGGTTGGGTTTTTTAATTTTTTTCAGAACATATCTTCTGTGTGTCATTTTTTTATTACCTCAACATTCAGTGTTACTAAACCACTGGTATTTTTATAGGTTTAATTTTTACCCTTTTTTCTTGGGTACGTTTGTTTTTATAGAGAAAGACAACACCAAGTTACCTTAAGGTTTATAGCAAAAACAATAAAAGCTTAAAGGTCGAAACTGATATCCCCATCTCTCTTGAGCTTTGTTTTGCTGCATTGTACGCACGTCACGGGCACCTCACAGGGCTGCTCCTGTGAGTGGATGTTGAAATGCTAACACTGTTTCTGTTTTAAAATTTTTGTTTTCTTAGAGAAAAAAAGGTAAAACATTTGCTTTAAACAAATAACACACTAAGAATTACATGGACTTTATAAATTTAGTATATAAATCAAAATGACAGTGGTTAAATTTGGAGCCAGCCAGCCACCCTTCAGTATGTGTGATTCTTCAAAATGTATGATTTGGAGTTTTTCAAGAGATGTTAGTGCATGTTTTCCTGATTGCCAGCTTTGGCCCTGCATCAGCTGTGATGTTTTAACCTTCTCTCTGGTATCAGCCCCGATACCCCATCTGGTCTGAAAAGGCCTGAATTTCAAAGCACTGTATGGCTCATTTTCCTACCTTGGACACCAAAATTATTCATTGTTAGATGGAAAACTTCTCAAACCAACATTCCCGAGTTAAATCACTTCACACGGGCTGTGGCTGTCACAGGCGTCATATTTATGACTCCAGTGCTGCTCTGTCTGTGTGAGGGGGAAGGCTGCCTGGTGACTGGGATGGGAGCATGCCTGTGGGCCAGTCGGTATCAGGACAATAGAACAGGGACTTGAGAAGAACGGACTTCTAAGAGACTTTCTTCTAAATGGGCTTTTTCAGCTAGTGAGTTATATTCTAAGCAGATAAAAATCTCATAGGTGGTAGAAGCTTTGCTTCTCTTATCTGCAGATGTCCATGTAATTCTGCATTTCACTGTCACTTCTAACCATGTAACTTTTACTCACTGTTCTCACAACAACAGAGTCTTATTTGTTGATGAATATTTAAGTAAGTGTAACAATAAGCACTTATCCTTGATTGAGGTGAGGTTTACTTCTGTTGGGGCGTCAGGACTTTTGTGGGCAGGAGGGATTATGTAATCTGTTTCGTGTTCTGTGTCACTCTGGTCAAGACAACTTTATTTCTAGAAATTTAGGGTGAAAAATAGACATCTCTGAGAAAATCAGTTTCTCTCTGCATGAAGAATTTTTCTTTCTCTTTTGACTTTAGAACCCTCGGCCTCAGGAAAGTCGGACAGCATTCAGTGGCTCAGTCAGCATTCCATCTATCACCAAATCCCGCCCTGAACCCGGTCGCTCCATGAGCGCCAGCAGTGGCCTGTCAGCAAGTAAGTGGCCCCGGCTGCAGGAGGGCACTTCTAGCAAGGTAGTCCTGTGCATTCGGGTGGTGCGGTGTCTCAGAACTTGCTGGGTCGTGTCTCGAAGCACAAGTGCGCTTGTTAAGAAAACAGTCTTGGAGTCCTTTTAGAGTTTACAGCCCATCTGGGAAACTGATACTACTACACATTGTGATGATAAGTGCTCTGAAGGAAATAAACAAGGCACAGTAATAGAGACTCATAAGTGGTGGCTGTCAAGGACGAATTCCCACTTAGAAAAACTAGGAAAATCACATGCCCTCCCTAGAGGTGAAGTCACTTTGAGTCATGTTTGATTGATGAGAGAAGGCCACAGTAGCTGCTTCTACTTGGTAGTGGTCAGGGAGTGACACAAAGTAAAGCACAAGAGGTAGGCAAGGGTTGGATCAAGCAGGGACTTGGGGACCAAGGTAAGACATGTTTTGCTTTATTGAAAACACAACGGGAAGCCTCTGAAGAGTTTTAAGTAGGGAAGGACCTCTATCTAAGAGCAAGACTGTTTTTGGCCAACAGCTGCTTTTCTGTCACTTTCTCAGAAGTAACCCAGCATCGGCTTAGAGAGGAGAGAGGGTGACAAGGGCACCAGCAGCGACTTTAACAAAACCTCTCTTCACTTCCCTACTGCTGATCTCTAGGAAATCCAATTTCATATTTAAAAGTCATTCAGTCAGAAATGTATTTGTTGCCTTGTGTTCTTGAATGTGAGACATTGGAGTCAAGCCCCTGGGGCAGACTGAGTGGCGTCCTTCACTTACTGTCCGTGCAGCAGACGCCGATGTCGGCACCCGCTTTGGTTTTAGGCTCTGGCCATAAAGAGGAATGGTGCTGGAGTACCATTTGTTCTCGTGCTGTAGGACAGATTACCCCAAAACTCAAAAGCTTAAAACAACAAATGTTTATTATCTCTCACAGTTTCTGAGGGTCAGGAGTCTGGGAGCTTAACTGGATGGTTCAGGGTCTCTCAGGAGGCTGCAGTCAAGCTGCCTGCCAGGGTTGCCGTCAACTCCAAGCTTGACGGTGATTGGAGAACCTGCTTCCCAGCTCACTCAACGTGGTTGTTGGCAGGCCTCCGTTACTCACCAACGCAGGCCTATTTGTACGTGGCCTGAGTCCTGGTGACATGGCAGCTGGCTTCCCTCAGAGCAAGTGACCTGAGAGACAGAGACAGACGCAGCAGTGTTTTTATAACCCAGTCTCAGGAGTGACCTTCCATCACTCCTGCAGCGCACTGTTAATCACACAGACCAAGCCTGGTACAGTTGGAGAGGACTGCCCTGGGGCATGAACACCAGGGACAGGTGCCTGCTGTAGGTTCATAGAGCATGTTCAAGTTTTCATTCGACAGGCAGAAGTTGAAGTGCACATCTTGTGACTTTTTTTTGCTATTATCTCCTAAAATCATCTCTAAGCAGCACGTAAAACTCCAGCCAGTCGGAAAAATGACAACCATTTTATTAATCACCTTTTTATTAATGGTGGCTAGATAAGATAGTGGATTTAATATAACTGACTGGAAGGTATCAAGACTTGAGATGCAAAGAAATCATAACAATATTAATAATTACATCCATAATCCTTTATCCAGAAGTCTTGGGGTCAGATGTTTTTTTCAGAATTCATATTTTTCTTTAATATATTTTAGGAGGGTTCCATATATTATATTTCATCCCCAGCAAGACCTAAGACAGCACCTACAAACAATATTTATACAGCCAAATTTATGACTAGTCACAGTATGAATATATAAATAAGTGTACTCTTTAAATAAAGTGTATGAGACACCTCCAATTTGTTCAGATTAAGTTTGCCAGCACATGAGTTTACATCAAACTTCCAGAAAAAAGTTTTGGTTTTCAGGGCTTTTGGATTTGTGGAATTACAGGTAAGATAGGAACTGTAATACAGAGATTTGAAGGGCCGAGTGGCCACCTCCTTAGTAGTGCTGAAGTGAGGGTCCACTGTCACTGTTGACAGTGTGCAAAGTAGAGGCTAGCGCCAGCTCCAGATTCCTGTTAAGGCCTTTAATACAGTTACCAGGCTTGGCCTTCCTGAAATTCTTGCTGACAAGCTGTTTGTGTAGAGGTAAGGGGAAGACCGTCCCAAGAATTCCCAGGGGCTTCTGCTATTTAGAGTGCCTCCTACTAGCTTCAAGAATAGCCCAGCTCATGTACAAAGTTTCCAGAAGAACAGCCAGCCAAGAGAGACACAAGAAGAAATGGGGACCATGTCAGTCTCCACAGCCAGAAGCATGGGACCTTCCAGGGCCAGACGCACGATGGCTTCATGACTAAAGTCCCATAAACAGAGCTTTCCACCATGACTCCATCTGCTCCTGTCAGTGACAGGCTCACTGGGGAACGTGCCGACTTTCCTAGAGGTCATGCAGAGTTAGATACTCTCACCCCAAGAGATTTAGGGTCCTGCCCCTCAAATCACCATCTAGAACTCTTTGGCAAAAACCCTGAGTATATGGTCTCAGTCAGCAGGGACCACAGTTTCCAGATTGTCCCCTTTGCTGTTCAAAACGACCCTTCCTCAAATTTTTAAGATTAGGGTGGTTGCATGTAATTTTTCTTTGAAAGGAACAAAAAAAAAGTATGGATCACGAAGGTGAATCAAGTTCTTTGTGCTATAATCGATCACTGGGACGGAGGGACGGACTCAGCACTGGCAGCCCCATCGTACACCTTCTGTCTTACATTTTATAATCCATGTATTGAATGCTCAGCTGTTTCCACAAAAATCCCATAAGGTAGAATTTATTTTCTTATTTACAAATGAAGAAAACTGAGACTCAGAAAGGTAAAGTCATTTGCTTAAGGTCACACAGGGCAGTAAGCAGAGCAGCAGAACTCTGGCAGTTTGGATTTTCTATTCAGAATGACAAAATTTTTAAAATAGTAACTTACATTACAGCTTTTGTTAAATTGGGCACTAAACTAAGCGTAGAATTGGAAGAGAAATCATAAAAAAATGATTTATGCCTTCAGTTAGATTGTAATCTAAGGAGACAAAAAATCCACATTAAAAAAGTAGAGTACACGTCCAAATAAACACATCAACAAATGAAAATCAGTGTATGTCTAGTAAAGGCACCTCTAGAAACTGGCTGGAGTGTTGAGAAAGAGCAGATTGCCTAGGGAGTTAGATCAAGTCAGTGGTTCTCAACCTGTGTTGCATTCTAGAATCATCAGAAGAGCTTTTAGAAGTCCGAAATTCTGCCATTATTGGTCCGGGTTGGGGCCCAGGCACTGATATTGTTAAAGCTCTATAATTTATTGTGCAGTATACAGAGTTGGTAACCTCTGCAGTAAGTAAATCATGGTGACAGGGAAATGCACACACAGCTGGAGGCTTAGGAGAGAAACTGAAACTAGAAGGACGCTGAGGAGATCACCAGGGGCAGGACTTCACCAGGGGGCCCCTGTTCAGTTGAAGACTTCTGCATGTGCATGTCAATAAGTGCATATGCTTTAAACAGTTACCTTTTGACACTGTCTTTGAATTCTTAATGTAAAAAAAACTAAATTGGGACTCGTTAAACCAGCAAAACATTGGAATAATCACAAGCTATACTTTTGGTTGTGCCTAGACCTCAACAGTGTCACAGTCTTTTCTGACCAGTGATCTTAATATTGAAGCTCAGCAAGATTAAAACATTTTTAAGAACAAACTAAAGAACAGTAGTAGGGAATGCTGAGTTTTGAATAGATACTAATAATACGCAAGATTTCCAAGATGTTTTGGCCATCCTTTGCCTTCCTCTGAATGGTCCAGTCCCCCTTTGATGTACCCCAACTCTAAGATCAAAATAGAGTGCAGTTCTTCTTTTTCCCACAATTTTTTTAAATTAATAGACTTTATTTTTTAGAGCAGTTTCAGGTTCACAGCAGAACTGAGCAGAAAATACAGAATTTGAAAATAGAGTGCGATTCTTAAAGACTCACCTCATTTTGTATCTCAGGCTTTTTACCCTCTGGAATGAAAAGGCTTCTCTTATGTTCCTCTGTATTTTTTATGAAAAGTCTCTAGACATTAAGTGGTAGTTATGGCTCGTCAGCTGGCATGGTCTTTATTTCTGGGACTAATTGATTATGTGGATTATGTGGGAGTTGTCTAGCGAGCCGGGCAGCCCGGACACGGCCAGCAGGGCAGAGGCAGGCGGCCTGGAGAGCTGCCCACTCACCCGGCAGCCCAGGCAGCTGGCCCGGGGCAGGAACAGCAGCTCCGGGTGGCCGGGCTCCTGGTGGACTGGAGTGTCCAGGTAACGCAGCTGGACTCACTGTTTATCGGTGAGGGGCTGTAAGCCGGGAGGATGACCCCAGGACAGCAGGAACGATGGCTTGTCACCTCAGCATTCTGTGCACTTTCTAAAGGAGCGTCCCCTTCTGCATGTGTGAAGTTTTACCTGCATGTGTGCTGTAGGGTCATCCGCACAGAATGGCAGTGCGTTAAAGAGAGAATTCTCTGGAGGGAGCTACAGTGCGAAGCGGCAGCCCATGCCCTCCCCATCTGAGGGCTCACTGTCTTCAGGAGGCATGGACCAAGGCAGTGACGCCCCAGCGAGGGACTATGATGGAGAGGTGAGGACAGCAGGGGGAGTGGCTGTGTCTGGAGACAGGCGTTTGTAGAAGTCCTGGGTGGGAAAGACTAGTGGGTTTAGCAACTCTGTCCCGCCACCTTGAGATGGGCCTCAGCTGCGGGAGGGATCCGCACTCACTCCCCGCTAGGGGGTGGCCGAGCAGGTCACTTGCATTGCAAACTGCAGTTTCCCTGGAGGTGTTCAGACTTCTAGTAGCTTTTATGAAAATGGCCTACGTTTCTAAAGACCTGCAGGAGGGACTGTAAGCATTTGTTATATTCTGTGCCTCTGATTCGGCTCAAAAAAGGGGCACTTTTTACTGACAGTAGGAGAGCCATAACAGGTCATTGGCCAGGGTGGCTGGAGGGCCCGAGCCCCTCTGCTTCTCCTTAATGTCTTCTTCCCTTGGGCCTTGCAGGACTCGGATTCTCCGAGGCATTCCACGGCTTCCAACAGCTCCAACCTGAGCAGCCCTCCCAGCCCCGTGTCGCCCCGAAAGACCAAGAGCCTCTCCCTGGAGAGCACCGACCGTGGGAGCTGGGACCCCTGAATGGCCTCCCGCTCTGAGCTCCCCTCCACTCACCTTCTCCCACTTTCCTCTCCTCCTCCACCTCTGCCTGAAAACTCCCGGCGGAGCGGTAGCAGTAGCAAGGCCGGGACCGAGGACCTGCATCCGCCCCCGAGACTTAACAGCAACCATAAAGGCAGACTTTCATTGAGCAGCTTAGATTAATATTCATTTCATTTCATACACTTAGAGTTGCTTTCCATAATACTTCACCCCTCCCCCAAAGGTAGCTTAAGTAGACAGATTACACAGATGTAAGCGATAAGAATAAGATTAGACAGACGTTGTTTCCACAGTAGAGTCTCGTTGTAGCCCTGAGACAGCACCTGGGGCTCGCCACCGGGTCCCGGGCAGGTGCCAAGCCCATTCAGCACCGCCGTGAATGTCCCCTGATCGTTGCCAGTAAATCCCCGTTCGCTAAAACGATGCATATTTTACTACAATACAGAGTTTAAGTAAATACACAAATGTAGAGGTTAAATACTGAATGTATATAGTAAAAAGAAGCATCTTGTATTCAATGAAAGATGGATGCATATATGAGAGAGAGATCATTTAATTTAAAGAAATGTGTTGTTTCTCGTCTTTTCCAACTAAGTAATTAATGGTAGGAAGGCCTCAAGCTGACATTTACAGAGGGAGAGCTGGGGACTGAGAGTTCTTCTAGTGCCGTTGCTCAGACTGGTCGCGGTCACCTGGGAGCTTTAGGAGGCGTTTGGAGGCTTCGGTTTCATTGGTTTGGAGTGTGACCTAGGAACCAGACTTCGAACATTTTTGAAGCCTCTCAGCAGCATCATTAAAAGGCAAATTTACTTCTATCCAAGACATTTCTTTTTCTAGTGGTAGAATTTGAACCTCACTTCTCATTTATTATTTTATTTTGGTACCTTTTGCAGACGAATGTAGAAATGCAGTTTTGTCACCTGGATCCCTTCCATCTGAAAGGACAGAAGAAAGTCATAGTTTCTGAAGGCCCATAAAGAAGTTCATAAAAGTGCTTTTTTCCTTGGCTGATCCTCTCTCTCCCTGAGTTGCAGTGAGGCATCTGTCCCCCAGCTGAGCTGGCTTCTTGGTGAGAGTATGTTTTGGGGTGAGGGGGTGTGAGTTTCCTCAGATAAGCCTGGGAAGAAGAGTTTAATTACCAAATAATATAAAACCTCAAATGCAAGGACTTGAACAGCCTTAACCAAATATTCTTTCCATACCCAGTGGGGAATGGACGTGTTCAGCCCAGGGCACTGGCAGGAAGGCAGCCCAGTGAGGCCATCTTGACTGCGTAAGCGTTTCCTCCCTTAGTTGCTGTATTGTGTTGTTAGTCACATTTCCATTTGAATTCCTGCTGTTTTAATTACCACAAGGAAATGAGATGCAGAACTTTATTTCTCTAGAGTCATTTCACCAGTTAAGCACAGAAGTAGAGAAAGAGCTAGAAATAAAAATATTCTCGTGGGAGTAAACAGGATCTGCCTCTCTTTTACTTTATATCTAAATTTCTCTGAGAGAAAGATTTTCTTTCTTCTTTAAAATTCAACTAAAATGGAATTGTTTTCCTGCAGTAGCTCGTCTGAATTGCAGTGTTTGAACTCAGTCATTTCAGCCCTGATTTCACAGCCTTCTCCTCAGCCACAGCTGTGCCCACCTTCCCACCACAGGCCATGGGGAGCCAGACTATTCTCAAGTTGATGCTAATCTCTGGAGCAGGTTACTGAGGTTCAGTGAGGGAAGAAAGAATTCTGTTTGAGGATTATATTGTAAAATGTTACAATAGTGAATTTAAAATAATAAGAGCTTTGACATTTAAACATTCTGAACTCGGTGCTTGCTCAGATTTGATTATGTTTTACTTTGGATGGGCACAAATTACTGCACAACTCTAATTTTCTAAATCCTTTGCTTTCAGAAAAAAGGGTGTCATGTAAAATCCTTTTGTGCATCCAGATATCAAGAGTCAGACCTTGAGTCTGCCGTGACTCTGGTAGCTCCTTAAACTTGGCACTTCCCCGAGAGAGGAGGGAACCGGCTCTCCCCGCGTCCTCCACACCCTCCCTCTCCCCTTCCTTCCTCCCCGTGCCTCTTCCTGCCTCCCTTTTCTCTCCTGCCTGAGGAGGCGGAGCTGGCTGAGAGTGACAGGACTCCACACTAAGCTATGCCATTCATTTATAGCTTTGACAGCTTAGTTTCTGTAGGTTTTTTAATTTTTTAAAAGATGCTTATAGGATCAAAATAGAACCATCCCTGAAGTCTGTGCTCCACTGCAGTGAGTCATACCCCTGCAGACTTCCAACAGGGCAGATGAGAGTCCTGAGGGCTCGTCCTGGCTGCTGGGCTCACAGGGAGGTGGAATATCAACCCAGCAGACTGTACCCCAGTCATGTGAAGTGGTCTTACCAGTAGTAAGAGAGCAGTCCCAAATATGATGTTTCCAACAGCAGGGCTTTGAGGGAGAATCACTGCCCAGGGTAGTAGTTTGGAGGGTATTTTCCCAAGATAATGATCATTCTACTGGGCTTATCCCCATTCTTAAATATGAAGCAGTTACCTTCAGAAGCTTCTGAGAAGAATGATTTGAAAAGATGGGGAATGGGTTCTAGAGAGACAGAAAACATAATGATCATTCAAAGGGATCAGTAACAAAGATCATAGAAAAGATGTGATATTGCTGTCTGAAGTCATCCTTTGTTTTTGGCCAGGATGTTTAAAGAAACGTATGTGGCAGCAGGAACTCACTTCTCTTCTCAGCAGAAAGGAAAGATGAATAGAGAGGCATTGCTGGCATAGTCTAGATGTGTTGGTATTTGGTGCTATCTACGTTCAGCCAATTTGTCGTCTTCTCCTGAATTACGACTAGTTTAATCTTGCTGTGTGCTTTAGGTGTATGAAATTACATATATATATATATATATCTTTTTGCCAAAAAACAAAAGCCTTCCTCCTTGTAAAATGATTGCTAAAGCAGATTTCACTTCTTGTCACGTGTGTACACACACACAGGCACGCACGCACTTATCCCGACTCTTAGTGATTTATCTCTTTTCCAGGGAGCACAGTTTTAAGGCTATGAAATACAACTAAAAACAGCCCATCTATTTAGTTTTCCAAGCTATTCTTGTACCCATGCTTCAGGGAAGAATCTGAAATTCCTATTATGTTTACAGCAACAATCTGTCATTTCCCAGCTGGCTCTCAGCCTCTGCCTGCCTTCCATATGGGTAGGATCACGTCATTTTGTTACTCAGTGGCCACATCTGCTTCTGTGAAAGACCAGTTGCATTTATATGGACTCTCAGGTATCATTAAAGAAAAACCAGAGTAGGAGTGGGCGGACATCCCTAACCCCCAGGTACAGCAGGGCCGTTTGCTAGCCTCTGGCCACGAACACCGTGGTCTCCCAGCTAAGCGGGGCCTTGCAGAGCTCGGCATCCACTCTCTGGACCGAGGGCGCATTCTCAGCAGTGGTCAGACTTTGCCATTGCCTGGTCCGCAGGGCATGACAGGGAAGTGACTGGGCACCTGGCTCCCTGCCTTGCCCTGGCCCAGTCCCTGATTAACTAGATAAGCCACATGGCATTTCGTCGGGCCCTTCTTAAAATCTTTCCTTGTTATGACTTCATGCCACAAGTCCAGAGTTCTTCGCAGAGTCCTGCTCGGTAAGAGGGCCTCGCTTCCGCTGGAGCTCTGTCTCCTGCCCAGCACTTCCTTCCCGGGGACAGCCAGTCCACATAGAAACCATTGCATTTAAGGGGGGAAACTGATGAAAAATCAACCTGGAAACTTCATGAAAACAAAATGACCTGCCTTTTTATTTGATAGTGTAATATCATTTATTTTATAAATTTTTTAGGGTTTTTTCTCATTGTAATATTATTGTACAGTTTTGCATGGCCTGGGTGTAATCATTTTTTGGTTTAGAATATAATGCTGACAAATAAGTGTGTATGGAAGGGGAAAAGATACTGCTTTGGCCTCTTATCACTCCTTATTTCATTTTGTTTGGTTTTATGCCCTCAACGTCTTAGGGAACTTTATAAGAGATTCTCTGCTACCAAACAATGGTGTGGATTCTTTTGCACAGAAATATTTAAGGCGAGACAGTCAAAAATGTAACAAAAGACTCCTCGCCCATATTTTATGTTGGTATCACTTAATATTAACCAGACGCTGATGTATTGCAATAAAACAGGGAACTGTTAGGATTGAGTATTTTGTCTTTTTTTTGCTGATTAAAGTCTGAGGAATGGAGAAAAGTGACTCTTCGTCTATGGGACCCGCTTCTGCCAGTCCCCCTCCCCGTCCAGGTGTCCTCGTTACGGTAGGAGGACGTGGGGCTAGTTTATTCTAGGACTTTCATAGTTCCTTCCATAGCTCAGGTGAGAATAGTGTTCGATTCTTTTGAAGCTTTCACCTCCCCTCTTCTGACTTCCCACTCAGTCTGCAGGGCTGAGCGTCTGCAGGTGGCCCTGCCATGTGCAGTTACCAGCAGGGAGTCCACTACGCTAAGGACCCACCGTCTGCCAGCCAGAATTCCCCACCGGTGTGACGTCTGTGTAAACATGGTTTGATTTTCCATCTACTTACTGCAGAGAAGCGGCAGACACTCAACCCGGAAGGCTTGGTCCACACTTCTCTGATGAATGTGGACCAAGCCATCCAGGTTCAGGCACCAAGAGCCTCACAGTGGGAAAAGGGGCAAACTTTGCAGGAGCTTCTAGAGGCAGGAAAGGGTATTAAACTGACCTTGGGCTCATCACCAGCAGCTTTGAACCCCTTTTGAAGTAAAAGAATGAATGCCACAATGATAGGATTTTTTTTAATTGAAACAAGTCTTTACAAGAGTTGTACAAAAATTAACAGAGCCTGTGCTGAACCCTCGGGTCCTACCAGGTGACATGTGCACATCTTCTTCCACAACGGCTCCGGGACCCCCACACACCTGTCTTCGAGCACAGAGACAGCACGTGGCTCTCTCTCCCCTTCTGCAGCTCCTGCCCCTCCCCATAGGAGGCAGCAGTTCTCTGGAAACTTCTGGTTGTCAAAAAACCATACAGGAACCAGCCAGAGAGCAGGTGTGGGTGGACATCTCGGTGAAACAGCACTTGTTGGCACTGCTCAGATCAGCACTTCTCCCAGCTCCAGATCACAGGCTGGAGAGGAAAAGCCAGAAAACACAGATCTCATTCTAGAAACACATACACGCATAAACCTTACACTACACTCAATAAAATCCAAAAGGTTTCTCTGGTTTTGGGGTGTTTGGTTTTGGTTTTTGGTTTTTGGTTTTTTTGTTTTGTTTTAGTGGCAGGGATTCAAAGGGAGAACTCTCACCTCCTGGTTAACATTCACATTAGCAAAACCCCTGTTACAAAAAGGAAAAGGAAATAAAATTGTCTTTTTATTGAGAGTTATTTCAGAGGATGAATAAACAGGCAGATTCTGACCATAGTGGGGTTGCTTTTCGAATTCTCGTGGCTCTCACCCCAACACCCACTTAGTGATAAAAACCGCACTGGCAACAGGCTCCAAGCAGCGTCCCTCCCCATCAGAGCGGCCACCCTCTCACGGGGTGAAGGAGATGAAACGGAGCATTGGCACCACCAGCTTCCTACTAGTTTTAGCGGCAGGACCGTCTGCGGGCGACCGGGCCTGCAGCTACTGCTGCTCGGCCTGCCTCCTGCGGTAGTTGCTGTAGGCCTCCTCGAACATGGCCTTGCAGGGGAACCGGGCCTTCAGCTTGGAGCAGATGAGGAAGGAGCCCCCCATCTTCCTGTGCAAGGAGTAGGTCTCCTCGGGTGGCGGGACAAGCCGGTGCCTCAGCATAATGGGGATCAGGTTGTGGATCTTCTCAGTGGTGCTCTGGGTGCCAAAGTCAAAGGGCTCCTCCGAGGCAAAAGCCTCCCCCAGGATGAGGATGGCGTCTAAGTGGGCATCTTCCATGGCCTGGATGGAGAAGAGGAAAGGTGAGCAGAGATCAGATTTCAGACCCCAGGGCTCCTGCCACAGTGCCCTAGACTGAGCTCTCAGAAGCTCTCTCTGTAAGTTGAGCAGATCAGGGAGGTGATTGTTTCAACTAGATTAAATAGTGGTACCTGGGATAAAAATTCAAACCCATAGGGGCCAGGAAACATCATTAATATGTGAAATTGGGCTCCATGGAAGACAAAAGGGAGTGGTGGGGTCTGCGGCAGAATGCATTCCTGCCCAATGGCACTGGAATTCAAAGTTTTTATGAAACACCTGTCAGTCCAAACAGAACAGTGCCTAGGCCTGAGCCTCTGCACTCTCCGAGACAACCCGCTATCTTCAAACCTTCCGCCCCACTGTCAGGAGAGGTGAGTGCTGCTTTCTGAGTGGCTTCTGGTGATGGGAACCCTGACCTATGCCCCTTAAGATTTCTTCCAACGCTCTCCTCACCCTTCCCAAGTGAGGGCTGGGCTTTGCACCCCCATCTGCCCTCACTAAGGCCCTGAACTCCTGTATGATTAGCCCCGTGACTTGGATGTCCAAGTGGACTGGAGTGGGAGGTGAAGCAAGAGCTTCATGGCCAGTCCCCCAGCATCCTGAGAACTCAGCACGGGGCAGGGCCCCGCTTCCAGACTATGCCTAATGCAGCCCGGCGGCTCTGTGGAGACCCTCAAGGGCAGCTATCACCTCTGATTCCATCCATTTATAAACCACAGTTCCCAACAGACTTCAAAAGAAAAGCAGTCCACAGCCCACCTTCCCCACGTGCACTGAAGTTGGCCCCAGGGGCCGTGCCTGGCTCAGCCAACCTTGCGGACCTCATCACGGGGAGCTCACCTTGATCTCGTAGCCGGTGAGGAACTTCATCTCTATGGATTTCTTCAGCACAGCCTCCCGGTCCCTGTCAGCAGCAGCCCTGATGATCTGGGTGGAGGCACAGAAAGGCACCATGGGCAGCACATAAAGAGGAGCTCCTGGGGGTCCAGGGAGCTGGCACCTGCCCCTCCCCATGCTGGCCACTGGCCAACCCACTTTTATCCTTTGCTTCCCAGAGTCTGACTCGGCTGTGACCTCATCCACTGTCACCAGACACTGGGGGCGGGCAGGGACACCAGGACAGAAGCCCACCCTCCCTCCAAGATCCAGGCATCCCATCCCAGCCTCAGGAGAGCGTAGGCCAAGGCCAGGCCCCCGACTCCACCTCTACCTGAATGTAGAGGTCAGTGAAGGATCTGTCGAATTCCCGAGTTGCCCCGAAGTCCAGAAGGGCCACCTGGGGATGGTCAAGACCGGGCGAAGGTTTGCCCCAGTGGAGGACAGGGTGGGGATGGGGGGGGGTGCAAACACAGCCAAGACCCCCAGATCTCGCAGCCCTGCTCCCAGGAAGTTCAGGCTCCCTGTGGGAGTCCCACTGGGTGCTCACCTTGTGCTCCTGAGGGTCATAAAAGAAGTTGGACCAGTTGGGGTCTGTCTGCATGAAATGGAACTCAAACAGCTCCCTCAGGCACAGGACGAGGATGTTGTAGCAGATCTGGGGGCGGGTGGGTCCCGGTCACACAGCGCCAGGCTGCCTGGTGACCCTGGATCTAGGGCGAGGAAGCCTGACTCCCATTTTCCCCCCCATCTTCCACGCCATCCTGCCTTCCACCCAGAGATGACTTGATTCCAAGGGTACCCCTGGGTGGAGCAACACAGCAGCCCTCTCGTCCCCTTTGCCCCACAGGGAATGCCTTGGGTCTCCAGGGCCACCATTGACACACCTCGTTCCGGATCTCCTGGCTCAGCCCCTCAGCCTGGTCCAAGGGGAAGCCGGACACCAGTTCTGTGGTCAGCACATGGGGGCTGCAGAGCTCGTCCACAATCTCCGGCACGTAGAAGAAGGGGTGGTCTTTCAACAGCTCCCTGGCGGCGGTGGGAGGTCACACCTCGGCCGCCCTGATGCTCCCACTCCCCAACCCCGGGAATGACACAGGACAGTGAGCTGGGCAGGATGGGGCCCTGGCCCCCAGCACCAACGACAGCCATCTGCTGTCAGAGCCAGAGGGCCTTCAGCCCATAGCGGGCTGCCTGAAGCCACCCCTTCTGTTTTCCCAACAGGCAAAGGCCCGAGGCTGGAGCTGCACCTGAACTTGCGGGCACAGGCGGCCTCTCGCTGGTAGTCGCACTCAAGAGCCAGCTCCCGCCTCAGCACGTCGATCAGGTGCTCTGGGAACAGGCCTGAGCCAGGGAGGAGGGTGTCAGGATGGGCTGGGGGCTCCCCTTCAGGTCCCCAGAGCCCATCCCACACTCCTCCCCTTGCCCAGGGGCAGCCTCAGACCTTCTGGAAGCATGTTGCTCATGTTCAGCACGGTCATGAGGTTGTTGACATCACTGTTGATGCTCTGGGCCACGCCGGGGTACTGCAGGGGGAGCAGAGGGGCACCCGGGCAGACAGAGCAGAACCCTGTAGAGCCCACCCTTCCATAGCCCATCAGCTTCCCAGCCGTGTCCCACCCAGACCCCACACTTTGGCAAGGCAAAGCCAAGACCCACCGATGCTGCCATGACCCCTGAGCTCACCACAACCCTGTTCTCCACCGTCTACTGCCCCCCCTCCCACCCTCAGGAACAGCCACCCACTCAGGGCCCCATTCCCTCAGCTCAGGCCCCAAGCAGTCACTTGTCCCCTGTCCCTGCCCCATGCAAACCAAGCTTGCTGGGAGGCTGTCCTCCCTCCCACACTCACTCAGCAAATATTTCTCAGTACCCAGTGCTGACCAGGAGCTGGGGACAGAAGTGATGAAACACAGGCCCTGCCCTGGATGACGGGGCCCACGGGGATGTTGGGTGCAGAGGCCCCCACACTGCAGGGCCCTGGCTCTGCCCCCTCAGCCCCCACCGGGACGAGCACACACTGGGTGCCTACCTGGATCTTCATTGCCACCTCGCGGCCACCCTTCATGCGCGCCAGGTGCACCTGCCCGATGGAGGCGGCTGCAAAGGGCCGCTCCTCAAAGTACTCCAGCTTGTCTCGCCAGTTGGGGCCCAGGTCATTGTTGAGAGTTTTCTGGGGGGCAGAGGCCAGGGAGGGGCTGTGAGCACAGCCAGGGGCACCCTGAGAAGCCCCCCGCCCGCCCCCTCCCACGGGGCTGCAGGACCCCAACTCCGCATCAGTGCCTGCCTCACCGTCATCTGTTTCAGCGGCATGAAGTCGGCGCTCTGCCTCACCCGCTCAAAGACCTTGGCCAAATGGGGGTTGATGAAGGCGTCATCTGGAAGAAACCAGAGAATTCAGAGAGCAGTGGGATAACCCTGGAAGGAGGGCACACAGGGCACCTCCATCACCCCTGCCCTGTGCGGTCTCCCAGGAGGAGGTCAAGGTGCCACTCTGCCTTCTGCATACTGAACTGAGGTTCATGAAGACGAACGCCACACAGCAGGCCCAGCCTCGAGTTCCGGCTCTTCCTCGCTCCCAGGGAGCGTTTTTCCCACCAGCACACAGGCCCCTAATGCTGCAGACCAAGGCTCCAGAGGGGAGATGGGGGGACCTGTGCACACTCCTGGGACACCTGCACCCCAGCCCATCGCACCCTACCCCCGCAGGGCATCCCCTCGCTGCTCCCCACCCGCCTAGGACGCGGCGGTACCCAGAGCCCGCACAGCCGCACTCACCCTGGATGCTCAGCATCTGGCCCAGCTTGAGCGCTGCCCCACGCACCTTGCAGAGCGTGCGCACAATGCGCTCTGCGTTGGCCTCCGACAGGAAGGGGCTGGAATCCAGCACAGCCTTCTTCCCTGCAGAGGAGCAAGGACCACAGCGTCCCTCAGGTGTCTGCAGGTCACACCCAACACCACTGCCAAGTAGCAAGAGGAGGAAGAGGCCAGGAGGGCTCTCAAGTGGCCCCAGAGAGGCGGCAGGTAGGGAGTGTGAGGCCTGGGAGCCCCCTCGCAGAAGCACCACGGCCCCTCCACCAACCCGAGCCTGAGTACCACCCAGCCCACTGGCCACTGCTGTGGACCTCGGGCAAATCAGGTCCTCCCAGTAAAAACAGGGACAATGACGGAAGTCAGATGGGTGTCGGGGCACTTTATGGGTGATGCAATAAATCCCTGCACAGAGCTTGACACAAAGGGTTCAATCAGCGTCCTTCCTCCTGGGTGTCCATGAAACCAGCAACGTAGTTTTAACTCCATGTTCCATACCCACCTCCCTGATGCTGTGGAAGGCCCTCTGGGGCCACCCGGGTCTCCCAGGCCTACCTCCAGCACCCTCCCTGTACCAGCACACACACACACACACAGAGGCATAAGCACAGGGCCTCTCCCTCCATGCCAGTCCCTGCCAAGTCACTGTCCCTCATCCCCCAGTATACTGGATAAAGGTCACCGGCACCCTCGGAGTCCCTGCACATTCACCTGGGGCCAGCTGGCTGTGGTGAGAGCACAGTCCTCAAAGGAGGGGAGCTCAGGGTCAAGGACGACACCTGCCTAGCCAGTGCCTGCCTCTCCCCTCTGCAGCCAGCTGTCCCTGGACAAATGTGCAGGGACCTCAGGGATGCAGAAGACCTTTGTCCAGCACACTTGGGGGTGAGAGGGTACAGGGTGGTGACTGAGGGTGATGAGGGGGGTGACTGTCACATTCGATGCCTTTCCTGCTCTCTGTCCTGTGAGCCTAGTTAAATCAGAAGCCCCCCGAGGGCTACCCCCATGGCACCTTGCACTTTCCTCAGCCTGCATCACCATGGGCCTGGCCCAGCACTCAGAGCGGGTGTGAGCCAGGTCCCCAAGGAGGCAACACGGGAGGTGGCCTCTGAGCAGGGCGGCGGCCAGCCTGGCCTCTGATAGAGCACGGTGAGGGGGTACAGGGGGATGAGAGACTGAAGGCTCACATCGGAGGGCAGCTCTTTTGGGCCTACACAGGGATGAGGCTCACACCCAGGGTCCCAGGTAGCAGGATGGGGTCCCAGGAAGGGGAAAGATTTTAGCTCCATAGGAAGAGGCCCAGCTGCAGGGGGTCTGGGACACTGTGGCCCACGGGCAGGGTCACTCCAGGACAGCTGGGCTGAAAAGGGTTTTGGCTCACCCCCTCGCCTTGGGCAGCAGCAGAGGGCCACTGCGGGACGCACAGCCCTCTGTCCATGTAGGTCGGGGATCTGGCCCGTGTCCCTAAGGAGAGGTGGGGGTAGCTGGGAGAGAACGCCACTGCCCCAGGCTGGAGGAGGGAGAGTGTACCCGCTGGCCAGGCCAGGCTGGTCAGCATACTCCAGGCCTGGGGGTTTCAGAGCCGGCTCAGGGATCTAAAGCACAAACCCCCCCACCCTGAGCCTCTCAGACGAGCGGCACTGAGGCCCTTGACCCTCCAGCCGGGGCCACACTTTGCTGACAAAGGACACCAGCTGTAACCCTGGAGCCAGTGTAGCCTCTTCCTTGCTTGGACAAGGCGGGATGAGGAGCAGCCAGCTTTGCGGGGGATGACAGGAGGGGCTGTGCCCAGGGAAGGCTTCTCACGCCAGAGGGAGCCAGGCTCCGCTCCCAGGGTGTCTCAGCACCAACACCAAAAATACCCTCCTAATCCTCTCTGTCCTCCAGCCCCTTCCAAGGACACACACACCTGTGTCCCCCACAATCAGGGGCATATGGGATGGACTAGTGTCCTCTCTCCAAGAGGCCCCTCTTCCCCTCAAGAGGGCCCCCCAGGTGAAGTGGGGCCATCCAGGTGGCTGGCAGGGCCCACTCAGGGCCATAGGGGAGTCGGGCCTGGCCTCAGGGACCACAGTGTAGTAGGACTGGGGGTCCCCAGGGAAAGGGGGGAAGAGGTGTCAGATACTGGAATGTGCTGATGTCCCCTGAATGGGCCAGGGGCAGGAAGCACGCAGCCCAGAACTTCAAGTACATTTTGAGAAGTTCACCAGATGGCTCTGCCAGGGCTGCTCTCAACAGTCCCTAGGACCCCGCTAAAGGGAAAGCCCCCACCTACTCAGCCCCCTCCACTACACTTGGACAGGCCTGGAGGAGGGGCCCCAGTAGGAGGGGGTGGGGCTTCCAGGTGCCCCCGGACCCACCATCATAGCATTATAAATACCCCAGATTTCAGAGCAGCCACTCTGCAGAATGTTCTCCATGGAGTGCCACCCACAGCTGTCCACCCAGACTAGGAGGCTCTGAGGGTTGTGACTGACCCCAGGCTGTCCCTGGAAGGCAAGGGACAGGGCAATCATGATCTTCGCCTCAGAGATGAAGGGTCTGACGCTACAGGGGTGATGGCCTCTCCAGGTCACCGAGGACGGAGGGCTCACACATCCCGCATCCACAGCCAACCGGGGAGCCCTGGGCACCTGACCTGGCCAGACCAGTGGGGCCCCAATGGCTCCAGGGAACAGGGGCAGAGGCCAGGATAAACCCGAGGCTCAATCAGAAGAGGGCAGGGATGCCGGCCCCTGGCAGAACCAGGAGGTCTGGTGGGCCAATGTAGGCCAGGGCGGGAGCAGAGCGGACTTCAGGCCTCAGGCTACTGCAGGGGTGCCATTTACACAGAACACAGGTGAAAGGTGCTCCTGGAAACAGAACACGAGGCCAACACTCTGGGAACACAGGAGGGAGCTGGGAGCTGACAGGTCCACCTCCCAGGGCCTACCCCACCCTCCCGGTCAAGGGCCCAGCTCACCTGAGGGGTCCTCGGGGCGAAGGCTCTTCTTGGCGACCTCAGCCAATGCCCCAAAGCCCAGGCCTACGGCCAGACCTGCAAAGAGGAGGTTGAGGGCACTGGGCAGCATTTGCTCAGGGGCTGCCCACTGCCCCTCCACCCACGAGGCCTGGAGCAGTCCCACACAGACACCTGCCTCGGCTCCCCAGTGACCCTCACTGACACTCCAGACATTTTGAAAAGGGAGGGAAAAAGGTAGGAGACACACATCAGTCATTTTCAGAGAAGATCTGGCTTAAAGGAGGTGCTGTCAATGGAAAAGTGCCCCCCATCACCTCTGCTCACCTACAGGCCGATGGGACACACAAATACACACAACTGGGCGGCAGGGGACACAGCACATAAGCACCAGGACTGGCCTGCGGGCCAAGGACATCCTGACAATGCAGGGCACCCCTGGGTGCAGCCCCCAATTCACAGTCTGCATGAAGAGCCTTCAATACCCTAGAATTCTCTAATCCAGTTCACCGCAGCCGCAGGGAAAGGCATTGCTACTGTAACACACAGCAGTGGTCGGTGGGAGTGGGAACATTTTGCACAAGCCATGGGGGCTCACAGGAGCTCGGGCTGCAGCCCTCCCTCAGTGAGGAAGGCCCCACAGGCCCTGACAGTGGTCTAAGAACCATGGGGTACCAGGCCCTCCCCAGTCCCTTCAGGAATCTTTGAAATCAAGGATTATTAACACCTCATTTGTCCAGAGGTTGGAACTACATGATCCCAACTGTCCTGGGGAGGCCCAAGGAGCCCAGCAGGTGCCACTAAGTCCACACAGAAAGCCCAGGAACCTGGCTCAGGGCCCGTTTCCTCTACTTTAAACACAGTTCCAGCTGGCTTGCGGCTGGGGGTGAGGACATTAGCAGAGAGAGTGAAGATCACATGGGTGAGCAGCAGATCACAGCACAGGGGACAGCAAAGACCCAGGGAAGATCCCCTGAGACCAGCGGGCCCTGACAAGCACAGCCCTGGGGGGGTGGGGGAGCTGGGGGAGCAGCTGCTCCCACCCCCAGAGCAGGCGGGCTCACATCAGGCAAGAAAATCTGAATGGGCTTCTACATTTTCCAAAATTCCTGTAACGATTATATATTATTTTTATGAAAAATATTACTGAATTTATTGAAAAAGTTACTTAATAAAAAATAAATTTTAAAAATTAAAAAAAAACCGACAATTTTTTAAAACAGTTTTTCAGTACATTTTACCACCAGTAGGCAACTGTGCAGCCTCCGCTCGGCCAGCTCTAAGGGTAGCTCCTGCCTCATTTTCATCATTGTGAGGATTAAACAGTTAAGCAGAGTGAAGGGCTCCCAGCAGGGCTGAGCACAAGGCAACACTATTCAAGTGTCTGCTCTTACTGTCCTTACTTCTATTCAGATGGCTAGACCAGAGCTGACCAAGAAATACATCAGCCACATGTATGACCTTAAATTTTGTAGTAGTCACATTAAAAAAAGGCAAAAAGAAGCATGTGAAATGATCATATATTTTATTAAACCTAATATATCCAAAGTATTATCATTTCAATAAGCACTCAATATAAAAACTGTTAGAGATGTTACTTTTTTTTTGCTCTAAGTCTTCAAAATCCAATGTGTATTTTACCCTCGGAGCATGTCTCGGCTTGGATCAGAACACTTCAAGTGCTCAACACCCTATGTTGCTCGAGGGTCAGCATAGGGGCAGCGTAAGTAAGCCAAGCTCTGGCGACCACATTTCCACAGTCACCTGGGAACACCCCTCAAGGACATCTTGGTATGTTGACATGGAGGTGCCAGGGCCAGTTTACCTCCGAAAGCCCCTGCCCAGCTCCGGAGGACACTGGGCATAGAGCCAGCAGCCTCCTCGTCTCTGATCAAACATTAACTTCCCACCGCCCGCCCACCTCTACCCCAACCAGCACACTATCTGACTTAGCAAGATAATAAAAGGAACATTAACCTTCAAGCTGCAGTAACCTTCACCAATGTCTCTCTGCCTGTAGATCTTTCTCTGCCTAGATCAAGTCCAAAGACAAGCCGACAGAAGAGGCAGGTGTGTCAAAGGTCACCCAGCCTGGTCACTGCGAGCAGGCGCCAAGCCCATCCTTCTGCAGGGCCCCCCAGTTCTTCCTGCTAACCCCCCTGAGATGCTCTGTCAAATTCTTCTCTGGCCACTTCTAGGCTGCCAGGCAGAGCCAAAACTTTCCAAAGCCAAACACCTGTCACTAAACCCTGATCACTGAGAGAACATTCTGCACAGGAGGCTGAAGACTCCTTCTGTGGCTCTGTGAGCTTCCCCAGAACCAGCCCAAGGCCAGGCCCCAGGAGCTGCCAACTGACAGGCTCCCCACGGGTGGTGAGAGCGGCCAGCCAGCCCTCCAGCCCTGACCTTGACCTCAGGAGCTCCTGCTCTAGTGAACCAAGAATAGACTGGCCCCTCTGCCATCCCCACCCAGCTGAACCTGGAGAGAGAAGGGCAGGGCCCAGCCAGGCAGGTTCTTCCTTCTCCCAGATTCAGAGGCACCTGGAGGCAGCTCCTGGAAGATCCTCACCTCTGCCTTGAATTCCCCACGTGGGCGAGGATACCCCGGAGCCCAGGCTCGCTCACTCTCCATGTGTCACCCAGGACCTCTCGCTGTCCCCAGACCCCGCAGCTCTCAGGCCAGCGCCTCTCCAAGTTCTGACCCACAGTCGGCCCGGCCCAGCCTACACGGCTACGGTCCCGGAGGAGGCCAGCCGCAGGGCCTGTTCAGCGGCCCCACGGCCACTGGCAGTTGCCTGGCTGCTACCCTAGCCTGTAAGCTCTTCCAAGAAAGTTTCTGACATTTCTCTCATAATCAGAGGTTTTGTAGGCAAGAAATGCAGGGGGAGTGAGGAGCAGCAGGGAGCAGGGTTCTCCCTGGGGGGCAGGAGTGCACTGGGTGGCTTCCAGGGCTATGGCCGGTTCCATGTGATCAGGGAACCCAAGCCCCCGGCCCAGCCCCTTCCTTCCCAAAGTCTCTTTGCAGGTCCTCAGAGCCAAATGGGTCCCCCCGAGCAGCCACTGGGCTTCTGCCCAGACAGGCACAGAGGTTAAGAAAAAATAAAAATTAAACACCTTCCAACAAACAGGGGCTGTGTTAGGGTCTCCCTGTTCCCTCTGGCCCAGTTCTGGGCCCGGAGACCCAGCTCCCGAGCACCTAGGGAGCCATTTCTAGGTTCCCCATCCCTTCCTGTTTCCCTTCCTCTGATGCTGTGGGCTGCAGCCCGCTCCCCAGGCCCCCTCTCCTCCCCAGGGCCTGGAGCTGGGGTGGCATGGAGGATGGCAACAGTGGCTCAGCTTCCTCATCTGTAACTGGAGACAATAACAGCCCTCATCTCCCTCACAGAGCTTCTGAGAGGGCAAAAGAGATATAAAAGCTGCTTTTAAAGTATGCTTCTGGAAGAACAGAAACCATGTTCCCTTGCCCCTGCCAAGGGTGCAGAACTTCTCTTGGACCTACAGGGTATCTGTCTTGCTGCCTCAGAGAGCATCAGAGGAGTGCTGGCTGCTTAGAAGAACAGCACATGTGCAGTGTGTGCCTGCAGAAAATCAGGCAACAAAGCTGATGCCACCATGTTCCACCTTAGCAAAGGGACGAGACAGTAAAGTCAGCCTTGTATGCAGCCCCTGTCAACCCCCAGACCTATAAGACTGAAGCACAAATGAAAAATACAGAAGAGTAGAGGAGACACACAGGACAGAAGAGAAAGATCTAACATATATATAACTGGTTCCCAGAAGGAGAGGAGAGAAAGAACAGGGCAAAAACAATACTTGAATAAACAACCAGAATGTTCCATAACTGATGAAAGACATCAAGCCACAAATTCAAGAAGCTCTGCAATCCCAAGCAGGATAGAAACAAAGTAAATCACACCCAAGCATGTCACAGTCACACTGCTAAAAACCAAAAGCAAAAAGAAAAATTTTAAAGCAGAGAAGAAAAACACACATTACTTTCAAAGAAGCAGCAATAAAACTAATAGCTACATTTTCAAAAGAAACAATGGAAGTAAGAAGACAACAGAATAATATTGCTAAAGTGTTCAAAGGAGTTAATTTGGAACATGGAATATTATACCCAGCCAAAATACATTCTAAAACAAAAGTGTAGTAGAGACATTTACACACAAATAAAAACAGAGAATTAATAATCAACAGACTGCACTATAAAAAAGAGAAAGGTAGTTCTTTAGAGAAAAGGAAAATTATCCCAAAGGTAATTATGAAAAGGAACAGAGAAAGAAATACAAAAAGGGTAAATACGTCGGTAAATCTAAATTCATATGGGCTGTACAAAAAAATTGTATCTTGTGTGGTTTCATGTATCTTAATAATTTAGTATATAATATAAAACATGTGGAAACAAAATGCATATCCCACATCAACACACACAGACACACACACACAGGGATTTAAAGCATCTAACGTGCTAGCATTATTGGGGAAGTAGTAAAAATAATCACTTCTATTACATTGTAATAAGTCAAGGATGTATGCTGTAATTTCAAGAGAAACCACTAAAAAAAATAGTCGAATAATAACACAGAAACTAATAAAGAGAAAACACATATAATAAAACGTCTTTGATTAATTCAAAAGAAGGCAAGACGTGGCGAGAGGGGAGGGGGGATGGGGAAGGCAGGGATGGGGATTGAGAGGTACAAACTACTATGTATAAAATAAATAAGCTACAAGGATATACAGTACAACATAGGGAATATAGCCAACACTTTATAATAGCTACAAATGGAATATAAACTTAAAAATTGTGAATCACTATGTTGTACACCTAAAACTTACATAATATTGTACATCAACTATACCTCAATAAAAAATAAAATTATTTTAAAAAAGAAGGGAACATTAACAGACAAGTCAAACAGTAAACAAAGACTAAGACAGTAAATATAAACCCCAATACATCCGCAACTCCACTAAATGTAAATGGACTAAATATTCACATAAAAAGACTATGATTATTGGTCTGCAGCTAAATTACAGGGGGGAAAACCCTATATATGTTGCTTACAAAACACATACATTAAATACAAGAACACAAAAAGGTTGCAAGTAAAAGAAAGGAAAAAGAGATACCATGCAAACATTAACCCCTAAAAAGCTGAAACACAGCTATATTATTATCAGACAATGTAGACTTTCAAAGAGCTAAAGAGAAGTATGGCATAATAATAAAGGAGTCAATCCCCAGGATGATATAAGAATTCTAAATCTGTAAACAACCAATAAAATAGCTTCAAAACATTAAAGCATAAGTTGACAGAACTAAGAGGTAGGTAAGTGATCATGGGATCATAGCATATGACTTTAAAAAGTCTCTCTTGATAGCTTGTAGAATAAAGATACCCCCAAAAAACATTAAAAGATCTGATCAATATAAGTAACAAACTAGACTAGGTAGATCGGACAGATAAACCGCACCCAACAATGCCAGAATTCTTTTCAGATACACAAGGAACATTTACCAAAATATTCCCATTGGAGTCAATGGCAAGACCTCTATTTCACAGAAACAAAAATCAAGGCAGGACCCAATGTCATAGGAAGCAGGATTGGAATTATAACCCAAATATTATGATGACCTAAATCCCAGTTCTGATACCAAATCCAATCTCTGACCCTATCTTTCATTTCATTCCTCAACAAAATCTAATATCCACAGATCACCATGCCAATAGCATCACAGCCATAATACTCCACAGCCGAATTGGACCTAGGATTCCTGCCTCATCTCAGCATCAAAATGAACTACCCAAACTGGAAAGCCCCTGCCTTCTACCTCCATGTGGCTGAACACCCACTGCTGCTTCCCAAACAGAACCTTACCTCCCTGATATCTAGAGCAATCCCTTACCTTCATACCCTCCTGGTAAAAATTTCCTATAGTCTGTTTGTCTACACTTTAAAACATTTCACCCTCATGAGAAGAGGCTAGAAGTATTTTCTAGGAAAAGAAAGTAGAGCAGTGTTACTTCAAATTGTCTAGACAATGACTCACCAGTAAGCCTTATATTTCACAATGCAATGAAGAACATATATAAATAGTATGTTTATATCTCTGAAACAAAAATACTTTTGCAATGTGTGCAGTCCTTTCTAATCTGATCCTTTTCTACTCAATTCCATTCTACTTAACTTATTTTTTAAATGCTGGTCCTGACCCACTAAACTGATTTCACATGCACTAGAGGGACATAACCCACAGGGTGAAATCCTCTGGTGGGGCAGAAGGCCCAGAATTCACCTCTGAGGCCAGAACAGCACATTCTTTCCAGACCTGGCTCCTCTTTGCTTCCATCCTGCCACCTCCAATCCTGAAATATTAACTGCCAACTGCTTGGGCAACATTGTGGGCAGCTCTGCATCACAGCTGTGAGCAGATCTCCAACACACACACACACACACACCGAAGAATGAGTCCCGACGTCAGGCGGCTGTCAGCAAGGGCTCAAGAGGCTCCTGATGGTGAAAAGCCCTTACAAAGACCAAGGCTTCTTCCTACCCCAACCCCGCTCCCTCTGGCTGCCCATATCCCCCACCGCTGAGGGGAGCCCTACACCCTGGTTTTAATGAGGCTGCCTTTAATGAACCTACACACTTTCCTATGTAACTGCTTCTATTTGGGTCTGCTTTCCTTAACCCACCACTCAAAAGGGCCTGACTTTTGCCTGCTTCACTAGGACTTCCATCAAATTTTAACTGGCCATCATGACCTTCATCCGGACACTTTTCCCAAACAGGTCCTCCACTACCCTGCAAAGACTCCCAACAGAGGACTATACTCATTCTAAAATACATCAGTCAAACTAAGCCTTCCGGAGACAGGGCTTCATGGTGAGGCCTAGTGTGGAGTGGGGGGAGGAGGGTTACAGGATACAGAGAAAAACCACAGAGTAAGATGAGGATAGTTCCTGCCCTCAAACTCACGGGGGAGAGAACAGAACCTCTATCCAATACTTTAGTAATAAATGTTACCCAACTAATAGCCACTGAGCAAAGCAGGGAATGCACCAAGTCTCCAGGGAGTCGAAGGACCACCCGGGGCCACCAGAGCACTGCCTCTCAAACCCATTCCGGTAGTGTCACCCAGGAAGTTGTGATGTTCTGTGAGGAGCTGTTTGTTAAGCTAACCCATTAAAGTGGAATGAAGCAATAATTTTGCACTAAAACTCAGATGACACTTTATAATGCTAGATTCTTGAAAAGCTAAGTAGCAACAGATGCCAAATTTTAGGATTATGGAAAAAAACCTCAGGGTTGAGAAAATCCTATTCAATTAACTTAGTTTGCTCTGCACATTTCCTAAGACAGCCAGTCATCATTCAGTGTTAAAACCCACACATCGGGCCAGCTCCCAGAGTACCAGGTTCTCAGGGAGCACAGAGCCAGTCCTGAACAAGGAGTAAGATGGGGTTTCCAAAAGAGAAGAGGCAGCAGGGGAGAATGGTGTGCCTGATGTACAGAATATAGGCAGAGAGCCATATATATCAGCAAAGCAAAGCAAAATGCATGTAGGTAATGGCTCAGACACATGACAGCAGGCCTTCGTGATTACTTGGCACTGGCATCAACATGAACCAATCAGACCTCTGTTATATACGGCCTCGCAGGTAAGCATTGCCCAAGGCGAGTATGTCAGTCAAGTTGTCAAAGCTGTTCCTCTCATTAATTGCATTGTCTGGAACTTTAGAGAAATGTGCTCCCAGTCACTCCATCTTCAAGTGTAACCATCGCAAAGGATGACAGTTTCAACAGGAACATCTTGGTCAGTGAATATGCACCAGATACGGCTACATAAAGTCATAAAAGCAAAAAAAAGTTGACCTTCCAACTCAGACAAAGAGAACACATGTGCATTGGACACAATGGCTATCCAAACCCCCAAAGAAAAGGACAAACGCAACTGAACCATGCATTAAAATGGACTTTAAACAGCAGCAGCTCAGGGCCACAGCACCTCCCAATCGTCCCACTGATGTCAGTAGTCTCTGGGAATCCAGCAAATGGGACCCAAAATAGCCCGTGCCAGGGGCAAAAACCACTCTGTCCAGGAGCCAAACAGCCCAGCGAGGAGCTTTTACTCACCGCCCCGCCTCATCCCTGCAGACGCCTGAGTGAAAAGCTGATGCTGCAAACGCTACCCTCTAAGTGTGGCTGGAAAAGCAAAGCCACAGTTCACAGGGGAGCATCAGCCATGCACCAACCCCCAGGGTGAGCTGAGGCAGATTGGTGACTGGATCATCCATTCGTGGAAAACATTCAGGAGCCACCACCCTTCCCGGACATCAATGGGTCCCCACTCTCCCCCACCTCACACAGGCCCCACAGTGGCCCCGGCTATCCTTGCCAGGACTGGCGGGGCAGGAAGGCACCGTGGCTTCTTACCTCCAAAGTTGGCCAGCCGACCAATCCGAGTAACAGGCACCTTCCGCTCCCGAGCCCGCTCACTGAGCTAGAGAGACACAAGAAAGAAACCTCAAGGAATCAGTGAAGGGGGACAGGACCAACCTTCAGAGGTTCGTGCTGCCCCCCACATCTCCTCTTCATCCCTAAAGGCAGCAGCTCTACCTGGCATCACACTCTACCCAGAGGATGCCTCCGTGTGCCTGAAATTCCAGGCCACAGCATCCGGGGAATGTCCAGGAGGGGGCCTGACACCAGCACCACTGTGGGAACTGCCCCAGGCCCACTCTGGGGGCCTCATGCACGCACCATCTGTTTGTGGGGCTTGCCCTCGGGATGAGCTTTGGCCTGCCGGGCCTTCTCAATGTCCTCAGCTGTGAGGCCCCCCATGGGGGACTGGTCTTGGTGGAAGAACCTTCTCTGAAGGCCCATGGCAGAGAATGAGTCTCTGGGGTCTGCAAAGAGCCTCCCATTCGCCCTGCCCAGATGGGAGGCAGCCTGGCCTGGGATCCCGCCTTCCCTAAAGGGTCCACTGGCAACATAGGCAGGAGCAGGGCCGTCATTGCTGGCAGGATCCCAGTGCGGAGATGACTGATCAGGGGAGAAGGCCACAGAGAAATCCTCAGAGGTGCCCTCGGCCCTCGACCCTGCGAAGTGAAACTCTGCTTGCAAGTCGTCGAAGCTGCTGAAGGGAGGCTCTTCATGCTTCTCTTGATCCTGCAGGAAACAAAAGCCACCATGAGAGGGGCCAGAAGCCAGCCAGGAGCTCCTCCCTGTGTGTATCCCCTCTGCCAGGCCAGCACACCGGCACCATTCCACCCTCTGAAACCCCGGAGGGTCACACCACAATACCCACAAGGCATGTGGCCAATTCCAGAGCTAAGCAGCAGCCCGGGAGCCCAGATTCCAGTCCTGTTCCTGCCAGGGCTCTGCCTGTGGTCCCGGGCAAGCCAGGCACACAGGGTCCATGAGCACCTGCTGGGTGCCCAGCTGAGACAAGGCGAACCACCCCCCTCCCGGCAGCAAGTTCCTCACCTGTCTAAGGAGAGGCTTCCAGGGCTTTGGGGAGGGTGAACCAGGGAAAAGACAGGGAAAGCTTTGAGAAATAAAAGCACAACCAAAGACCAGCAGGGGCAAGAGAGCACACAGTAGGGCCTCTCCAGGCCAGCACCCTGCTGCAGGTGTGTCTTCTGCCAGTCAGACTTGAGTGTCCCTTCAGGGGCTCTCACCAGAGGGCTTATCACAACCAGGATGAGGTATGGCTGTTCTGGAAGCTAGGGGTACACAGCAGGCAAGGAGGGGACACATCGTATTTTTCCTGTAACAGTCACCAAGACCTGAGCTTCGGGCCCAGCTTCTTTCTACCTTTGAACCCCGAGTGACCTTGAGTGAGTTCCTGACCCATCTCTGCCACTTCCTCATCTGAAAATAGGGCTCCCACAGTCACAGAGGTCTGCGGGGTCACAGACAGGGCCAGGAAAACAGGGCCGAGAAGGCTATAATTAGAACAGCACCAACTCCTGGACGAAGGTCAGTGGACTGGATTTCTTGATTCCACTGAAATGGATTGGATGCATGGAGTGCTGCCCACACGTTCTGCAAAAACAGCAGTAGACCCCAAAGTTTCACTCTCAGCTTTGTAAGATACCGTGGGGTCTAAGGAGACAGGACTTGCCCTCTAGAAGGAAGGAGACAGGCTCTTACTTTCATTTCATAAGCAGGAAACTGAGGCTGAGAGAGCTGAAGTCACCTGGTAAAGGCCCACCGAGCAGCCAGTGGCAGAGCAGGGATACCAAGCCAAGGCTTGCCCCCCTGGCCGCTGAGAGGCTGCCTGACAGCACCTCCCTCAGAGCAGAAATGTATTTGGAATCAATAGGCACCTCTCAAGATGGCCTCCCTGGAATGAGGGGGTCAGAGGCAAGGTCCTGAGAGCTACGGTAGGGGCCCCTCCTGCCCCGTGACCCCCAAGCTGGCCCTGCACGACCATGACCTGCTTACGTGGCTCCCAAGGGGCCTCAGAGCCTCCATGGGACCAGACTCAGTGTCTGCTGAATGAGAAGTGAACAAACCCCTTGTGGAGCCAGAGGGAGAGAAGTTTCTGCAGTATCTGGCCTCTGCCCCCTGGAGAGAGGGGAGGGACCGGCATCTAAGTGTCTGGGGAGAGAATGGGCACACACTGGGAGGCCAGCACCCCGGCTCAGCGCCTTCTTCGTGGTGGAGGACGAGCACTCCCTCCTTCCTCTCCCAAGGACCAGAGCCAAGCCTGTCCAAGGGGAGCAGAGGGGCGAAGGGGGAGCCTGGGCAGGAGGCCCTCTTGCCTCTCAGGAAGGCCAGCCCGGGTCTAGCTGTGGCCTCACCCCTGGACGGCCCAAGTGAGGGCAACCTCCCTCCCTGGGCGCTGTACAGGCAAAGCACCCGACAGCAAGGTGATGGCTCCTCACTAGCAAACACACTGAATGAGGCGGCCAGGACACAGCCCGGCCTCAGCAGAGGAGGGGCAGCGGAGGGAGTCTTAGCCTGAGAAGAGGACACAGATTTCTGGTCCAGCCTCTCAATGAACACGGGCCTCGCATCCAACTGCTCAGTCTCAGTTTCCATCTCTGAGCAAGGAAGGTGAGCATCGGGCCTGCGCCCCTCCCAGAACAGCAGTGAGGCTCATAAGAGATCTTGCATGTGAAGGCCTCTGTGAGTTGAAGGCTTTTGTGTAGAGTGAGACAGACACAGTGTCACCACTGGACCGTCAGAAAGCAGGAGGGAAGGGGCTAGGAATCCTAAATCTGAGGCTGACAGAGGCCAGCAGGCTGTGAAGGCCCCACAGCCCGAAGGAGCCTGAGCATCCTTTGTCCAGAAGGTCAGAACAGAAATGGAAGGAGCGAGGCCGCAGGACACCCTCGAGCACAGCTACCAACATACACGTGCCCAGGCGCATGTGTGCACACATGCCCTCCCCATCCCCTCAGTGAGGATCAGGGGCTACACAGGGTGATGTCGTGGTGGATGGCGCCCTGTTGACAACCACTGCTCCAGTACCTGTTCTTGCTTAAACCCTCCCCCTTAGACAGTAAAACATTGAGGCGCTCTACACCTGGCACAAGATGGCACGAGGGATAAGAGGGAAGGGGGAGGTGAGGCTGCCGCCCTTTAAAGGAGGGGAGGCCCTCCCTGGCACAGCCTGGCACAGCTCAGTGTACACAGGGGAAGAGCCTTGGAATCCCAGGGAGGGCCCACCAACACATGACACACAGGACCCTATGACAGCTCCATGCTGAGCTGTGACCTCCAGTGACAAGTGCCTGTCCCACCCACCTACACACCAGACGACTTCATCACTTCTTTACAATCCGACCCAACAAGAAAACACTAACATAAATGAGATGAGTAGGGAGAAGGTGCTTTGTCTTATAAAGAACTTGCCTGCTTCAGTGAAGGAAGCATGGCAGGGACCTGTTCAGCTACCTCCCATGAGAACACAGGCGATCGCTACTTTTTGCTTTGTGATTTTTTTAATTTCCAAAATTTGAAAGGCCTCTCTTCAGTGCCTTCAGGACAGGCCCAGGAAGTGAACGCAGGCCAGGCAGAGGGAGCAGAGCGGGTCACCGGAGGGACCCCAGCAGGACGGGGCCTGTCTCTGCCCTAGGCTCTGTGCCCCATGACACGCAACAGCAGGTGTGTGGTGAGGGCTGGTGAATTACTGCCTGACAGCAGAAGGGCAGGGCTTTGTGTTCTTGGGCTCCTTCCCAGATCTGAGAAGCTTCCTTTAATTAAAACTCAGGTCGCAAGGTGACAGCCTCCCCGTCACACCAGGAAGGACAGCAGGTTTACACCAGCCAGTGGCTCTCTGGCTCTGGCCACAAGGAGACTGGCCCTGCTGGCTGTGTACAGGTTCACCCCCTGGCCTCACCAAGACCTCCAAGTCCAGCCCTCCTCCCACTGGCACCCCTCCCGCTGCCGCCCGGCCTCCTTACCTGCACCTGCCCCCAGACCACACCAATCTGCTCTGCGGCCGTGGACTGCAGGGCCCTGGCCGCCATGAGGAGCTCCCCGCCGAGGCCCCAGTGCTGTAGGTGGGTCTCCACGGCTGCCTGAGTCAGCTTGACCAGGCCTTTGACCACCATGATGGCATCCCCCAACATGGCAGCCATGCTTCAGGGCTGGAAAAGAGTGGGCCAAGTCAGGGCGGGGCTCCATACCTCAAAAGGGTGACACTCACAAAGACCAACTCTACCCCAAACTCTGAGCAGAAGGCCACTGGCTGTTTGGTTTTGTCTCTGACCTCCCATTCTGATCCAGGCTGATTGAGAGAAAAGAGAGAGAGGAAGGGCCCCGGGCTCAGGGTAGATTCCAGATGATTCCTCACCCGCAGGGCGAGCCTGTGGAGTCCGGGCTGTGCGTCAGGCATTTCCTCACCCGGGCCTCACGGCCACCCCAGGCACAGACAAGTAAAGTGATTTGCCCAAAATCTTTCAGCCACCAAGAGGCAGAACCAGGACTTGAATCTGGGTGTACTGATTTAGTCCAACGCTCTTCCCTCTGGACCAAAACCGTAGGTTGGGGAGGGAGCATCTGCTCCAAAGCAGGGCCCAGGGGCCCCAATCCCAACTCCTCAGGGCTGCCTGTCCCTGCCCCCAGCCCCTCATGTTCTCCCCAATGAGGCCTCTGACAGACACCCATTAACCCTCCCTACCCTCAGGCCCAACTTCTCCCCAAGCCAGTGTTTTCAAACTGCAGTCCAGATCACAGGGCAATGCACTGGGAAAATCCCAACCAGCATTAAAAACAACACCAACACGATGTAGAACAGACTGGGGAGCAGGGGGCACACTGTGGGTAGGACCAGCAGGTGAAACCTGTTTCCCTCTGTGTGCCCATGCGCTGCTCTTTCCACTGGTCACAGCCTAAAACGTGTTTCTTTATGACAGTGTCAAAGACTCTGAAAGCCAGTGTACTGTACACAGCACTGCCTCATGGGTGGGGTGTGTGCTGGCAATCTCCCAAGCATTTCTCAAGGCCTCCCAGGGGCTGTGTGCTGGGAGGGGTAAGATAAGGGCACTGAAGGAAAATCACTAAAAGGAAAGAGCAGGAGACCCCAAAGTGGGGAGGGAGCACTCTGGCCAGAGCAGTGAGGAGCTGAGATCTGCCAGGAGTCTGAGCAATAACAGGAGTAGGTATGGAAGGCACTGCAGGCAGAAGACCTGCACGAACAAACCTGTGAACAAACACGTGAGGCTGAGAACGGCCAGACAAACCCTGCATGCAGGGCTGGGCCAGCAGAACGGAAGCGATGATCACAGAGACACCTTGTAGCTTCTCATCACACTAATTAACAGAAGCACAGATGGGCAGGTCAGGTAAGAGCATTGACAAGGATCTCAACCACAACTCGAGGGACTTCCGAAGATGTTAGGCTCGCTCCCGCCTGCCCGTCTCGGGGGAGCAGCCCAGTCAGTGCAGAGATTCCTGCAGGGATCTGCTCTGCTCCTGAGCATGGGACATAGCTACTTTTACTTAAAAGGAGAGCTGTAGTGACACCAGAGAAACCCTCAGATAAGAAGGGGCCTGAAAAATTAAAATGATCCACCATAACCTGCCCTGTCTTTCATCTTCAAAGGAGAGCAGCAACCAGGCACTGGGCTGGGGTGCTTCCTACACTTCACCTACTTTTAATCTTTATAAATAACCCAACGATAAGGGTATTATTGTCCCCATTTCACAAAGGAGAAAACCAAGGTCAGAGAGGTTAAGTACCTGGCCGAGGTCATTTAGCTCCTGAACGGTGGCCCTGGGGTCTGATCTTGGCCCTCCTCTGCGCTGTGCCCAGCACAACATGATGCTTCCCCAAACGCTTGGCCCACCAACTCCCAGGCACCCCCACAGGGACAGGGCACACTCAGACACAAATGGACCGCCTGCCCACTAATCAAAGCCAAGGAGATTTTTGGAAGGTGACTATACCCTTGAAAGAGATTGGGGGGGGGGCTACCCCTGCCCATCACTTGGTGCTATTTCACACCCCAGGCTCCATTCTGGACTCCTGCTCTTTAAGGCAATAAACAAGTGTGAGTTCCACAGACCAAATGTCTAGGACTGGGAAGAGATCACGTAATCAGAGATCAAACACAGCTCTCAACAGTTCCCCTGCCCCCTGGCCCTCACCCTGACACACACACATTTACTGATGAGGGAGGAGGTTTCCAAAAGAGACATCAGAGACACGCAATGGCAGAGGCCAGGGCGCCAGCCATCTGTTGAGAAGGACCCTTGCTGATGGCCCCAGGACCATCCACCTTACCCCACTGCCCCAGGGGTCCCCAAAAACAGGCCTTCCCCTTGCTCACCTCTAAATCCAATCCGGATAACCAAGGAAGGAGTTTCCCATTGGCCGCAAGCCTCAAAATTCCAAAACTTCACCTTGTCTGCTAACTAGTATCAAATCTTCCATAGAACTTCCTAAGACCTATTTAATTCAGACTTTATCTTCAGGTTTAAAACTAATTCTGCCTAAATTTCTCATCCAAGTTATCATGACCACAAACTAAAGTCTCACTAGAGCAAAGCTGTTAAGTGATTTTTTGGCCAGTTTCCCCTGCCCTAGCTCCCGTTACAGTGATGGGAGCTCAATATGAGACCCGTTTCTGGTCCTGCACGCTGCAGATGCAGGTCCAGAACCCACCGGAGTCCAGTCCTGATTTTTCTGGTTTCTAAGTATGTCAGCACTAAGCATAGTTCTGTGATGGGCCAGGATTACACCTACTTTATGATGATGATTTTTTTTTAATTCAGAAGAGGAAAAAATGTTAAATAAACTGACCAAATTTTTTTTAATCCTGCATTTGGGAAGTATGAGTAATAATAATCTCCCTTTCAGTATTTTCCTAACTGTATTTTCCTATTTTTTTCAGTTCACATACCCTACTTTCAAAATGGCAAACAAACAAGTCATCTTTAACAGTACACATTAAAAAGTTAATTAGTTACGCCTTTCTTCCTGCCTGAAAGGTTGCATCCTCATACTGGAGAACCTCCCATGGGTGTCAACCCCACCTGGACAGTGGGCACCATTGGGGAGGAGGATGACCAGTCAGCTCCCTGGGAAGGTGGGCCCATCCACGTAGAAATGACATCACAGAAATCCGCCTCCCTACCTCCGTGGGGCAATGCCTCCTCTTCTCATAAGAGGTGCTGCTCATATCATGAGTCTGCCACCGTGAGCAGATTCATGTGTGGATGCATATTTCAGAACTGTAGCCTGGACCAGCCCCCTTGAAGATTACATATCTAATGTGCAGGGGCCACTATCCCCAAACCTCCACACATGCTGCTTTGCTGGGTACAAAGTGAACTGTTCACACCCTAGTCAACACCAGGGTTTTTTGTGTGTGTTTTGTGGGTTTTTTGTTTGTTTTTTGTTTTTTGTCTTTTTTTTTTTTTGCAAAGGAGTGTCTATCCTCAAGGGGCAGGAAGGGAAACAACTGCAAAAGGAAGTATCTTTCCAGAACTTTTTTCACCTTCTGATTTTCAAAAACTGGCTCTCATAAACCCTGATTCTAATGCAACAGAATCCCAACATGACTCAGAATTCAGCTATCCCAAATTTTGGTGTAAACTCCCTCCGGGAATGTACAAGAACCAGGCACTTAGCTACACCAAGAGGCATTTTCATCATGATCTTAAGTAAACAGAATCAAAAGTCCCCAAAATACATTTAATCACAAGTTAAAACTCTTACCCTCACCACAATTTTGTCTACAAGTATTAGAGCCCTCACCCCACCCCGCTTCACCCTCAGGTACTGGAATGGGTTTTCGGGACCTCACCGAGGAGCAATACCGGAATGGAGGGCACATCCAGGCTCTTCCCCATTTGGCAGCACGTGCCCCAGAAGGCTTGGGCCGCCTGCTCTGCCCTGAGTGTGCACCGATGAGTACAGCAGAGGGGGTGGAGGATGGACACTCACACCTGGGAGTGGCCACTAGACACCAGCACCAAAATAAAGTCATTCGCTGAACACACGTTCACTGATGTCTCCTCCCGGTGCTCTGGGCTGTTCTGTGCAGGTCCTGGGATGAACTTGCCCTTGGCCCCGGAGCACGCACAGATGCAGGGGCGTGCAGGCACATCTATAACGGGCAGACACCAGGGAGACGGCCGGAGGCCAACTGAGGCTGACACACGAGGATCAGGTGCAGGGGAGACAGCTGAGCAGTGGCGACGACTGGGAGCCTGGACAGCTCAGCTGCAGGCGCTGACACTAAGGTGTCACTCGCCTCGTCACCCTCCCCAGCAGGAGGGAGCTTTGGGTGGCTCAGCAGGCCCCTTTCCTGGTCCTAGCATGCTGAAGTGCTATAAAGGAAGTAAATAAAGGCATAGTCCAGAGAAAGAACTGAAATAATAGTAGTTCACCACTCCCTGGGGACAGAGACTGAGAAAGAAGCACAACCAGTGTCCCCTGAGATGGGAGTCCTCAAGCTCTGAGAGAAAATTTTTCTGCTGAACCCTCACTCTGACCTTCCCAAGAGCCTTCAGAGATATTATCTCATTCACGGTGAAAAATGGACTCAGAGATTGCATTAGCTGGAAAGTATCTGGGGTGTGGGGACCTTCAAATCTAGTCTCCAAAACGAAAAAACAAAAAACCCACTAGCTGGTCATGTACAATAAGATGTATCAGCAGGAAAATGAGTTGTGTTCTTTTTAAAAATGTAACAGGCAATCCTGAAAGGCATGAAACAAACGAAGGGATCACACTTTTCCATTAGGACTCACTTGAGGGAATTTACTTGGGGGAAGGGTTCCCATATGCACCCCAAGTCCCCCCTCCACAGCCAGAACTCGTCTCTTCTCATGAGGTGACAATAAGCCAGGGACGGGGTGTGAATTTACTAAGCCATTGTTCAATCCCTTTGTTAAGTATGAAGTGTGGTAAGACAGGCAGCTCTCACCCAAAAGCATGGCGTCTGTATCTCTAAAGCTAGCACACCCTCCTCTGGTCCCTTCTCACCTTGAGCTGCCTCGGAAGCCGTGGCTGGTGCAAGGACCCAACAGCAAGCTGCACAGAAAGCCCTTTGTCTTGGGGAGTGTGTGTGAAGCTCACTGAAAAGCCTCCTCCAGAGCCGTCTGCTTGCCTGCACGTCACCCGATGGCCCACAGGCGT